AACCATTTCGGTCCAAATGTGGTTTTTCCGAATCTATTGTGATGCTACCTTCTGACTACAATATTTCCAGAAAAAACCTAAGAGGCATATTTCTGTAAAACGCGGAAATGTTGAAAACGTAAAGGTTTGGTCGTATAAAATGTCGCCGCGAGCCGCGAAGGGACGGGCGCAGCTCGAAACGAGAAAATAATAATTTTTTCTTCGAGAAATATTATTTTGGTGTCGAAAAGCTGATTTCAACACGAAATACAGGCAGAAATAGCACGCAAACATAACCTAAATGTCATTTTTATATTTTTACTCTGTTTTCAGGCAATTTCAATCGAGTTTAATTTGGTTTCACGCTAAAATCAAACTTCTCGAAAAATCTTAAAATATTTTCTCGTTTCGAGCTGCGCCCGTCCCTTCGCGGCTCGCGGCGATATTTTATACGATCAAACCTTTACACTTTCAACATTTCCGCGTTTTACAGAAATATGCCTCATAGGTTTTTTGTGGAAATATTCTAGTAAGAAGCTAGCATCACAATAGATTCGGAAAAACCACATTTGGACCGAAATGGTTGATACCCGCGGAAGATATACTTGATTTTAGGCCCAAAATTGACCAAAATTAAAAATTCAATTTCCAAAAATCGATAACAAATCCTATGGTGCTCCGATTTGGACAGTTCTTGGATGTAACAATACTAGGACTCCTCGACTTTAATTTAGGGGTAGTTTCCGATTTACAGCTTGTCGCAAAAATTTTAAAAGTGATATGTCAAGTAGGGGTACTTTTTAGGACATTTTTTGTCATAAGTCCCAAATAACGCTTCGATGGGCTGAACCACTATTATGCCGTTACTCAGTAGGGTACCCTCTTTCATTTTAATATATACGTGCCGACTCGTCCGGAAAGGGTTAATAACCCAAATACCAAAGAAATACCAAAAATTGCAAAATGCGTACGCCACTTGAGATTCCAAGGACGTCTCCGATCCAAGTACTAATCAAGCGCACCGTTGCTTAACTTGCCAGATCGGACGGGATGGCGTGCTTTCAACGGGCTATGGGCGTACACATTCGTCGCTCTGGTTCCATTCCATTTCTCCTCTCCTTTCCGCTAGCCGAGCAAAAAAAGTTCCCAAAGACGGCGATTTTGCCAATTCCATCGAGAGAGGAGAGAGAGGGCCAAAGAAAGAGACGCGAAGAGAAGACAGAGAAATTTGTTTTGGTTCCCCAGTTCAAAAATCGTCAGGGATGTTGATGTGGTGGAGGTGAAGGTTGATCCCGTTGCTATTTATAGCCTAATTTGAGGTTAGCTCATGTTCCAGCTCGTGAAAACGTGGCTGGAAATGGAAATTTTGGAATGTTCACGAGTTTTTTCGTGAACGAATATTCGAGATTAAAAATTTTTAATCGATTTCCCGTTTTTTATTGAAGAACCGTATTTTATTCATGTCTACAGTAAATTTCTGTTATTTTCTGCAATGCAAAGTGAAATAGCGCGCAAAAGGAGAGAAAGAAAAGCGCTAGACAAAGTGTCGTTCGTTCCCCAACAAAAATCGGCAGCCGTTTTCTCTCTCTTGCGAAACGATGCATTCTCTCTTCGGTATAACCCTTTCCGGACGAGTCGGCACGTATATATTAAAATGAAAGAGGGTACCCTACTGAGTAACGGCATAATAGTGGTTCAGCCCATCGAAGCGTTATTTGGGACTTATGACAAAAAATGTCCTTAAAAGTACCCCCACTTGACATATCACTTTTAAAATTTTTGCGACAAGCTGTAAATCGGAAACTACCCCTAAATTAAAGTCGAGGAGTCCTAGTATTGTTACATCCAAGAACTGTCCAAATCGGAGCACCATAGGATTTGTTATCGATTTTTGGAAATTGAATTTTTAATTTTGGTCAATTTTGGGCCTAAAATCAAGTATATCTTCCGCGGGTATCAACCATTTCGGTCCAAATGTGGTTTTTCCGAATCTATTGTGATGCTACCTTCTGACTACAATATTTCCAGAAAAAACCTAAGAGGCATATTTCTGTAAAACGCGGAAATGTTGAAAACGTAAAGGTTTGGTCGTATAAAATGTCGCCGCGAGCCGCGAAGGGACGGGCGCAGCTCGAAACGAGAAAATATTTTAAGATTTTTCGAGAAGTTTGATTTTAGCGTGAAACCAAATTAAACTCGATTGAAATTGCCTGAAAACAGAGTAAAAATATAAAAATGACATTTAGGTTATGTTTGCGTGCTATTTCTGCCTGTATTTCGTGTTGAAATCAGCTTTTCGACACCAAAATAATATTTCTCGAAGAAAAAATTATTATTTTCTCGTTTCGAGCTGCGCCCGTCCCTTCGCGGCTCGCGGCGATATTTTATACGATCAAACCTTTACACTTTCAACATTTCCGCGTTTTACAGAAATATGCCTCATAGGTTTTTTGTGGAAATATTCTAGTAAGAAGCTAGCATCACAATAGATTCGGAAAAACCACATTTGGACCGAAATGGTTGATACCCGCGGAAGATATACTTGATTTTAGGCCCAAAATTGACCAAAATTAAAAATTCAATTTCCAAAAATCGATAACAAATCCTATGGTGCTCCGATTTGGACAGTTCTTGGATGTAACAATACTAGGACTCCTCGACTTTAATTTAGGGGTAGTTTCCGATTTACAGCTTGTCGCAAAAATTTTAAAAGTGATATGTCAAGTAGGGGTACTTTTTAGGACATTTTTTGTCATAAGTCCCAAATAACGCTTCGATGGGCTGAACCACTATTATGCCGTTACTCAGTAGGGTACCCTCTTTCATTTTAATATATACGTGCCGACTCGTCCGGAAAGGGTTAATAACCCAAATACCAAAGAAATACCAAAAATTGCAAAATGCGTACGCCACTTGAGATTCCAAGGACGTCTCCGATCCAAGTACTAATCAAGCGCACCGTTGCTTAACTTGCCAGATCGGACGGGATGGCGTGCTTTCAACGGGCTATGGGCGTACACATTCGTCGCTCTGGTTCCATTCCATTTCTCCTCTCCTTTCCGCTAGCCGAGCAAAAAAAGTTCCCAAAGACGGCGATTTTGCCAATTCCATCGAGAGAGGAGAGAGAGGGCCAAAGAAAGAGACGCGAAGAGAAGACAGAGAAATTTGTTTTGGTTCCCCAGTTCAAAAATCGTCAGGGATGTTGATGTGGTGGAGGTGAAGGTTGATCCCGTTGCTATTTATAGCCTAATTTGAGGTTAGCTCATGTTCCAGCTCGTGAAAACGTGGCTGGAAATGGAAATTTTGGAATGTTCACGAGTTTTTTCGTGAACGAATATTCGAGATTAAAAATTTTTAATCGATTTCCCGTTTTTTATTGAAGAACCGTATTTTATTCATGTCTACAGTAAATTTCTGTTATTTTCTGCAATGCAAAGTGAAATAGCGCGCAAAAGGAGAGAAAGAAAAGCGCTAGACAAAGTGTCGTTCGTTCCCCAACAAAAATCGGCAGCCGTTTTCTCTCTCTTGCGAAACGATGCATTCTCTCTTCGGTATAACCCTTTCCGGACGAGTCGGCACGTATATATTAAAATGAAAGAGGGTACCCTACTGAGTAACGGCATAATAGTGGTTCAGCCCATCGAAGCGTTATTTGGGACTTATGACAAAAAATGTCCTTAAAAGTACCCCCACTTGACATATCACTTTTAAAATTTTTGCGACAAGCTGTAAATCGGAAACTACCCCTAAATTAAAGTCGAGGAGTCCTAGTATTGTTACATCCAAGAACTGTCCAAATCGGAGCACCATAGGATTTGTTATCGATTTTTGGAAATTGAATTTTTAATTTTGGTCAATTTTGGGCCTAAAATCAAGTATATCTTCCGCGGGTATCAACCATTTCGGTCCAAATGTGGTTTTTCCGAATCTATTGTGATGCTAGCTTCTTACTAGAATATTTCCACAAAAAACCTATGAGGCATATTTCTGTAAAACGCGGAAATGTTGAAAGTGTAAAGGTTTGATCGTATAAAATATCGCCGCGAGCCGCGAAGGGACGGGCGCAGCTCGAAACGAGAAAATATTTTAAGATTTTTCGAGAAGTTTGATTTTAGCGTGAAACCAAATTAAACTCGATTGAAATTGCCTGAAAACAGAGTAAAAATATAAAAATGACATTTAGGTTATGTTTGCGTGCTATTTCTGCCTGTATTTCGTGTTGAAATCAGCTTTTCGACACCAAAATAATATTTCTCGAAGAAAAAATTATTATTTTCTCGTTTCGAGCTGCGCCCGTCCCTTCGCGGCTCGCGGCGATATTTTATACGATCAAACCTTTACACTTTCAACATTTCCGCGTTTTACAGAAATATGCCTCATAGGTTTTTTGTGGAAATATTCTAGTAAGAAGCTAGCATCACAATAGATTCGGAAAAACCACATTTGGACCGAAATGGTTGATACCCGCGGAAGATATACTTGATTTTAGGCCCAAAATTGACCAAAATTAAAAATTCAATTTCCAAAAATCGATAACAAATCCTATGGTGCTCCGATTTGGACAGTTCTTGGATGTAACAATACTAGGACTCCTCGACTTTAATTTAGGGGTAGTTTCCGATTTACAGCTTGTCGCAAAAATTTTAAAAGTGATATGTCAAGTAGGGGTACTTTTTAGGACATTTTTTGTCATAAGTCCCAAATAACGCTTCGATGGGCTGAACCACTATTATGCCGTTACTCAGTAGGGTACCCTCTTTCATTTTAATATATACGTGCCGACTCGTCCGGAAAGGGTTAATAACCCAAATACCAAAGAAATACCAAAAATTGCAAAATGCGTACGCCACTTGAGATTCCAAGGACGTCTCCGATCCAAGTACTAATCAAGCGCACCGTTGCTTAACTTGCCAGATCGGACGGGATGGCGTGCTTTCAACGGGCTATGGGCGTACACATTCGTCGCTCTGGTTCCATTCCATTTCTCCTCTCCTTTCCGCTAGCCGAGCAAAAAAAAAACTATGTCCGAAATCGAAAATGCGGAAGAATGGAAAGACCGTGTCGCGGTGGTTTATTGGTTACGTTGCCAACTAGGCATCAAAATAAGTGGTGTTCGAACTCGGCAGGTAAAAGGTTCGAAAGCTGTGCTCTATCATGCACTTTGATTGGCAAATTAATGGTTTTTTAAAACCATTAAAAGAATCCCGCTTCGTTTCTATTTATTATCATGAAGTGAAACAATCATATAGTCTCATTACAGAGGTTCCAAAGCATATCTCTCCTTTTTTCGCTTATTTTTAGAGTTTTATAAGGCCCGTTGACCTTGCCTTTTTATCAGAGTGTTTGCGGCAGAAGGCTGAACTGTTTCTTGTTTTCATTGGAATCTTTTCTGTTTGGCTGAGCTGTTTTTGGGCCGTTTGAGTGTACATAAATACATTAGCAAGATGAGAAGTTCTGAAGTGATGCTTTTTGTATTTAAAACAATATTTTCTTACTGTCCGTTTTATTTTGGACAGACCGTGAAATGAGCAAATTTTGATTACGAATCCTCTGGATTTGGTTGAATTTGCTAGCCAAAGGGGTAAGAATGGTTATGTGGACTCGGAAATTTCCTTGGCGAGACCTGGGTGGACTACTCGTGCTTCAGGGCAAGATCGGGCTCAGAAACGAGAGTTCACTTTTAATTGTCGGGCATTATAAATTACGGACTCCAGGGATCGTAGATTTGTATCTTTACCGAAAAAGAAGAGGACCCGGCGCTTTAATTTGTAAAAGGAAGGGTGGAACGAGCGTCCAGAGAACAGATGAGCTTGGCTTTTCTGAACTTCCCTCGCTTTTCTGCCTAAAATAATGTTTTGTAAACAATTTATTCGCGCTTGCAACATGAAGGAACAATCGTTTATATTTATTTTTTAGTGTAAGGAAAAGGAAAATTGGCCGTATTTTTGGTACGAAATGACCAGTGTTGAACCTAATGTAGATCAGGGCGGAAAGGAGAAGAGAAAGAGACGATTTGGGGCTAGGACTTCTGCGGAAGAGGTAATTTAACAAATTATTTAAAAAAATCCAAACAAAAGAACTTCATACAAACTCGATATTACAGTGAGAAACATGATTCTTTTTGACCCGTTACCGCATTCTATTAGTGTACGTGATGTTTCAGGCCCTCGAAGGTATAGATCTTACCGGAAGAACAGTTCTTATTACTGGCTCGACTCATGGAATTGGGAAAGAAACGGCCAAACAGTTGGCCCATAAAGGAGCTCATGTTGTTATGGCCAATAGAAACCAAGAATTGGCCGAACAAGTTCGGAAGGAAATCAAGGGAGATAATGATAACATCCAGGTCGACCTCTTGCAATTGGATTTAAGCTCCCTTGAATCCGTCAAAGAATGCGCTGAGGAGTTTCTGAAGCAGGGATGGTAAGTTCATTAGAACTTGCACGAGTTGCTTAATGTAATTTTCTTCAAACGTTTTAATTTCAGGCCTTTACATATCCTTATTTTGAATGCCGGAATCATTTCAAGCCCAGAGAAGCAGACGAAGAATGGATTCAGCAGTGTGTTTGGAGTTAATCATCTTGGCCATTTTTATTTGACTTCACTACTCAAGGAAAAGCTTTTGGAATCAGCACCGGCCAGAGTGGTTGTTTTATCCTCAGGCTCTCACCGTCACACTGGCATAAGCCCGGCAGCTCCAATTGAAGAGAAAGTCAAAGCTTTGACTCCTGGGCCAGACACAACTGTTAACGGTTATCGCCAGTATGCTTTGTCAAAGCTGTGCAACGTCTTATTCGGCTTCAAACTTCATCGGGATTTATTTGATAAAGGAGTAATTGTTAATGTTGTTCATCCTGGAAATATGGTTCAAACGAGTAAGTAAAAATTGAAGTATTGATTTTTCTACGATTTCGAATTTTCAGATATCGCGAGCTCCTACGGTCTTCTCGGCAAGTTTGCTTACCTCTGTGTTAAACCTTTTACTAAAAATATGAGTCAAGGAGCATCGACCTCTGTTTATTGTGCAGTTCATCCCGATCTCAACGAGGTAGGCATATAGTTTTGGCATTGATCGTCACTAAGACCAACGTGGTCATAGCCGACCCAGTAAAAGAAGGTTTTTGAGGCCTCCAGGTTTAGCCTTTGGGAAAACCAAACTTTCCTAATCTTGTCTACCATTAAATTGGACCATTTTCTTCTTGTCTTTCGAATATTTGTTAGCTTGTATAAAACAATCTTCCAGGTCGGTGGAAGATATTTTGAATCCTGCTGGGACGATGATTCGAACCTTGCCGGAGCGTTGGCCAATGATGTGGAATTGCAGGATGCATTGTGGGAAAAGAGCGTTCAACTGATTGAACAGGCTGGATTTACTGTTTGACTTTTTTGTGTGGTGCAAATTGATGGAAATTTATTTAATGTGAAAAATAAACCTTATACATACATGTAGTTAAAAACAAATTGGAAATGGAATTTTGATTAATACAAATTTGACAAAAAACGGGTTAACTAAGCGTGAACTTGGTTCCAACTGGAGATTATTTATGCATTAGTAATCATTAAAACTTAGAAAAAATTCAGAGCGTAAAATATTATACTGTAGGCGTATTTTCGTCTAGTCCTATTTATTAAATTTACAATAGCCTACGATTTGACGTTGAAGATGCGTTACCTTGTAATCCATGTCGCCCGGTGCATCTTTGGATACTGAACTTGTTGAACCCAAAAAACTCAACAAATTTGCATGAAGAGTGACTTTTTATAACCACTTTTGCTTTTCCACCCTTAGGATGAATTGAATTTAAAGCGCGGCCAATTTGCCGCCTTTTTTATCCGTTTCTTGTCGCAAAAATCGTTTGGATTTGTATAAAACGAACATTTCTTTCGTTTTTTGAGCGCCGTTGGATTCGAATAGCCGCAGGGATTGACCGGTTTTGCACCTTGTTTTATTAAAATTTATCTGGTTTCGTTTTCATGGGTCGATGGATTCGGTGGGGGCAATCGGAGACCGAAAGAGAAGGGGTGAGGATCCGTATAATCACCATAATTTTTATTATCTTTGACAGTTGAGGGAGTAATGGGGTATTGAAATGGCAGATTGCCATTTTATTGCAAATCGAGAAAGTCTGTCTAGTGGAGTGGGTAGAGTTTAACGATATAGCTTTTTTTATATCTGACTAAAAATTAGGCCTTGGTGCAATGTTTTAAGACGGGTTTGGTTAAATTTCAGAAAGTTTCTCATTCGAAATTTCCTTTATTTTTTTAACGATGAAGCTTCTAGAGAATCCAGAAATCGCATGTTCCTTAATACTACACTTAATAATGTAATATAACTTCTTTCCAAATTTGTCTAACGTTCATTGGACGTTAGACAAATTTGAAAGAGTGAGCTTTATTCTCACTGTTTACCTCCATCTCTCATTTCTCGATTACCTTGTTTTTTGGGAAACCCTTTAAGCGATCCGAATCTGAAGCTCCATCGAACACAGATGAACCGAAACGCGAGAACCCAGATCTTTTCGCCGAGGAATCATTTTGAAAAACCCATGTTTCGACTAGTTTCGGTTCCCTGTGACCAGGGTCAAGGTGATCAACCCCGATTTTGAAATTAATGTTTTTTTTTGGAGTTTCTAGATTCTGTTTATAGCAAGGCAATCTTGTAATTGATTGCTTTTTGAGTGACATCCTAAATTACCCTTTTTATTTCCATGGCTTACTGCTATTTAAACACGCTACTTTGTTTACAGTGCATAAATATTAAACGACTTCCTTCTGACAATCGCTGGCTTCGGATCAATTTCGAGATTTTCAAGCAAAATTTTTTGAGCAAACAAACAAAGCTCTTGGGAGATCTTTAAAGTGCAAAAAAAGACTGTAACAACCCGCATTTCCGTCCAGTTACAAAAAAATAAGAGCCGGAAGGAACTGGTTTATCCACATTGTCAGGGATGAAGGGGAGATTCTTGGGAATAGGGGTACAATAGACTGTCTGGGGTGTTTTAAATTGTAAAATGAATGGGAAAGTATAGAGAGTGGAACATTTTACCATGATCGTTTACAAGGGAGGTGTTAGGAGTTTAAGGTGCCCATTTTAATCAACTTTGGTACAATTCAAGACTTTCGATTTTTAACAAACAATTTTTGAACCCGGCAGTATCAAAATTGAAAGCTTCCGAAATGCGAACTAAAAAAAGCATGGGCAAAAAAAATTTGTTTCGTTGACAAAAACCTTATTTGCAGCGCTAAGGCAGTCTCCTGTCCTAAACTTGTACTCTTGCCTTGTCCACAACATTGTACGTCATTCCGAATACCAATCCGTGCGTGGGTATCGGTCATTTCCCGAACGCACGACACAATCTAACCGAGATCACTTTACATTTGGTCTCTCATGATTTTTTGTCCAAAAGATTTGAAATCGGATCCCAGTGCGAAAACGAAAAATCAAATCTTTGATTAAGAATTGGGATTTTCACAAATCCGGGGGCTTTCAGACTCTTTTATGGACTGTGAACTGGAGCTTGTCACAATATCATTTCTGAAAGTTTTATGTTAATAATTTAGGAAGACATTCTAATAATGTTACGCCTTTTTCCTCATTCCTTCTGATTTTAAAATTCCTAAAGCCTCCTTATAAATATTCATTTGTGACTTGTTCCATTATTATAATAACAGTATCTATTCACACCCAGAGTACTATTTCGACATTCTCAATCTTCAGTCTTCGCAATTTTATCCAATAACAAAAATCTCTGACCCTTTGAGCATCCCTAAAGTTTATTGTTTCCTCTGAAATCCCCTCCGATGGAAATGGATTGCGTGTAGCGCATACTTTTTATGCTCAACATTGTAACCACTTGTAATGGGCATTAAGACGAGGCTAACTTGTTTCCTAAAGCCCGCGATAATCTTATGAACTTTTGAGACAGCCAAAGTTTAAAAGCCGTTTAATGGGTAAAAAATTTGCTAAATTTTTTAGCTTCTGTTGTTCGCCTCTCCCTAATTTCAATCAAAGAATGATTGTACGACCATGATCCTTTACAATGCACCATTGAACTTTACTGCGCCATGAATGTCTATTGTAAATCCTTTGAAAATCGCTGCAACTTTTCTAGAACATTTTTGTATTTACATTACTCACTGCGAATCCAAACAGTAGCCACTATATAACCGCAATAACTACTTCCGTCTCGATATCACCTGGGTTCTTTCGCCACTGATCCCTCAAGGATAATATATTTTGTTTATTTTTTTGACGTCAACTTTTGTGAGGGACCCATTTCTAAAAATTTTCTGTTTGTAGTTTTAATCTGGTCGCGGTGTTTACCTTCGCATACTGCGCGGTAGTTTACTCATTTCGCACCCTGAGGCTAAATAACCAACCGACGCCGAGATCCATGAGTCTTAGTACGGGAACGCTGCAAGGAAGGTGTAGTCTGCGTTTAAAAATATTGTGGAAAGGGGTTGATCTACCGGTGGAAGTCTCTTAGTGAATGCGACAAATAGTTTTTCTATGTTTTCTCTCCTGAATTTACATAATATTTCGTCTTCAAAGCACACTAAATACTTCTGGATCCGTCTGATTCGCAAGCAACAATACGTAAACGGTTATAAAAACATCAAAAAGCTTTTATTGTTTTTAGTTTCAATACCTCATTCTTACTCGATAAATCTTGTAGACCCTGTCTTCGGTTGATCTTCTTGGTTCCCATCGATCTTGTGATCTTCAATCGTTCCTTCTTGCCTCGTTCCGCATCATGCTCATCCTTTTTTTTTGCGACGCTTTCCCACTATGACCGTTTAATCGTTTACTTTTCGAACGCCAAAAAAAGAAACGGTGTTATAAAGGTGAGGTAAAGGCAAGCTCAGGAGGTTTTTTGGGTTCTTCACGTCTGGAGTGAAGAGGGTTTCTAATTCTGAGGGTGCGAAGTTGCGGTATTTTGGGAACTGTAATTTTTGAAGCCTTTCTTTGACCTCACAAAAAATTTAGCATCATTTTTTGAAAAATTGGTTGCTAAATGAAAGAATTTGCTTGCTTTGGAAATCACTGTTTAGACATGCCCTGTAAATGCCGCCGAGGTCATGGTTTTCTGCAAAGTTTAATAATTGTAGAGACCTTAGGTCATTCCATTTGTAAAACAATATCTTTTCTTGAATCTTTCAGCTTTTGTTTCCTACAGTATCGTTATTTCTGACCTTGACATCTCCATTTCTCCGGGTTTTCTTTTGTTTAAGATTACAGTAACCCAAACAGCCTTTCCCATATATTCAAATAATCATTTCATATCCCTAACAAATTACAGACTGTAAACTTCTTTTCAGCGCATTCCCAGATCTTTTTTGCGGGGGTTCCGAAGATTTGCGAGCGTTTCAGAAGGTGAATGTATCCATCACTCTCACTTTTAACGCGTTACTCTCATGTTGTTCGAAAACATTCACTGAGACCGATGACAAGCGAAGGAAAGGGTTTGAGTACATAAGTGAGAGCACTTTAAGCTGCTTCTTTTATTGTTTTTTTTATTATGATGGTTGTTGTTTACTGTTTTGGTTAGGACAGTTGAAGGATCGGATGATGATGCATTTGGTTTGCAGGCTTTTTCATATTCGTAAGACGACCATAAAAAGCAGTGTTTCCATTATTTTTAAAAATCTTTGAGCGAGCCCATAGGTCACTAGATAGGTCTATATAAATATGAAGGCCATAAGAACTTGCTTAGCAATCCGAGATTACGTACAAAAGACTACGTCGTTCTGTCCTAAATCCACAATAATACACATCCGAAAGGAAAGTGTATTCCTTTACGGCTGCTAAAAACTCAATGGAGTTTCTTATTACGTATAACACTTCCCACTTTTCTATTACTTGAAAACTAATTTGCCCTTTTATCCCCTTTCCCACTTCCTTTTTTGATCCTCCAACTCTTTGGTCACTCAGAAGAATCTGAGCGATAGTCAGTAATGAAGCCCTTTTTCTCTACTGTGTTAATGTTTCTGCATTTTTCTGCTGCGGAAAAATAGGCTAAGAATAAGCGCAAAATTAAAGAAGTTCTGGGGAAGTGAGGCTAGCCGAAGAAAAAACAAATTGGGCGGTGCGAAAAAAACCGGTGCGCCTCTAAACACCGGGCGGTTCTGTGCTTTTTTCGCAGCGTGAGCTGAGGTGTGCAAGTCGTTGTAGCTAAATGGGATCAATCCATGGATACGATTACCCAAAATCACGGGTTGAGTGGGTAATTGTTTTGGGAACGCCGTTACGACATCTTGTAGCTATTTTTGTTGTGGTATGGTAAAGAGTTGTTCTGTGACAAGTTCTAAACTTTCCAAATCATAGTTATGAAGCTCTATTTTTTCCGCAAATTTTGTTTTAGCCTGTATGTGAAACACAGAGAGTGGTTAGAGAGAAAACACTGTTTGGTCATGCATTTGCCAGCTTCTCGCCGAAAAGGTTATGTTTTGTGCCAAATTGCCCTCACCGACAGGATTATGTAGATGTGAAAATTTTCAGTCCAAAATTTGCGAAACTGTGCCACATTTCCCCACCCTTAGACTTCGAAATCTCGAAATAATAACTATGGTCAAAATTTGTGAAAAATTGCACCCAAAACTAAGCTTTTCATTTGGAACACGTCCCCTTTGGGGTTTTTAAAAATTTCCCCATATTTAATCTTTGCCATACTGCCTTGATCACATTTCACTCCAAATTATTATACACCACTCCTTGCCAACCAATTACTTCGAAAACAATCCTCTAGACTACTACAAAGTGATTACTTCTGTTTTTTCCTCCAATCCCTTCTGTCCACCCCCAACCATCCTCGACTCTTCTCCGTCCGCCTCCTTTCCCCTCAGGTGATCCACGCTCATAAGAAGATTTATGTTGTTCACGCAGTGTTCCTTTGTCTTCGCCTACCTGATGGGTAATCCATGTGGAAGGGAGTCTCTTTTCGCTCATTATAACGACACAGTAACAGTCGGTTGTCATCGAATTCGATTATGAGAGTTGTTTTTTCCTTTTTTCTTTTACGAGATTCTCTATTTGAATAACCTGGATGAAAGATATCCGGCGAAAAATCAAAGGTGGCTGACATGAGGTGTTTTTGCGAATTTATAATGCTTTATGTATAGATGTCTAGTATTGTACATAACTCATAAAAAAGTTGATTCTTTTTGTAAATTTTCCGCTACGTGAAATTACAAAATACGAACCTCCGACGTAAAATATGTGATGCCGATTTTTTAGCAAAATGACAAGGTTACAACATGTCCTGCGGCTATCAGCAATCATTTTGCCCGTCCTTTTGGCTCAACAATTCCATATCAGCGGCCCTGGAAATGCCGGAAATCTAGATCCCTGCAAATACTTCGAAAATGTCACAGGTAAAAAAATGGACAATTGATGGTCATTCTTCATAAAAATGCGTTTTAAAAAGCGAAATATTGCTTGGAATTTTTTTTTGTGGCAAATAAATTTGTCCAAAAAATGGAACAACGACAAAACAGAAGTAAACTATGAGAAAGGTATTTTCAGATGTCCAACAGCTGAATCATCATGAATTTGTGGCCTTCGAGCAATGTTTATACTATTTCTTGGCCAACAAAGCTCAACAAAACTCGGCCAAGTTTGGATCAGTCCATCCGATCGCAACTCTTCCCCCTGTTTATGGAAATACAGACCAGAAAAATGTAAAGGTCAAGATTGGGCAGATCACTCTTCAACACTTCCAGTTGGTAAGTTGATTTTAGAAAAGGCTTCATAAGTGATCACTGAAACCTTTTCGAAACTCAAAAGTTCATTGAAACTGTTTCCAGTAATAAAATACGCCTTGGTTTCAAAAAGTATGTAAAGAACTCAAAAGAAATCTATGAGCAGTTGTGAGGGGCTTTGAGTGTTTCTACTTGACCATAAAATTATAATCAAAATAATCATAACAAAAAAGAAAATCAATGAAAAAGTTGGTTTAGAACGAATTTATCAAAGACTTGAACATCATGGGTTACATGGAAATGCAATGGGACGATCAGAGACTTGCCTGGGATCAGTCTCAATGGAAATTGGAGAAGCTTCAAATTCACTCAGCCAATCACATCTGGATTCCCGTCCTCTCAAGCCAGGCCTACGAAACATCGTTGAGAAATGATGACGTCATGGAAGTTAGGAAGTTGGAAACCTCGAACAAAGGAAATGTCTCGGCTGTGATCAGCTTCTCGCTGAAGACGTTCTGTGATGACACGGATTTCAGACATTTCCCTGATGATGTTTACAAGTGCTGCTTCCAGTTGGAACCTCATTTTAACCAGGTGAGAAAATGGTCGACAAAAAATTATTATTATTTCGAATGAAATGCCTGGGTGCGATACTTAGAATTAGATTTGTCTGGAGATTTTGCCCAGAGGGTCAAAACTACCCGTTTCCTTGCTATAAACGTTCCGATAACCTTCGCTTTTCAGGACCTTATCGAGTTCGCCACCGACGGCCTCCCCGTTTTCACCGACCCAAAATATTTCCGCGACTATGGCTGGAGCATGTCGGGTACCATTCCCTCCGTGAACCCTGACCCGAACATTGTGGCCCAGCTCAACTTCTGCATCAATCTTCAACGTTCTAGCTCTGCTGTGAAGATCGAATTGAGTGTTCCGACTTGGGTCACAGCCATTCTCTTTTTATTCTCGCCATTCTTGGGGTCCATCAAGACACAGCTGTATGTGAAGTTGTTTGTGATGCTCCTCCAGGTTGTTATTCTTCAACTGTTCAGCAACAGAATCGCTCCTCATTTGGGATCGGCTTCAGCAACCCCGGTTATTAGTGAGTTTTTTTCTATTTTACTAAAGAGACTTGGATTTATTCGTATTTTACAAAAAATAAAATTTTCTTTGCTTTCAGTGGCTCTTCATGAGTTCTGCATGGTCATGAACACTTTGAGTATCATTGCTTCGATCCTCTTTTTGATGCAGACAAGAATTCGAAGAAATCTCCCGCCTTGGGGATGGCTGATCAAGTAAGGAAAATACAGTTTCTCTAGTAGTCAAATATCAACATTTGCGTCAAGAACACAAAATTCGCATATATTTTACTGGCAATTTGTATATTTTGTCCCAAAAATGAATTTTAGCGCCTCCCAAATCATCAACAAATTCGTCTGCTTCTTCAACCAAACCGCCGAATGGGACAGTGAGGGCGTTGAGTTGGAGAAGGGCGGACTTCCCGCTCAGTCCTCCAGTAACCGATATCAGGCCGATTGGCACAACGCCTTCCTGGCCCTCCATGGAGTCACCACTCTGGCCTTATCTCTGATCTTCATCTTCGGGTACCTGGTAATCCGCTGAATCTAATATTATAATAACACAATCCGGGCGCGTCAATACAACCTAAAATTCGAATTTTAGCAAGTTTTCTTTTCGAAAATTGTTAGACAATTAGATTGTTTATTTTGTAAAAATTGTATGTATATAAGGAATAAAAATATAAAAAATGTAAAAATTGGATTTCGAATATTGCTCGGGGCTTGGAAAAGACTGCACCGTGCATTGTCATGAAATGGGACTTTTTGAAAATTTTGAAAAAATCGATGTCTTGATAAAAAAAATGTCTAGGAAAGCGACGTTTTACACGAGGTACAATTCAAAGGCCCCTTGAAAGCATGTTTACCATCTTGAGCTTCACTGGCACACCTTTTGAATAGTTCCCTAATAATAGAAAATTCACTAGCGTTTTTAAACCTCTGCGCTTGCGCACTCCAGTTATATCAGTCTGTCGGGAAAATAACGGCGGATCGTCGCATCAAAATGTCTCGCCTCGCCGATATCGCGCACCAAATTCCCAGCCGCGGCTTGAAGTCGCTAAGCGATGATGGGCGATTCCGAGGCGCGACAATCCGCCGTTATTTTCCCGACAGACTGATATTGCCCCATGTCTATTGACCTTTCAAGATCAAATCTTACTGCCAAATCATTGGCTTTTTTGTTACATTGTATGTCATGTTTATTTATGCAACACAAAAAGAATATTATTTTACTGCTCTTTGTTGAATCTTAGGTTCCCAGGTCTTGCTTGGCACCCCAGCCAAAACGCCGCCATCAACGATCATGTTGGCACCAGTAATGTAGCTCGCCTCATCGCTGGCCAAAAACAACACCATGTTGGCCAACTCCTTCGGGTGCCCATATCTTCGCAAAGGAATCACTCTATCTGCATAATATTCCTCTGCTTGTCTTCCAGCCTCTTGAGTCATTCCATGGCGTGTCAAGAACTCGGTGTGAATCCCGCCCGGGCTTACGGTGTTGATACGCACATCATATTGAGCGTTTACTAAGGCCAGTCCTCGAGTCAGGTGGTCAAGAGCCGCTTTTAACGCGGTATATGGCAGCACACGTTCGGAAACGCGCTGCGAACCCACTGATGAGATATTAACGACATTCCCTTTCGTCTTGATCAAGTGAGGAAGGATTTTGTCGGTCAGAGTATAAACGCTAAAATGCTCATTTACTTTACGTTGCTATTTAGCCTAGATTTGAGACTTAAATTTCTACGCATCTCTTTCTCCAATTCAAACCTTACCTTCTAAAGTTGACATTGTAGACATAGTCCATACTTTCAACAGAATTTGGATCAGATCCAGTGAGATGCGACACTCCGGCGTTGTTAATGAGGACATCAATTTGGCCGAACTTCTTAAGAGTTTCATTTACTAACTTGTCTTGTGTTTCTGCCTCTTGAATAGGACCTTTAACAACAAGATACTTCTTGTCAGGGATTCCGAGATCTTTCAGGGCTTCTTTCACTTCCTATAAACATAAATAACACGAGCTTAGGCAAGGTTAAAATCACATAATGTTACTTGTTTATAAGAAAAACATCCTAAATTTACCCTAAGCCGCTCGTCCCTCTGTCCATGAACAACGACAGCGGCCCCTTCGCTTGCAAAGTTCAGGGCCATCTCCTTGCCCATTCCACTGCTCGAGCCAGTTACAATAACGGTCTTCCCGGCGAATCGTGGACCTCTTGGCATGATTTAGTTATGGCAGAACCGAGTAAAGCGCATATGTTATGTCGAGCAGTTGTTGACTTAAATAGCCGTATTTTGATTTATGGGATTCGAAGCTATAAACACATCGGAAGTTTCAAGATTCAACGCAGAAACTACGCAAAGCTTCAAGGCTTGCGTTTGAGACCTATAAATTGTGGGATGAAACGAGAGGGTTCTTCCTACAAACCACGGACTACATTATTTGACAAGAAAACATGGGTTTACGAACTTGACATTTGTGTACATGCCAGAGTGCACTCTGGCCTTATCTCTGATCTTCATCTTCGGGTACCTGGTAATCCGCTGAATCTAATATTATAATAACACAATCCGGGCGCGTCAATACAACCTAAAATACGAATTTTAGCGAGTTTTCTTTTCGAAAATTGTTAGACAATTAGATTGTTTATTTTGTAAAAATTGTATGTATATAAGGAATAAAAATATAAAAAATGTAAAAATTGGATTTTGAATATTGCTCGGGGCTTGGAAAAGACTGCACCGTGCATTGTCATGAAATGGGACTTTTTGAAAATTTTGAAAAAATCGATGTCTTGATAAAAAATGTCTTGGAAAATTTTTTTTGAGAATGCAAGCTGTTGCACAGTGCAGTAAAAGTTTAGAAATTTCAAAAATTTTGATGAAAATCGGGGTTTTGGGAAGGTTTCTTAATAAACGCAAAAAGGTTTTCCGGCTGAATATCTAAAACCGCCTGAGGTCAAGTCGAATGGAACAGGTATGACAGGAAGGTAGATATATGGAATAAAAGATGTATGTACATAAAATACGTTAGAGGAGTTAGTTATATGGCAGCTTTAGACGGCTTGAGGCATGGGTGGAGGAATGGGAAGGAGGCGGAAGAAGCTGGACACGGTTTGGGCCAGCCCGGCCCACGCCTGAAAACAAAATTTGTTATTTAATCCTTGTTTAGGGCCTCAGGGGGCAAAAGGTTGGCTACTAACCTTAACGAAGGTCTTGTGTAGCATTTGCTAAGATTTAAAATTAAAATCAGAATTTTTTGTTTCACTAATTTAAAAAGACTTCAAAAATTCAATTAATATTAGGCTTCTCAAAAATGTGATTTTTTTCAGAAATTTTAAATAACACCGAAGAATTGAACTTTTTTTAACTACATAAAAAAATTTTTGAATGTAATAAAAAGCGTTGCTGTGATTTTGTCACGCAAAAAATAGTTCCACATCCAAAACCAACAAGTTAAAACACTAATTTTTCTATTTCACTTACGTCGTAAAACCGGGCCTGTGATTGCAGCACCTCGGCTTGCCGACTCTCCAAAAGTAATCTCTTCTCGGCCAGCAACTTCTGTGTCTGGATTAATTGCTGTTTTTGTTTGGATAAACTGACTTCAGTGGGTTCATCGTCTGGATGAGTGAAGAGTTCGAAGGCCGGCAACGGCTCGCTTTGTGGGTTCTTTTTCTTCTTATTCTGGAAATTGGAATCGGTGAAAAAAAATAAAAAACAAAACTTTAGGATAGAACTATAAAAAATATATACGTTTCTCTTACATTTTTGGACTTTGGAGATCTGGAAGGAGCCTCTGCGGAGTCGGATTTCTTGATCTTCTTGGCGGGCGGAGGGATTTGAACCTCTAAAACTTCAGAAGTCGGGGCCAGACGTCCCATTTGGGCCACTCGTTCAATCTGAAACCCCATAAATGATTGACAATTATTTGATATACGTTTTGGTTCCTGCCGTCAGAATTATTTAAGCATTCATAAAGCAGATACAAATCGTACTTTTAGATATAAGATTTATCAATTATATCCGAAAAGGTGTTAAAAATTATTGAGAAAACTGTCCAAAAACACTTTTTGTCATATTACGGAGAATTTTTGCACCAAAAATTTCACCATGCTTTGACCAAACAACTCAATTCTCTGCCTAAAAATCTATTGTAAGAATCACATTTGGCTAGCCAGACTTTTAAAACAAATTCAAAAACTCTTTTCCTCCAAGAAATTGGTAAGTTCTTACCGTGTCCATATAAACATCCACATTGTTTCCCTCAGGCTCGGATGGCTGAAGTCGCTCTTGTTTTGGAGATTCGCTATGGCTTTCTCCCGCATTTTCCGTGATTTCTTTGTCGGTTTTCTCTTTTCGTGGCCGTTTTCTCGGTGTAGATCCCACTGGTTTGGCCGGTTCTTTCCCATCAGCTTTGAAGATGTCATCGTGATTGTCAAGGAGAGTCAAGGGCTTCTCCTTGTCTGTTAACAATCGGTATAACTTGGCTTCTACGGGAGTGAAACCAGCCGATCTGGAGAGAACATCTTCTTCAGTGGAGCCGGTTTTACTAAAAAAGATAGTAAAATAAGACGTATCTCGAGAGTAGGGGTTAAAATAAATGTAATGTGAACTCACATTGCGGCGTTGTTGACTTTCCTCTCAACTCGTTGCCTCAGCTTTCCCATATGACTTCTCAAGCTTATGGGTGTTAATTTCAAATTCAATTTCTGTTGAATAGCTTTACACATGGCATCGTAGACTTGTTTCTGGAACCAGCCAGGCTGATCTTTGCACTTGCCGAGGTCCAGAAGATTCTCTTCGTGGACTGTCAGCAGTCCCATGTACTGCTTGTTACTGAGCTTCGGCATTTGCCCTGAGGCGGTTTTCGTTTCCTGATGGGAAGTGGCTAGAAATTAACGAAACTTAAATATGGTCATCTATTCCATTAAAAAAACTAACAAAAAATTGCAAAAAAATCAAAATATTCTTGGTCAAGTAACCAGTAACAAAAGCAAAAGATATCGCAAAAATGTTTTCAATCATCTTTTATTAGTGTCAGTTGTGTGATTTGATAAAATGCAGTTATATAAGTAAAATAAAAATAGTGAGGAAAGAGATTTTGGGAGGCCGAGGGGTCCTGATGGGGATGTGCAATATAACTTTGGATCAAAACTTTAGAAAAAGCCTAAAATGGGCTCAAAATAGTCTATAGGTAAACGAGGAATGGCACAAGAATTATGTCATCAAAAATAAGAAAAACAATTTTACAGTCGTTGAAATAAATATTGCGAATTTGGAAGTGCAAATCATCAAAAAAATGATGAAATCCCCTCAGGAAATCGGAAGAATCCGCCCAAAAATCATGAAAACCGAGGTCATCAGACGACAAATTTGTTGGGAAAAAGAAACAATTCATGGTTACAATATAACTTCAACGTTTTCTAGAAGTTTTATGTACAATATTAGAGTCATAAATAGAGGGGACTACATATGTGGTAAGAGCTACTCGACGTCAACTAAAAATAATCAAGGGAAAATGATTTTTAATAAATTAATTCATGGTTTTAGGAAAATTTGGGCGAGAGAAATCGTTTTTATATCCGTAGGAAGCCCCGAAGGCATTTGCCGATCTCCGTCCAGGTCTGAAAAGGTCAATTATTCATTATAATTATTTTTTTGCATAAAAAATATAGAAGAAATAATTAATTTGTTTAATAAAAAAAATTGGAAATTTAAATCTTTTCCAAGCTTGGCTAAAAAATAGTTCTAATGATCTAGAGAAGGCCTCCACTTACTCTGTAATATTCCTCCTGTCTTTCCAACAACCCCAACTGCTTTCTGACCAAAACGAGACTCTCTTCAGCCAGAGTTCTCTCCGCCAGCAACGTCCTCTGCTTTTCCAGCATCAAAATCTCGGCATCCGTTATCGGCCTCGATCTTTTCGAACTCCCATCACTCAGCTGCGCGGTTTCGGCATCCGAATTCGGCCGTTTCTGCGGCTTGGAGGGCGGCCGTTTTGGCGATAATTTGGCTTTCTGCGATAAATTATGGGGAATTGTGACTTCGTGCGACACATGAAGCGGGGCAGCAGTGGCTGTGTTGATGCCATTGTAGAGAAGGGGGTTGGGAAGACTGGCTTCGGGCGGGATTCCGTTGGAGGGGACGATGATTTGGTAGAAATCATTGCCAACCGACATTAGGTTCTGAAAGGTGCGCGATAAGATGGGCGAAGGAAGATTGAATGTGGTATTTTGATTGGCATAAAAAACAGGCTACAGTAATTTGGGGGTCATTTTACAGTAAATTTTATCGTTCAAAGTTGAATTCAAAAAAGATAAAAAAATTAAGTTTTAAAAAATACGTCATCATGACGGAATAAATCTAGAAAAATGAAAAAAAAATTTTTTTTTCATGTAATTCCAAATTTCTGTTTTTTTTTGTAATCGCATGCTTTGCCCTATGATCAAATTATTATACCAGAAACACTTGCCTGATGATCAGTGGCCACCGAGGCCGGGATATGCAAGGTGCCAGCCGAGCTGCTTGGTGGAATCTCCTTAGGCGGACTCCGCTCCTGATATTGTGCATCAAATAATTCTGCTTCAGCGGGTGTTAGATCCGGCGGCCTTAGTATTAAGTTGCTATTATCTGCGGCGCCTGGGGCCATCCGCCGACAATCCTCGATCTTCCTTCCCAAACTCCGCGCAACTTCATCAATTTTGTCTTGAACTTGAGTCGTCGACCATTGGATTTTGAAATCGCGGGCCAAGAGTTCGGCCAGACTGTGGAAGAGCTGGTCTCGTTGGCGATCAATGTCTTTGATTTGGATGGATTGCTCGGTGAAGAGATGTAGATGTTCTCCGTAATGCCTCATCAACATGATCGAGGCGTCTCGAGGAAGATCGTTGGGGGTGGAGAACTGAAAAGCGGATGTAATAAAAACAATTTAAAACGAACGTATCTTTGCCTTGTTCAGACTTTAAACCAAAACTTACATCATTTTGAATCCCATTTACGGGCCGATGATCCTCCAGTCCATTCGGCACTGGGCTGACTCCTTCTCCATCTCCAGATCGGTTATTATTATCCAACGCATTTGGACATCCGAAATATCGGAAATAAATCTGTTCTGAGGGGGTTAAATTTAAAGTTGTGAGATCAGCATCGGCACTGGAATTGCATAAATTAATTTTGAAAAATTCTTTGTACTTTGTAGGTTAAAATAATTTCTATTGTTTTGAAAACTTACGGAATGTCTTTACATCGATTCCTAACCCTCGTCCGTATATTGGACAACTTCTTCTTGAGGGTTTGTTGATCAATTTCGTTTGGACCGACATTAAATTTCTCGCGAAGTTCCAAAACAATGGCTTCGAAGCCTTCCGGAGGCAACGAATACCCTCCACCAGGGTACTCTGAAAAAAATTGAATTTGAATATTCGATTTGTTTATTTTTATTGCTTAATTAATTGAGAAGTCTGGTTTTGGCTCTACAGCCACAAAACATACGTACATAGTTGGTAAGAGCCTTCCAAAACCTCTAAATTTTCTTGCGCAATAAAAACAAAGCAGGGAAACTCCGCAATCTCGTTTTCGGTGACCTTTCTTAAAAGTCGCTCATTTTTTTTATTTCCAGTTTGCAATTTCACTCCTCCGCCGCCCCCAGTAACACCCGAATGCCCTCCGGCAAGAAGTGGGCTCACCTCTTTTTTTGGCCGAATACATTTCCACCAGAGCGCAGGCCATCTCCTGAGTGAATACCTGTGAGCCTCGGCCCTTGCGGACGGACATTTTTTTGATTAATCCGAATTAACGCTTCCTGAAACATGAATTCGTTAAATAGAAATGGAAATTAGAGAGTCAGGACATTGGAGAGTGGCACGCGATCGAGATTAGAGCGGATTATTTTGGGACTAAAATACGGCGAAACTATATTTTATAATGCTATATGTTGGACAACCTAAGATGCTTCGCAAAAAGTAGAAAAATGCGTTTTTTGTAAATTTTCCCGTTCTCGACTTTAAAATTTGGATGATCCTTGCAAAGTACTGGATAAGTTTTCCCCATACGGCTTAGAAAAGTCATCTCCACAAGAACACCCAGTTTCGCCATGGTTTGTGCGTTACATCCAGACAATCTTGTCATTAAAAAATCCCCCATCCTAGTAAAATTCACCAAATGAATTTTTCACAGTAGACTGTCACAATAAAGTAAACCCCCGCCTCAAATTTATGAAAACCCCAAACTAATGTAGAAAACACCGACAAATTTTCACTAGTCTTTTGATAAATTGCCTTTGCTTTTACTTGGTATAGTTAATTATGCCTACAAGAGCAAAACTTTATAGCAAAACAAATCCTTTGGCTCCTATGATCTCATCTCAAACAATACCAGCTCTTTTACCGCCAGATATCCGACTCTAACACCCTCAAAATACGGCTAATTTATCTTTACTTTGCCTATTCTAGATGAGATTTATACTGGTCCAAAGACCATCATCGTCACAATGATCTAAGAATCTGATCCGACGATTCCAAAGATCTCGATTTCAACAAAATCCGCGGATTCATAAGGCTCCGTGAAAAGATGCACAAAAAGTCTTTGGGGGTTTTGGGGGGAAAAAGACGGAGCGAAAGTGGGAAAGGAAAGGAAAGCAAGCTGGCTTTTGGTTTTGGCGCGCTCTCTTTCTCTTTTTTCGTTCGCCCATTTTTACGGGCCCCCTAAACTCTCGACGCCCATCTCTGTCCGCTCTCGACCAAACGCGAGGTCTTTTCGTTGTCTGCTCCCTCTCTCTTTTGCGCAGTCTATGTTTATTGTGGTTGCTAATGGTGTGATGTCTCGAGAGCGGCTAGCGAACGCTTTCGGTGTCTGAAAATGGTGTTTAGTTTTGACTCGTTGTCTGACGCTCTCTCTGGTCTCTGTAATCTCTAGGCCGTCCTGGCTTTAACGCCGTTTCCTTGCGATCTATGGAATAGAAGTGGTCTTTGCGAACCGTGCGTAGCTTGGAAATTCTAATCATCATAATCTCGCTAATTAGGATGCCAATATGTGTAAAATACGGAGCATGTAATGTGTGGAAAAGATATGAAATAACTGAAATCTCAATCGATAGAAAATAACCTGGCCGGAAATTGGGCCAGGATGAATTGAAATTGTGTCCTCAACGGAGTAAACAACCGCCATTGGTCATTATTTACCGTAAATAACATGCGGAGGATACAATTCTAACACAAGATTTCGCGCGATATTTACAAAAATATGTTATTTTTCAAAACCAATTCAAAATTATATGCAATTAGCAACAACAATTAGTAATTGTTGTCTTTTCTCTGCAACTCTCTCATTTCCAATACTATTTTCTTTTCTTTTCATCTCTCGCCACTGTCGTTTCCTTTTTTCCTCCACCCGTCCGACGTCTCTCTACTCGTAGAACTGTCTTGTTTGTCGAAGAAAAGTGCAGCCAGCCTTCCAGAGCGCCCCAAAGAGTCCCTTGGTATCTGTTCTCTTCCCCATCTAACTGTGGCTGGCCCGTTGAACGCGACCCCCTCCCTTATAGCCCCTTCCCCTGTCCCCCCTGCCCTTTTTTCTCTGACCGTGTGACTTGCTTGCAAGTTGGACACATAAAAAAAACGTGAGTGCGGTGTCTTTGGAAGGGCACAAGTGAATTTATAAAAGCGACCGGACAAAAAGAGACCCGCCGCTATATTAAAAATTATTTTTCGCTCCAGGCCAAAACTCGTCAAAAACAGTGCGGGGACAAAGATCGATGCAGGGCAAATAAAACTGAGCCGCTGATAGACCATGAGAAATGTTGATAAATCAAAAATGGGCCGGAAGATTAGGAAAATATTTGCTAACAGAAGGTGTTTGGCCGAAATCTTTTTGATAAAAGCTGCCATAAATCTTCATGTTATAGAATCAACAAAAATAGTTAATTTTAATAGAAATATGCTTAAAATACACTCGTTTTCATTTTACTAAAAAATTTGCCAAAAACTCAATAAATGGTGCCTATAAATGTGTAATCGATAAATTAATGATGCCTATTGTAAAGAGCAATTTGACCTTTTGGAATAACATTCCGTCCTCTTTATACGTAATGAATGTCTGAGATGACTAAATGCGCTTACACCCCATTTGGCCACAAAAAAATTAAATTAAGGTAGAAAAGATTGGATCCTAGGGTCAAAATTTAAGGTATTTGGCAAAATTTTTAGGCTATAAAAAGTCGGGTGTCAAATCGGCCTTTGCAAAATATCAATTTTGAAGTACTTCTTCGTTGCGCAAAATCAGCAAAAAAATATCCACTTCCAAAAATTGCGTTTCTTTTTTGGTCCTTTGAAACTCCGCCAAATCTCGCCCAAAAAAAAGTATCCGAAAAACAACGCCAATACCCGCCGAGAATACAGTACACTGCCCGTCCCATACGCCCCTGAAGCGATATTACAGCACCGATACGCGCGTCCCTTTTTTGGCGCTCATAAAAGTCGGGGCTGGTGGGGCTGTGGAAATCGCGTATTCCGCACATTTCTTCGCCCCTCTCTTTTCTGCCACCCCTCGCTTCCAAAAAAGCCCCACACAAGCAGGCGTCGAGCCCAGCGGGCAAATAAATCTTTGCGAGTGGCGAGTGCGTCATTAATACATGATAATATAAAGAGGAGAGAGAAAAGGGATGACCAAAGACAGTTTGTTTTACAACAAATGGCTTCGCAATCGCAAAACATTACGGAAAACGGTGTTTATTAATGCGAAGGGAAGCGTTTGAGAATGCGACGGGAGAAGAAGCGTCACAGGTCGTAGTCGTATGTATAATTTGGAGCTTCAAAATGGAAGCGAGAAATGGGGAAAGAAGTGATGACGGAAATGAGTGATAAATTGGAAAAAAGAAATTGCAAATTTGACTTCAAAGTCATAAAGTAGAGAGATATTTTTACGTCATAAATTTTAAGATACAAGGATGGCCATTTATCACTGTGGCGTCGATAAAACAAGTATTAATTACTGACAAGGACTGGCGAAAAAACAATAAGTATATTCTACCGAACACAAACCTCCTCCCTTTTTTTCAAATTGAACCGATGCCAATAAAAATACCGCCGAAAATATTATACGAGCGGCCGTTAATTAGGTTTGGGCCTGTTTTCATGGCTCATTTTATACCTTCTCACTTTGTAAATTAACTTTCGCTTGACTTTGGGTTTAATTACAGAGCCGCTGGCTTCTATGGTAACAAAAAAAGCGATGAGCTAGTGAGGAAAATAAATATTACGACAAAATTGGCATTTTTTACCCGCGGAGGTTGCGCGGTTTAGAGATGAACCCGGAAATTACAGATGCGAGGGTGTCAAATTTTTTTCTTGCGTTTCGACTGAAAGGGGTGGTAAAAGAGAGATGGCCATTTTTTGAGCACCCTTGTAGCATTTTTTGTAGCAATTACAAGAAGAATAATTTTGGGTCAGTTTTGCAGCAGTTGTGATCAAAGTTGCGACTCATTCATGGTCTCAGAAAAAAATGCGCTGGGATTCTGATGACTTTGCAAAGATGACGCTGAAATTTGCACTAATTGGTATGATGCCACGACAGCTTACGTGACCAAATTGGTAAGGAAAATGGAACGTCACACTACGAACATTCGACCTTCCGTCCCTAAGGTAATACCTATCCTAATACATTTTAGTCACAAATTAAAAAAAATGACTGTTTCGAAAGTTTCATCCCAAATAATCATTTTTCAAAGAAAAACTTTACTATATAACTAATAACAATCGAGCTGATCAGTCAAAAAAGCCACCTTCCTTTTCCATCTAATAATATAAACACCCGTTTCTCGAGCGCCCGCTAGCCTTGACAAAACTATTCGCAGCCGGCGGAAATAAAAAAAATGGAAAGAAAAATAAGCTACTGAAATACAAATGAAGAAGCCATTCATTGCAAAGATTCCGCGAGCTTTTTTACACAAAACAACGCCGCTTTCTGCTCGTTCGTTCGGCGAGCGAAAGCGGTGCTGATAAGAACGGCCGTTAAAGTTTTTATAAAGCATTTAGTTGGCAGTGCGTTGAAGGAGAGGAAACGCAGATATTGGAGGGTTGGGAAAGAGTTATTAGCTGTTTCTTGCTGGTTCTTGTGGAATACATGGAATTAAAAAATATGGGCGAATTGATAAGAAATATTTCGAGCTGCAAACATTCAAAAAATAACTGTTTTATCTTAAATTCGCAAGAGGTTTTTTAACTGGGGGTGAATTAATTTGCAAGCTGGTTGTTATGATAGATGCAAACATGCATAAATTTGAACGGTTTTGAAGGCTCTTTCGAAGTATTAAGTGTTTCAGGTGCCTCCTATGCAATACGACGTTGATTCATATAGTGAGACGCATAGGTGTTTTCAAAATGTAAAATTGATGGCTTGCTGTGGTGTACATAGAAAATTGAATTGTGGCACATTGGCTAAGAATGTTGCAGAAAACGATGTTATACTCATTTTTCATGACATTCCAGTCAAAAAATCGTTGAATATCTTGGTTAATCAGTAAAATGATACATTCCGTTGGGAAATTTGAACAAGCAACCAAGTGCAACTCCACTTTTTCTCTACAAACGTTATTAGAGTCCCCTTACTTTGCTGATTTAGTAGTTTGGGCAGACATTGATTCGCCGAATGACTCACTTTTCAAATAAACTTTTTTTATTTTCCTGGAAAATAAATATTGATAAAACAAGAAAATACAATCACTGTATGAGTTTAAGTACTCAGAATCACCGTCACAATGAGAGGAGAGATGACTTTCGCCCTCGCCAAGAGACGACAAGGACCATTATGTACAATTGTAAAGTAGAAGATAATATGTTTTTCTTTAGCGAATACTACACTCGTATCTTTAGACCGACAATTATTTGCAAACAAGGCACTGATTTCAATGTAAATGTGGGCATCTTGAGCTGGATAAAATGCTAAGTAAGGCTACGTGAAAAAGGCTGAAATAAAGATTAAATAAAGGCATCCTTAACCGTTTAACGGCGAATGAGAAGACGGAATTTGGAAAGATATGATGGTAAATCAATACATTACAGTGGAAATAAAGTTTAATCTGATTCCACTGGCTTTAATGGAGTCATCTCTTGGATTGGGGCTCCTTTCAGGCTGAGATTGCCCTTCTGGCAGTGCTTGCGAGTCTGAAAAATAAATTTACTAATCATCACGGATTTTTTATAACGGCATTTTCTGTGCCAGTCATGCGAACCCTCGAAAAACCCCTAAGATTTCATGTCACTCACCTTGATCAAGTAAACGCAATACGTCGCGAATCCAAGGGTCACAAAGAACACGCTCATAATAATCAAGAATCCGAAAGTTCTCGGATCCGGGAACACAATTACAATGATATCTTTGAGCACGTTGAACAGCTGACAGAAGGCATTCTGGACTCCAAAGACGGTGCCTCTTTCTTCTTCTGGAATATTCTCTTGCATCAGCTGAGTGATACACAAATCAGCCATCCATAATCCAAGCCTGGCCAAGGTGAGGCCAGACAAAAATACTAAAACTGAGAAAAGGGGGTATCCATGGATCGTTAATGCGGACCAATCAACGTCGGCGGAGGTGTGGAGAGATGGGAGTGTAGGGATCATCGTGATGTTATCCCCGATTTTTTGAATCGGAGAATCTGGAGGATTCGCGGCGAATGCATCCACAAATTGCTCCCACCACTTCTGAAAAGATATGAATTGTAAAATACGTTGTGCCTCATTTTTGCTGACAATAAAATCAACTTACCTCCAACGTAATTTCCTTTCTATAACCTTCAGGATCAAAAGGACTTCCCGGCAATGCAATTGAGATTACACAGAGCCACAGGAAGGTTTGTTGAAGCTAAAAATAAAATAACGGTATATACGCGCTGAATTGATCTAAAGTAGAAACACCAAAAATCCCTTACAATGAGACCAACAACACCGGTCTTCCTCACACCAACAATTCGCTCCGACACGGTGTAAGTGAAAGCTCCAGCGATTCCAAGGACACTACCAGCAGAACGGAACCATCCAATGACGTCATCTGGGAGATTCTGGCTCTTGGCATGACTTATGGCCAAGCCATCAAAACCAAGGACCGTCATGTACAACATGGCCAGACCAAAAGCAGCAGGACAAACGGATTGGCGCCAATAAGCGCGAATCATCTTGCAGAGACGCTTGTGGACTGGCAAACGATCCGTGTGAGTGAGAAATTCAATCTCTCTTTCGACGGATTCATCATCTAAAATATGGAAAATATTGTCGTCGTTTTCAAGGCTGCAATCTCAGAGTAATACGCTCAGATCTTGACGAAATTCTGCGCAGAGTCATGATTTTCTCGACAGACTGATATAGTCAATTTTCTTACCTCTAACCCTCTCTCTAACATGTAATTCGTCAACTTCATTATAAACTTTGGCCAGCAAAGTTCTCTCCACCACCCAGAAGAATAAATTACAAGCCACAAAGAAGAGACAAGCTCCTTTGTAGCCCATACAGGTCAGCGAATATCCAGTGACAATCGGCGCTATCACACTGCTCAACTGGTCGATCACTGTCATTGTCGCGTTTCTGGCCGAGAGCTGAGATTGGTCTTCTTTTTTGGTCAATACTACTATCCAATCTTTTGTAAATGAGAATTTCTCGGCTTCAGATGCGCATTTGGAGAGGGCACAAAAGAAAATAGAGAGTGTAATGCAGGTAAAATACAGGAGACAGGAGGTGCTTCCATAGGAAGAGAGGCAGATCAGCAACATGGAGGCTGATAGAGCGACACTGATGTTGTTGAAGGCGAGAACGGTCAGAGTACCTACAATATTGAAATTATGTCTTTGAAATATAAAATTGGGTGTTAAAGAAAGCGAAAGTTTACCATGTCTCCGATCTCTGCGATCCATCCAATTCCCAATGTAAGTACTCAATAACATTGCCGAGATGGCCTCAATGAATTGATTGATCGAGACCAGTCTCATTCCTCCCAAACGCTCCAAAATAAATACAATGGCGAAAGTCCAAAGGCGATCGCCGATACATGAGATTCCATATCCACAATATAAGAGGAGAAAGGAACGGGAAATTCTGAAAATAAAAATAAATTACTTTAAAGTAGGAACAATGGTAGAAATTTTACAATTTTGAGCTTTTTACTGTGGTATTTAGATCCATCAAAGACTATTAGCAATCCTCACTTACCCGCTGCTTTTCTCGGCCATGTCAAACAACCAATCGAGCAGGGAACAGGAGCAAGTTGGCTCTCGTTCTTTGGCCTCCCTGATGTCCGAACCCAACGACGAAAACGACGAATCCGAGGACTCGGACTCTGGTCTGGCTCGTTTACACTTTTCCGCCGGAAGCTGCGATGCTCTGCAACGCCGTCGCACAAAATTTGAGATTGGCCTGAAATGAAAAGAGTCGTAATCAATAGACTGTATGAGTGAGACCCTTTTCCTAACTTTTTGATTGATTTTTACTTTGAAACATTAACTTTAGCAGGTCAAAAGCTGTAAAGTAAGTTTTCTTTCAAACGTTTTTGTAAAAAAATTGAAAAAAGGGTTGTAGAATCACAAGCCAATAGAATTTTGAAGGTTCCAAGGCTCTTTTTTTGTTTCAGGAACACTTTTTTTGACCTATGACATCATCATGAGCCATTTTCCGAACAAAAAATCAAAGCAATTTTCGAATTTCCCCTCTCTTATAACTCCCAAACATTTTCAAAAGTCAATTTTTTCCAGCAAAAAATAATAGGTTTGAGGTAAAAGAGATCAGAAAGCGACGCATGTCCCCTCTTATTGTAAGGGATCGAAAACCGGGCAATATCAGGGATAAAATCGTCTCTCCGAGTTTCCTTTTCCCCGATGGACCCAAACCGGATCCAAATACTTTTTTTGGGATCCGAAAACGGAAGCGGGAAATAAAAAGGAGACGTTCAAAATTTGTTTAACTTTTCTACTTTTGGGGATGCAAAAATGGACAGTAAAAATTTGGAATCTTGGAAAGTTTAGAGATTAAAATTTGCATTAAAAATTCATCAAAAGGTCAATTAAAATGTCGATGAATTTGTAATGGCAATTAAAAAACCTTAAAAAATATAATCATAAAATTTTGGCAACCATTCTAAGAAATCCACTTCACAATAAAATTAATTTTTACAGACTTACATCTTCTTTCACTGACCGCTTAATATATATACACATCCGGTTTAGATGTGTTTACAACACAAAACGTGCAATGTACAAAATAATACGTGTAGGAGAGGGAGAATAGTGGACCTCAAGGGGGTGTAGACCCGCCAAAACTCACGTTTAAAACAATTTCTGATTTTCGCTTTTCCATCGATAGATTATGGGGTAATCTACTTTACTAATTCTTTATGGAAATTTTCTAGATACATTTTAAATACCTCTTGTTGTGAAAATTTTCGACAATTTTTTATTTCTGCCAAGTGCCCACTATTTTCTCATTTTTCCCTCAAATTTAATACTTAGCTCCTCGCAAACATCTTCATATATCACTTACATTTTTAAATCTCCAGAAGCTGTGAATCAAGTAGAAAACTCCAAAACACACCTTGAAATTACACTACTGCCGACTTTTCGGCACAGTTCGAGCAGAAATGGAGGGCCAAAAGAGGGTGGCCAGAATTTGTAAAGGAAAGAGAAAAACGTAAGGGAGAAAAAATAAAAGTATTTTTGATATCAAATACAAGACCTTGACGTGAATAATAATGCGTATTCAGAGTTGCCAAGAGCTATTTTAGGCAAGATATTGTATTTAGTAAAAGTCGGATTAATGGTGATTTAAATAAAATTAGCCGGGAGAATTTCTTGATGACTATGGCAGAAGAGTTAAATTTTGAATACAATATGAGGCTGTTAGACTACCGGAAAATTCTTTAAGTACAATGACAACTCTCACAATTTTACCACAAGACCTTCAAAAATTACCCTACTAGAAAGACAATTTAATCTCAGCAGATATGGAAGTTTTAACGAGTTTTCTAGATTCCTATTATGAATAGAGGATGAAAAGACGTTTAACGTCCGAATTATGCAAGAAGATGTTTTGGAATCTGAAAAAGAGAGAGAAATAAGAAGGGTTTATTGAAATTAGTCAACCGAACGCCAATTCCAAAGGAAAAAACGGGAGAAATCCATAAGAAGAAGGGAAAAATGGGAGAGATTTTGTAAACGCGGAGATTTGTGGCATTCAATTAGCCTTGAGGGCGAGTTATATGGGTATATAGGAAAAACAAGGGAGATTTAAGTGAAATTTGAGATGAAAGTGTTTGAAAAATGCCTTTATCTTTTCTGAAAGGATAGTTATTCTAAAGCCACCTTAATGCTAAACTCTATGAACAAACTAGGACTAACTGAAACATAACAATTTCTTTTGTAGCCCCAAAAATCGCTAAAATTGTAATAAAAACTGATTTTTTTGCTTACAATTCTCATCATGTTTTCTTAAGATGCTCACGAAACTATTTCTAACTAAAAACATTCCTAATAACGTCTTCAAAAAGTTCAAAAATCATCCCTTTAAAAATTATAAACTCATTTCCGAACCGAAAGCCTTCTCGTTCCAAAATCCCTGACCTAATCTCCACCTTTTGCCCCCAAAAAGAAACAGACTTCTTTTTCGAGCAGAGATTAGAACGGACGAAAGAAACGGAGAACAGATCGGGGGATTGGGGAAAGTGTAGGCGAGTGGCAAAATTTTACGAATTCTCACGTAATTCCGCGATTTTTGGGGTTTCTGGAATGGTTTTCAAAGGGTTTTGGAGGAAAGAGCACGAGTTAGAAGGGATTTTTTGAGGGAAGGGGGTCTCCTTGGTTATTAAAAAGGCAGCAGTCGTTTTAGTTATAAATAATGTGAAAACGGGAAATTTCTTTTTGTAAAATACGAGTAATTTCATTCGAAAATAGAAATATTTTGCTTTGGAAGCATTATCGATTTATTCAAGGCGATTTCTGAGGCAAAACATGCCTTGTTCAGGCCTGACCTTTCGCTGAAAAATCAGCAGGTTGAACTCCGAATCAAGCCGCGGTTTCAACTTCCTCCCTTCTGGAACCCTTGAGAATCAAATTTTTTACCGAAATCCCAAAGACCGCGCTAAAAAATCCGCCTTTTTTGTCGACAAAAAAGTCCGAAGCGACTCGCCTCAGGCGACATTCGATTGTCTGCGAAAACATTCCTCGCTGACGACGCTTCCAGAAAGTTGTCTTTCCGCGACGTTTTTGCGCAATGACACGTCGGCGTGTTCCTTGATTAGTTGAGAAAAACAAAAGGGAAAGTGGTTATTGTAGAAAAAACGAGAAAGCGGTTAATCAGAGACGGTTTTGAACTCTTTGGGTGTGGGGTTGTAATAAATATGGGGTCATAGGAAGGACAGAATACGTGGATTTATGGAACAGGTTTGGAAGAAATGGGGTCGCTAGTAAGAAAATTCGCGACTTTTCTATAAGACTGTTTACAAGAAAGACCTCAAAATGGGGCTTACAATTAGTAGACCTGGCTTTTCGGAACGGGCCGGGTCAAAAAAGAAGCTTGCCTGACCCGCAGGTGTACTCCAGAATAACAATAGCTAATAGGTGCTCGCAAAAATCTCAATTAATTTTTGCATACTATGAAAGGCTGCTATATTATATTAGTTTTATAATTTCAACGTTATTTGGTGCATATACAAAACATTTCCCCTCATTTTTCCTTTGAACACCATACTTGTTTCTTAGCAAAATCATTGTTCTTGGGGTCCAGACCTAACTGTCAGCCAGGACAAAACATCTACGTACCTAACTAAAATGCTTATAAAAGAATGATAAGTGCGATTATCTCAAAATAAAGACCGTCAACCAAAAGAAAACCACCTTTTACACGTATTTCGGTCCATTTTTTGCTATTAAATTGACAGGTGTATAACTCCATTGACTTTTACAGCTTCCAGACCCCATTTTACAATCAATTTTTTATAAAATTGGCTGTCAATAAAGGTATAAGATATCTAAGCGCATACGGCATTTTTGAGAAATAATTTCAACGAATAACGGCGTTAAAAATCCCAATTTCCCGTTGACTTACCTCTTTCCACAACCTGTACAGCACTTTCAGTCCGCCGGCCTGCAATCAGCGACGTCTGCGGAATACAAAAAGATCTTTTGCGAAATTCTCTTTTGGGTTTTATTTTTGGCGTTATCAGTCCATTCTGCCCCGAGGGCCCGGTTTAAAGTGACAAATTGAACGGGACTTCACACTGTGCTGGGAATGTTGAAAACTCCAGAAACCGCTTTCCAAGCGATCCAGCTTAATATTGCATTAAAACAGGGAGAATTCACGCAATTTAGTCGTTTCAATACGTATCGAGCATGTATGGATTAAGTTTTATCAGAGAGCTTTGGGAATGATGGAGAAGGGTTGGAGATCAAGTTAGAAGGTTGAAAAAGGAGGGATGTAGTGGTTATCAGGGTGCGGTTCGTCTGAGAGGGTGTACTTGTCGAAATAAAGAGGAGAAAATTCAATATTCCAAAGAAATAACGGAAATTCAGAGAGTTGGATGGCTGAAATGACAAGTTTGTTTTTCCTCATAAATTCCGAATATTTTTTCCATACTTTGTTTTGTCTCAAAAATGTTTTTGTTTCCAGACAAACAGAAGCCTTTCCTTTTAGCACCCTATAATCCCCAAAATACCCATAACAAACACCGTCATCATCGTCGCAAATAACACGTTTTTCATAACCCTAAAATAATATTTGCAGCTCCAAGCGTAATCCCGGGATCATCCAAAATGACCAAGGTTTAACGAATAAACGTGGGATTTTGCAATAAAATAATCAAATTGCAAATCAGGTGAATTCAAATTGGATGATGCCGAGATCTTTGATCTGCTTGGAGCCAAAGTAAGAGACATTCTGCAGGTTTATCAACAGGGAAAATTTAGTAATTGGACTAAGATAAGAGCGAGTCGGGAGCTGATAAACACAGGAAATTTTTGAGAAATCGAAAGTGTTTTGTTGAAAAGTATGAAAAGTGGAGATTACGTTGTTTAGAGCCAAAAAAAGAGAGTTATTGGCGGTACTGTCATCCTTGAAGAGTTTAGTTCCACTTTGCAAAATTAACCAGACATTCAATGTTTACGCTGAAGAGCAAATAAAGTGGAGAATGATTTGGAGGAACTTGCTCAAAATCGGCGGATTAAACCTTGAACTACCACTTAATTCATTCTTTAACCCATCATTAATCATAAGCATTACATTTTGATGTTTTTTCTGAACAAGTCTTGCAATGTACAGGTCAAACCACATATAACCTTTTGCTCTTTTCTTTCACGTAAAACATAACTTCCAGATGGATGATTTTTGAAACATTTACTTGTTTAATGTGCGTTTAGGCCAAGAAAATGTTTTCAAACATGAAATTAGCTGCATTTTTTGGGTAAAAGCAACGTGCAATATAAGAAATGAATTAAAGTGAAGTTCCATTGGGGTCTATTACATCTGGAGACAAATACGAAATGGGATTGAGTGTAAAATTAAAATGTGTAGGAATAAAGATTATAGTTTCGACTCCTTAACACAGGCAGGTGGAAGTTACGAAATTTTGCCCTTTTATGGATAAAAAAGGCAAGAAAAGTGTAGCAGATGGTAAAAATAACAAGCAATTCAATGAGCGTTGCTGTGCTTAATGGCAAACGGGATCCAAATTACGGCTTAAAACTTTTTTCGAATTACGCGCCAACCTTGTCGAAATATCATAATCCTCTTTATGTTTACCCCAAATTTGGACTGAAAATACCATAAAAGGTCGAAGAATACACAAAAAGTTTAAACGAGGAATTGGAATTGAAATTACAGCTTTGATTTACCACTCATACGCTTTAATTTTTACTCTGAATTGCATAAAATTCCTTATACCTAACAATTACAGTCATTTCGCTGGTGTTTATTCCTTGAAAATACAAAAACGAATGCCCTTAAGTCATAATACTGCTATTTAAATCTTAATCTACAATTTCTACGCATCTTGTCAATTTGTCTTCGATATAGCACTTGATTACGTAAGATGACTACAAAAAAACCAAACGATGGTAAAGTAAAAACCACAGAACATAAAATTTTATGAAATCTTTAATCCAAAACTCTCCGAATTTCGAGGTTTTGGAATAAAAAAAGCGCGTGAAAAACAATTTTGTTTGGGCGAAGGGAAAACGGGGAAAAAAGAATGAGCCAAGAAGACGCCCGAAAAACACAAATTTTTCCTTGGTGATATTTCAGGAGTCCCCTTTGAAGCTTCAACCCTTCTTGGCGAAATTTTCTGAGATTGCCAAGCTATAGGAAGAGTGGAAAAATTCCAAAAAATACAAAATTCCCAAAAAAACACGACCTTCACAGGAGCAACAACAAAGCGGTAGAGCCAGTTTAATATTTTTTTGTTTTTGCAAAGGAATGCAGACGCCATTTTTTTTCATTTTTGTAAATAATGTTTTTACCAAAAAATTCCACCCCAAATTGTAATTTTTTGCAGGCAATGCCCTGCATTTAACCTGACTTCGAATGTTTGTTTAGTCGCTTTTAACCGTGCAGTGGAGATTGGAAAACAAAAGTTGCCCTTTGATTGGCCCAATCAATCGGCCATATTTTTGAAAAGATCCGACTTACCGAATAAACATACAACGTCGTATTCGACGTCGGATCGGACGGAGGAATGAAGGCATTTTTGTAGGTGGTTAAAGATTTGAAGTCCCAAGCTACATCTGAAAAAATTATAGAATCAAAAAATGAAACACAAAACATTCATGAGAACGATGTCAAATTACAACTGTACAAATCGTGATGCAAACTGCAGATTATGAATGCGTAATCTATCCTGTCCATATACAAGTTCCAAAGAAATACAGTCATGTTTTTTGCGGTACAGCTGAATGTTTTAATAATAGAATTAATAACAGCCATTGATAATCGATTATCAATGGCTGTTACCCTAAAACAATGTGAAAAAGGTGACCGGAAGCCAGCCATGAAATCGAGTTGCTACGCAAATGAACTGCTCAACGATCCTAGAAACAAGATTGCGTTGACTCTCTTTATTAGACTATATTTTCAATCACCAAAAATACATTTTTTTCAGAAAGTCTCAAAATAAACATCCAGATGTTTATATAGAAAAATACGGCAATTGAATGGAAAAAAGTAGAAACGATGTCAGAGAATCAATTATGTGGGTGTTTTGTAACAATAGAGCCCACAATAACAAACGATAATAAATTTTTGTACATTTTGGACCACTCTGTACAATTAATACTTTTTGAAGTATAAAAGTCGACCTTTATCAGTTATTTCCTTTTATTTATTTCAATCGTTTGTCCAGGAATTCTGCAAGTTTGTCCGGAAAAGTTCGAACTAATGTGTAGAACACGAGGATCCTTTGTCCGAGGCTTATCGTTAGGTGTGGTTTGAAACTTTATTTCATCTTATCAACGTCGGGCTGTCATAATGGAGAAAGTGGAGAAAACCTGAGATAAGGAAAGTTGTCTTTCTCAAATTAACGTTTTTCGGTGGATGCGATTACATACAGGCTCTCACTGACCGCAGTTTTAAGATTTTTTATCATATTGTAAATAAGGTGAAATCATTATCGGCTGCACCGTTATCCTAGTGTTAACTGTTGTTTTATGTAGGCACAAGATCACAATTTTTATTCTGTTATCCACTAATTCAGACAGTTTTCCCCACATTGTCATATTATCAAACCTGTCGTATAAAATGTCACACTCTACCTGCCTCTTCCTCGGGCGCAGCTCGCAAATCGAATTTTCCTTTTTTTGTGAACAAACGAGAGAAAAGAAGAGGATTCGCATGTGGAACTGACTAAATTACCATAACTGCATTCGATTCTATTGTTTTGGTTTATTTTCTCCATTCCACATACTAACTCTGGCTTTCTAGCCAGCAGATTTATGGAGGATACGGATACATCGGCGGATTCGGAACGGAAAATCTCGAAGAATCGGAAACGAGTCGCTTGGAAGAAGAAGATTGCGTCGATTCAGGTTGCCAAAGCTCTCGCCAAGCCGGTTCAAGCTGTAAAACGGATTTGCACAAACGAAACCGAGATCTCCAGAAAGGTACTCCGAAAGAGGTCAGTGTTTACAATTGTTTTTTGTTTGATTTTAGATAATCGACGTCTGTAATTTGAGAATTTGAGGTCTGTCTTGCTTTGACCACACATGAAAGACCTTTGTCTCCGTATTTCAATTGTTAAACGTTTTTTGGGTTTGGACCTGATTTTAGGCAGGCTGAAGACTAAATTGCTTATAGTATTTGCTCTCCAGTTCTCATCCTGTTTTTGAGGAGGAAGAGGTCTCCTGCTGCTTATAAAAGTTTCACACCAATTTGGTTCCTCTTCTTCTTATTTTTTTTTTATCAAACTGACATCTGGACATCAAAAACTTAATGTTCTTCATATTTTATCTCGGAAATGCTAAAGATTTTTCTAGAAACGATTCTTAGCTTGAAGATAGTGGGCTTAAATAAATCTTATGCTTTTTGGGTTTTTCCTATAAAAACATCTGATTTATCCCGAATATTATAGTAGTTAACAGATATCAAATTGTAATCGAAAAACAATCTGTTTATTGAATTCCTCTCGGGAATGGTCATTCTCTCGTCCTTCCCTTCTCAAAAAAAAATACTTTGGGTCGCGAAAAGCGAGTGTTTTCTTCATTTCCGGCCTTCACCTTTTTGTTCGGAAATCACTTTTATGGCTTCCACATATTTCCTATTTTTATGTCAAACACGTCAAATAAGCGCCTTAAATTACTGGTAAAGCTTATCATATATTTTCCTTATAATTTTATTTACATTTTACCTAAAATTTACATTGTTTTAGCTTACGGTTTATCACCCCGATCTCATTATCTCTTCGGACCCCGGTTGCCGTCGATTGTTTCCCGAAGAGACGAGTTACAAGTTCCGATAGTTGCTATGGTAAGTTTCTAACCTTTTGCTTTGTGTGTTTAGATAAGAAGTGATTCATGTGCCGTAAATGCTTGAATAGTATATACCTATTGCTAGATTTCGAATGTGAAATCATGTTTTTGCTATCCTGCGATTTTTTTTTGAATGCTTAGCCTTTCAAACTCTAAGTTATTACTCAAAAATTTATGAAATTTCTAAACATATTTTTTTTCATTTTATTTGCTATGCTTTCCCACTAACCGGTTGATTTCCTTCTTGTATGTGATGAATTCGCCTTCCTCGTCTTTGCTGTGACCTCTCAATCTTCATTTTTTCAGTGGGTTGTGCTTTGTATGCAGATTTCTGGTTTTTTGAGATTTAAAGCTGAAAAAATTTTAGTAATAGATTAGTATTTTAGCGTTCCAATTGAGAATTCGTCTTGAAACCGAGGATGAGTAGAATGAATGGCCCATCAAAAAAGAATAAAAAGAGGAAAAGAAGAACCAAGAAGTCGGAGCCGAGCAAAGACAATGAACTGACGGAAAGCACCGAAAGTACGAAGGGCGAGGTGTTTTTTTGAGAGTGGCTGGAGCTTGTCAGTAGGAGTAGTTGCTGGGTTTGCTCTGTCTTTGTCGTTGTGACCTATCTTTGTATCTCGAGTCGGATTCTTTATTTTTGTAAATTCGTCGTCTTCGTAGAAAGATAGAGTGTCTGGGTGTGCAGGTTGCTAATAAAGGCGTATTTTAGTTAAAAAAATGAAATTGTTTTTTCTTTTGACATTTTTTTCGATTTTTGACTCTATTTTTGACGTTGTCCGTGCTTCTGTATGATATTTAAATGTGTGTTTGGCCCACTATTACTCCCAAAATGACTGGTTCTCATATTCTAGCTGGAGAACGCAAGGTTTCCTTGCCATGCGAGGTGTCTGTGAACGTGGACTTGAGCAGTATAAGTCAGAATGTGGATGCCACGACTGCCGAAACTCGGAGTCTGAACTTAGAGTTGAGCTGCGATGATGCGGAGCGACTACGCTTGGCCGCTGGAAATGACCAAAGTAATTATTTTTGGGGATAAATGGGAGATTTTTATGTTATAGTAGACGAATTAAAAAATTGTTTAACAAGGAAAGTACTTCTATGGGGTGTGGAATTACCGGTCGAGATATATATCAAAAAATTCGCAAAAATTTTCTGATTCAGAATATATATAAATTAGCTGCCTAATTTTGGTCTATCAGCGAGTTTTTTCAATAAATGTTTTTCTCGAGGAAAAAAATCTGCCGAGGGAAACGGGTTCGATTCTTTTTGCCACACTAGAACCCATTTTTTACATTGGAACTACTTTTAAGGTGTAGTTGTAATCCAATTTGATATTTTAAGGCTTTTCAAGGCCTCAAAACTTATTTTAGCACAAAACAAAATTTTTTAATTGGTAAAAACACGGCCAAAAAAGACACTTGCATGGTGTCGCGAGAAAAGAAAATTTTAGCGAATTTTTTGATATATATCTCGACCGGTAATTCCACACCCCATAGAAGTACTTTCCTCGTAAAAAATATTTTTTTAGTAAAAGCTCTTTCTTTGATGTTTTTCTTTGTATTAAATGAGTGGTTTTAGAAGTGCGAACTCTCTCAGCACCTTGGAAAGGCCCGGTCACCCCTGATACTATCCCAAAAGAAGTGGCATTGAGCTGTAGTGGCTGTGGATTCCTTGGAACATATCACTTCGGAGTCATGGTCTGCTTCCAACGACATGCGAAGGTAGGGCCCGAAAAATTTGATTTTCACTTTTTAATGTACGACTTGAAATTTCATTTTTGCTGGTTATCATAAAATAATTTTAGACCCTCCTCAGCCATGTGACTCGCTTCTCCGGGGCCTCTGCCGGCTCTCTGGTCGCCTGCTTGATGTGCTACAACCCGGAAAGCCTCGAAGCAGGCCTAAAACAGATGTACCTCCTCGCCGACGAACTGAATTCCCTAAAACTGGGTGCCTTAACTCCCGGATTCTACCTCAACGAACGACTCCAGAAGATTATTGATAAGTTTCTGCCAGATCAATTGCCAGAACCTCGGCATAAGCTCTACGTATCACTAACCCGTCAAAGCGACCGAAGTAATGTCATTGTTTCGGACTTTAGAGACCGAGCTCATCTAGTTCAGTGCCTTCTAGCAAGTTGTTACATTCCCATGTATTCCATGGGATATTATGCGACACCACCGGAAATTGATGGAAATGTAAGTGGGAGATTTTTTTTGGGAATTTGGGGCGTTTGGTAGTTTTTCATAGCAAGATAATGTAATATATGGGTATTTTTTGTGCAATGTTATGTAAGCTTACGTTGATATAAGGCCAACAAAATCAACCTTTAATGCCATTTTTGCGAAAAAGAAAGATTGATCCAATAGCAGAGTGGTAGGGAGTTAGACTGTGAGTCTGATGGTCCCGAGTTCGAGGAACGCCTGATTCAAAAGTCAAAGCGGTCAATGATGTTTTATACTCAACTACACACACACTACTTTGATCTTATTTGAAGTTCCTAAGGGATCGACTTTCGGGTAGAACCCTGAAGAACAATGAGAATATTCCGAACTGAGACCGTTTTTGACAATTTAAAAATGTTTTGGGATAGTAAGCATAGTTTTTTTGAGATATTTTGTGATGCGTAGTGTATGAATCGGGTTGTAATATACGGTGATAAAATGAAGTTGTTTTAGCTATATATTGACGGTGGATACACGAACAACTTGCCGGTCTTTGAGGACGTCCCCACCATCACAATAAGCCCGTTCAGCGGCTCCGCGCTGATCGCACCAGCTGATAGTAACCTCTTTGAGTGGAGAATGTCACTCGGAAATCAGCTGATGAAGGTGGGAAAACAATATTTTGAATTTTTGGTCGATTTTTTTTGGAAACATTGGTTATATTTAAGGTGAATATGCAAAACATTGTTCGTGGAGCCCAAGCCCTCTTCCCACCGTCCAGCCAGGTCCTCCACGCGTATTATGAAATGGGCTTCCGCGATGGCCTCAAATTCCTCCTTCAGAATGGACTTTTGGAGAGAGAGGAAGGCACTGCACTATGATGATATTGGTTATCTGCGACTTGTTGTTGTATAAAGATTTACCTTCTTGTTGTATATATATTGTCTGTCTTACCAAGTATGTTAGAGAACAAGAGTTTCAGTTTAGGTCGATTTTTCTTTGGAAACCGCTTTAATTTTTAATTTCTGTATTCAACTGCGATGTCTTGTTACTAATTACTGGCGGTGCTTTCTGTCCTCATAATGTAAAAAAGGTTTACTTTTGTTTTGATTCCGTCGATTTAATACTTGATTGCTGTTGATCCTATAAAAAATGGAGAAAGATTTCAAGTTTTAGGTTAAAGATGGTGCTGAAAAGTTTCAATAACTTTGAAATATATTTTACAAAAATATGAAAGTCGGTTGGAATGTAAGTTTATAGTTTCAGCCCATATCCAGCAGTATTTTCATCTTATCCATTAGATCTGACCCCACAATTCAATTGAATGGCCAATATTTGAGTCGGTTTTGATTAAAGGCGGTCCTTTTCCACTTTCAAAATGAGCTTAGCGGGTGTCCTACTGAATCAACTGATCTCATTGGTCAGATTCGTCTCATCATTGTGTTATCGCCTCATAAATTGTGTTCGGTATGGTCGGAATTCCCAGCGAATCGGCGAGCTTCCCTTTATAACGCCCGCAGATCAGCGACGAGAATTTGTTGGAAGCAGTGCGTATTCGAATAACGGAGTACAGATATCGAATTCTCAGGATTCGTGGAATTCATGGGACGATAAGGCCGCTACGACCGAACAAAGGATCGCGGAATATCGACGGCAACAGCTGGAGAAACAGAAGGCCGCTCAAATCAAGCAGAAGGACGAGGAAATTGATCTGTTCAAGGAGTTACAGCCAACTGTCAAGGAAGCCAAAAAGGTTGGTTGGCGTAAATGCAGACCATTTTATGGTTGCAGATAAGAAATTTGGTTTTTTTATGAATATTGACCATTTCAGTATATTATCCATGATCCGAATGCGCAAAAGGCTCAACAAAATGTTCGCAAAGATCTCTTTTCTGTTCAAGATATCCCAACATACGGCCAGGTAGGTTTTTTTTCACATTTTTTATAAATTTTTTGATTTCGAAATTTAAAGAGTTCAAGTTTTTTGATGATTTTAAAATATAACTTTATTCAAAAATGTACAGACAAATTTTGTAAATTCTCAACGGAGAAACAATTACCATGGAAAATGGGGTTATTACTAGTTCAAGAAAGGCCGTAGAAGTGTGAAAATGGCAGATTTCTATAAAATATTGTAGTTACTACTTGCGGAATTTTAAAAAAGCAACGGATTTCAGGCTGAAAAGTTATCCGAAAGACGCTAAAATTTGAATACCCGAGATTTTTGGTTAGTATCTGTAGTGTGTTATGCATATCTAGACTGTACTAAGCATGTGCGAAAATCAAGGGTCAACGGAACAACAACAATGTGATGGATAACATGAAAAGTGGGGGTGCGAAGGGAAAGTTTGCGCTGCAAATAGGAGGAGGAGAGTTTTGAAGGGATAGAAGAGGTATCATGGGGAAAATAGAAGATGATTTGAGCTGTAGGTGAAGGTAGACCAGGTCTGGACCAACAAAAATGCGAAAAATAAAAAACGATTTTAGCCGGGGTTTTAGGGAATTTGAGATTTTTTGGTACCAAAGAATTTCATACAAATCTTAATTCATGGTGATTCGGAAAGAAACTAAAAATTCAATTTTCCGCCAAAAACCCCACCTAAAACTCGAGAACCCGTGAAAATCAATAAAAACGGCCAAAAACAACTACCGAATACTTATATCCAACGAAAATGTGATCATATTATCGTCGAATTAAGTCTCGATAACAGTCGACGATCGTATTGATATGATCTACACAGGCGAAATGAGAGAATGACAACTTGAAATTGGGCGCGCACAAACTTTGACATTGTCCCGGGAGACGGGGTGCACCCTGTCCCACCAAAAACCCGACCACACTCTGGACGGCCTGCTGTTGATTCGCCGAGCCTTGACCATTTACGGCTTGATTACAACACTGCCCGACCGTGCTAATGTTGTAGAAGCGTGGGAAACACTGAAGAACGCTGGTCATGGTGAGGGGCGGACACTCGTTCGTTTGAATGGCTCGTCTTATCTGAAATTGGAGAGAGATTAGAGTATGTTGGGACTTGCGATACATTGTAATAAGTGGGTGGTTAGAATTAGCAAGCTTAGAAGGACAGTGATAAGTCAAAGCAAGTTATGTGCAGCATAAAATAATTCTTGAAATTTGTAATTTCAAGCAGGATGAGTAAAACAAAGAAGCCACCGTCAAGACGAGTTTCATTAGACAGTTCCATGCATTGCCATATGCCATCGTTTTTCGCTCATATAACAACTTAGGATAGGCTGTGAGTCCTCAACAAATACCTTCACCGTCTTATAAACCTGATTAATATCCGAGTGCAAGTGTATTATTTTCCCATAACCATTGTGCAGCGAGGTAATGTGAGTGTTTCTATCGATAAAACGCTACCTCTTCTTTGCTAACTTCGGGCGAACAAAGATGCCTACATCCAGGCGCCTGGTCTTGACAACATTGTAATAATCCCCTCAGGCTAGTCTCCTTTTGCTGTTGCTGCGCGAGATATTCATGTTCTCGTCGGGCCTCCAGAAGTTGTTGTTGATAAGCGGGATTCAAATGGATCGGATGAGTGGCGATCGGAGGCTGAGGAAGCGGCTGAGGAGTCGGTGGAGCCACTGTTGCAATCGTATTCGAAAACCCGACTTGTCGATAAACGGAGTTGTTGTAGAAATGATTTTGAGTTTGAGGAACCGGCTGGATAGATTGTGGAGGGACTTGTGGTTGGATTGGCTGAGGTTGTACATCTTCGATCGAGAATATCCGATTTTGAACTGGACCTCGAGCTTTCGGCGCGGGCGGGAGATGCGAAGAAGCGGTTGGAGCTAGGCCGGTCAAAGTCTTGGCGACAGGACGGACTGGACTGAGATTGTTGAAGGTCCGAAGGTTCCGAGCAGGAGGTAATGCTTGTTCTGACGAGGTGGCAAAGGATCCTCCGTAAGACGTGGCATGAGCAAACCCTCCAAGTTTATGGACATTTCCGAGGTGAAGCTTTCGAATTGATAAGCTCGATTTGATTGGGCGTTCTTCAAATTGATCGTCATTTGATTGCCGAGGATAGCTGGGAGAATTGGAAACAGTTCTGGCAAGATGTTTTGATCTGACGGTTGCCCGAGTAAGATTCGTTGACAATAGTGCCCTCTCAGGTTCAGGCTTGTTTCCAGCGAAAGTCAGCCCACTTGGCTCACTGAATTGGTTGGCTCTTGAACTTGAGATCCCACTTTCTCTTTCATGATCACTGTCGGCATGTGTAATATCTTGTCGAGTATTTGTGATTCCGTTTAGCCGCGTGTTGATCCTTTGAGGTACTCCAAAGGCTGTCCGAAGCCGTTGTGGGACAAATGGAACCGTAGCACTGGGTGCTAAGTTCCGATAACTCGGTCGACTTCCTTGTCGAGAAATGACGGAGGTCGGTTGAACTCCACTGCCGCCGTTTAGGACAGTTGACTGCCCAAGGTCAACTCGGTCATTCGTTGAGATTGGGAAGACAACGGGAAGACGAGCCTTAGGGACTCGCGTTTCGGCCTCAGATTCCTCTTCGAACTCGTGGCGACGGAAACGGTCTGTCGAAGTACGTAGAGAATTGGCTACAAAATAAGTTAAACAAAGATACACACAATACAAACACAAGGTCTGACATTGAACACATAAGTTTCTGGAGCATTTAAAGGCATTTGGAGATTCAGAGGTAATTCTATTTCGGCTACAGAATTTTCTGAATCTCCAAATCTTTCGATCCAAATTAAGTTTTACCATTAGCACGAGGCGTTCTCAACGCATTTGGTTGCCTCACAATGTTTCGAGCAACTAAAGGAGCTTCCCGGACTTGTGGAATGTCGTTCCGACGATTCTGGAGTTGGCTGGAAAGTCTGTGAGTGATTGGAGGACCAACTCTGGCTTCATCCAACTCTCCACCGACAACTTCATCTCTGAATGAGTCTTGAGTTGGAGTTGGGATTTCTTCAAGACCTCCGGGAACGTGGAAAAAGTCTTTTGGGTTGGTGGTTCCGTTGTGATCTTTCAAGAACATTTCGGTTCTAGAAAGTCGGAGTTGGAGTAGATTGAAGAGTTGTTGGTCGTCTGGTGGCATTGTCTGAAAATTATTGAACTCTTGGTCAATAGAATGTTGATTATGCAAATTGATTTCAATTTTGTAAATGTTTTCAACTGCAAACTCACGTTTTCGTCACAGTTTGTTCGTTGCGTCATGAATTTGCAAATCTGAACTCTGACTTCGACTTTTCCCCTGTCCATTCTCTGGATTGCCATGTCTCTGACGTATTCATTCTGACTCAATGGAGGATCGAATCTAATGCTTGGGCCATTTTCGATGGTCTGAATTGGGGGAACCCAAACACATCGGTTCTCCAAGCGTTGATCTGAAATTAGAATTGGGGACATTGATGAACTGAATTGACCATAGTGTATAAGTTGGAACTCACTCTGTTGAACAACATTGGCAAAGGTAGCACAACAGAGAAGAAGGAAGTTCTCGGGAGTGAGGATCATCCCAGCCACAAATGTACGGCGACCTTGGAAAGCCAAGGAATGGGCGGTGTGTGAGCAACTGGTATTCCACTGGCAACTTGTGATACATTGATATGGGGCTAATGGAGCGCAGACAGTCTGAAATTTACATTTAAATATTCGCCTTATGCTTTTTTATTTAAAAAAAATTAAAAATCTTTGACTAAAAATTCCGACAAGGTAAAACCTACGCCTCCATTCTCGATACTGTACAACTTGTTGCCCAAGTTGCACTGATTGACGGCCACGGCACTGACCTCGCCAAGAATTGCGGCCACGATAAAACCGGCCAGCAAGGCGCCCATCTTTCTAAAAACAGTAACAAATTAATGGCGTAATCGAACGCATTCGCGCGGAGAATTGATCGACGACATAACGTAAATAGTAATTGGATAATAAGTTGCTTCTTTACTCTTAAGCACCACATTTGTTAGCCGTTTTATAAGCCAGTTGAATAACAAAAGCGCCGGACTGACCGCCACTCTGCAGCCTCACCACCGAGCGTATTAAACCCCAAATGTCGGGCGAAAATTAGGTGCGCGGGATGTAAGCCACACCCTTAGCCATTTCACTTAGCGCCTCATCACTTCGAACATTCGAAATGAAAGGGAAAACAATCAAAACTGGCGTCAGACAGACGGGGACAAACCACATAACTCGTTCGCTTATCTCTCCCTCCAATAGTTACATCTCCATTTCTCGCGTAATGCGCCCTCACCTATATCCCGTGCTATCCCTCTCCGCTTCATCCAGGCCCTCTGATGGTCACTTTTCGCATACCTGTTTTTTTGTCGAACCCTTTTTCGATTGAAATGTTTAAAGCACGTTACTAGTAATTTTTTATTGGGGGTTCGTTTTTTTTCGAGCGCGCAGAGAGAACTCATGGTCACACTGAAAACGGTCACTCCCTCACTAAACCCCCAAACATAGATAGATCGCTTGAACAGGCGGACTAATTAGGTTTCTAAAGTGACGTAGGTAGCAAGGAAAGGTAATCGGATATGACAAGGACTAGTTGTGGTACCGGTTTGGAAATGATGCAACAAGTTGCCCAAGAAGATGCCTTTTTGGTGTCGTTAGCCATTTTGGGCTGTTTTTTGAGGCCAAATATGGTTTCTTACAGGTTACCCTATAATGCAAACATCAATTCCAAAAAAACGGGCTTTCCCTCCTTTCACTTCCCGATACCTCTGAGCAAACCTAAATAAACCGCCGAAAAAGTAATTTCCATCGAATTTTGTAAGCAATCCCTTCACACCGTTTCCGTTTTTACCTCCGGTCACCCACCGTGATGACCAAACAGTCTTTCTGATTGATGTAATCGTTGTCTGCATTAGCCCTACTTATAAAATAATCCTTGGAATGGGGGATCTGTTTTCTCCTCACATCCAATTAACCTTGAAGGGGATTTAATGAACCTAAACCAAAATGGAGGAACTCATGCGAAAAAGTCGGAGAAAGTTGACTTTTTCTGGAGGGATTTTTCGAATGCGAAGTTGCTTGGGAAAGTATAATTGGAAGGGGATTACGACAGATTTATGGTAATGGTTGCTAAAATAATACTCAATCCATATTTGGCAGAAAGCATGCGAAGTTGTGCTAAAAATACAGTATCAAAGGCCAATGAAGTGTTGAATATAAAGATTCAAGCTCATTCTAAACTTGCCCACAAAAAATTGCATCACTATAAAACACGAACTCTTGTGCCGAAGCAAATTTGAAAGTAACGAGTAATAGCCGAGAGTGACGAGATTTCGCTTCGCTCTCTCCTCTTAATGACTTCATCAGCGAAAGCAAAAGCTTGTTTGATCTTCAAAAACTAGATGATTGTGCAAGAGATGGATCCGATGATTCTAGGCGTTACCCAATCCACAACATTTTTATCACTATGATTTACATTTTATTTCCGTCGGGAGTGAGAATGATAGCTCCGACACAGAGGAGCTACTATTAAGTTGACGTCGAAAATGAGGGATAAAAGTGAGAAAACGATGATACTTTTTGTTGGAAGAGTACACAGGAGCCTTTTCCTCGTACGAATTAACAAATAGAAATGTTATAATGTCGACAAAAAGGTAATATAAAATTTCCTTACAATCCCATCAAAACGGAGCCTGTTCTTGGCTAACCATGCGATTGCAAGACCCACTAAGTATGTGCGCAATAGAATAATGCCCTTTAAAATAAAGCAATTATTGTGAACGCCCCCAGCAAGTGCCGAAACACCACCTTCGCCGTAACAAAAATCAAAGATGAGTTGATTGCCGAAAGAAGCGAGCAACATTTAATTGGGTAGTGGATTTAGTGAGTCAACGAAATCTGGGTAATTATTGCGGAATGAGCTAATAATCGAATTTATGAAGTGGAAAGTAACAATCAAAAGTCGCCAGGGGTGGACGTCTGAAGTTAGAAAAACATGAAAAAAGTATTGTAGATCTTTAAAAATACGAGTCGGATCACTGAATTGAATTTAATTTTAAAATGAAATCCCCTCGCAAAAACTCCAAGGATACGATAAACCACAAAAATCCGCCAGAATCTAACAAAGCGATGACATTGAAGGTTTCTTTCGGAATTCAATTTCCAAAACGGTTTCCATTTTCAAAGACCTCCTTAGAAAGTCCGGCTTATCCACGGGGTATCACACGCAGACCTTGAATATTAACTTGTAAAAAGTGAAACGCGGTAAAAGTTTCAGTTGGCGGCTTCCGAAGCCGGCTCAGAAGTCGGAAGCCCTTGAAGAAAGGTGTGGTTTGACTCATTAGTTTCGGCGGAAAGTGAGGCGAAAACTTGTTGCGATCTGCTCAGATGACCGTGAAAACTTATTACAAGGTGTAATATTGGTTATGGAATCAGGGAAACCGGATACATCAAAAAGAAAGTGGCGATGTTTGGATAGGGATAAAAATAATTGGCAGCAAAAGGTTTCGGTTTTTGGAGGTTTTGGTGATCACCAGACGGGAAAACAAATCGATCCGGAAAGTTGAACAATTTTAGAGAGAAAACAGTGAAAATGCCAGAATAAGGGGTTAAGGGAGTTTGGGGAATCCTAAAAAAGAAGTTATAAGGTGCTTGAGCTAAATTATTCAAGAATAAATTTCTTTGAGAAAAAAATAAAGATTTTGACGTAAAGAAACACGGTGCATCCCCTTACTCGAGTTGTTAGCATGAGTAAAAGTAGTAAGGACAAGAAAAAGACGATGATTTACATACTTCTAATCAAAAAAATTCTTTGTTGTCCACCACACCCTGTCCCTAACCGCTTGGTCTACCGGACTCCTAGTTCTCTACAAATCCCGACGTAATGACCAAACTTCAATCACAAACAAAACACCGTTCTAGCACCGGAAACGCTTTACCGTGCGAATGAACTTATGACCAGGTCAGGTTCAGAAAGTCACAACCAGTTTACGACTGTTCGAACCAAACGAAATCTCCCAGGTTTTTCTCGGACGCTTTATTTTTATTGTAGTTCGAGGAAGCGGCGAGAGGAAGGGGAGATCCCTATTATTGACCAACCATATAACCGGATTACGAGACTCTTACAGGCGAAACTCATTTTTATAATGTCGGGAAGGTGGGTGAGTAATGGGGAAAGTGATAAAATCGTCTTCTGTGGTCAGAATATTGAGCTGTCCAGTAAACGCATAGATGGTTTATAAAATACGAAAGGGTCTTTAAATTTGCCAGCTATAAAACGATAAAATAAACCTCCACTTTCCAAGGATGTTATAAACCATTCCATCCGTTCTATGCTCCCTCCGATAACTGTTGAAGATGCCATTCGTTTAGCTCGTTTTCCGCTCCTCCGAAATTAAAAAAAAAAGTTACTCAGACGGCTAAACCATTATTTGGAACTCGCGGCGGAAGTTCTTATGAACGGGTGCTTAAACCTTTTTGAGGAGGGGATCTTGAAAGGAGATATGATTTATCCACTGAAACTCGGGTTCTAGTGAGGTTTTCTAGGAAGAAATGAGTGATAAAGTGAGATTATTGAGGATAACAATGGTTTTGAAAGGTATTTAGTGGAACTCACTGGTGAAAAATTGCTTCAAGGAAACAAAAGATGACCGATGGAACGCGAAATTATGTTCCACTTGGTGGAAATGGAAGTAAAAAATTTAAGTAAAAAAAAATTTTAAGAAATTCTTGACCGTGATGTTCAGCAAAAAGTCACAATCTGCGCAAAACCCAATAAATTGAATTCAAATTAAAACTTTCATACTAATATGGCTTATAAATCCTGTTTTCAGGCAAACGAACTGGTCGACCTGGATCTGGATGGCGTGAATGAATGGGAGGCCGAAGATCAAGGTGTGAATGAGCTACTGGCTGCCGACAAACGATCACTGCTCGAAGAAAAGCGACGCCAACGCCAAATTGAACATGAAAAACGGCTAGCGAACAAACGTGGAAAAGGAGCGTAAAAAAAGGAAAACGGATATTTATGGTCGACAATTGTGATGACATAATACTATTTATGGTCCAAACAGTAAATATTTGAAACAAGTTTGAGATTTTTTAAAGATACACCTACTATAATACAACCTACTTAATTATTGGTCCATCTATACAAATTTTATGACGTTTAAGACTTGGTGGTATCGAAAAAAATTTCAAAATTTTGAAATAGCTAGACAGTCGCCTCAAGAAGCCGCCTCCCTCAAATCGGCATTCAGAAAACCCCCTGCAGAAAAAAGATCGGCAAGCCCAAACAAACCTTGTTTGGAAAGGAGGAAAAAAAGATTTCACTCAAAACGAAAGTGAAGACATGCCGATCCATCTTTTTTATGGAGAAGATCTCGGTTAACTAACAAAACATTCGCCAAAAACGAATCCGAAAACCGGCTTCGGATTGCATTGCAAATTTGCAAATTGTAAACGAACGCTGTTCATTCGGGAGAGCGGGGAAGTTCGGGAGATTTAGGGAGGTAATTAGCATAAGAGTGAAAGTTTGGGAGGGCGCTTGGTGGAAGAACCGGTGAAGATTCTGAAGGTTTCTGATCATTCGATTGACACTAATTTTGTGACGTAAAAAGGAAGATTTTGAGAAAAAACATCCATCTTTGACTCACGTCGGAGGAGCGAAATTTGAAAAAAAATATAATGGAGGTTCCATTAAATGTTGCATTTTTTACTGAAGATGTCGCTCATGTTGTAAAGAAGTAGACACGATAAGAATTCTGCTTTGAAACGGACAGATAATTTTGACTAAAATACCTTAATGGTTTCTGCAAAGCGTCACCTGAAGATACGGAGATTACCCTAGAAAATCGTAATCTCGGCATATAAGAAGTTTCAATATGATCGTACCATAGAGTAGGCGCTTCAAAAAAGACAAATAAAAACTTTTGTACTACTCCTCCAACCACATCCGAACACTTTTCTAACTCAGCTAATAACGGAATTAAATCCGAACGCAACCCGAAACCCAAAATAATGAAAGCCCTCCGAAGTGCTTGAGGTCAAATACCTGGAAGCGAAATTAAACCTCTTCCTGACAAACCCCCAATCCAAGGCTAACAAAAACGGATGAAAGTAAGAAGAAAAAACAGTTCGGGAGCTCGCCGACCCCTTTTCGATCGTTTTTGAGGTAACTCAAGAAAATGGAATTCCTTTGGGGGATTCAGAATCGCCGAAACTAGCGAGTTTATTATTTTATTACCTTCACAATTACTCATGCTTTTCTTGGGGTTTTCTTAGGTGGTGTCGTTTAAGAGGCGATTTGCAAGGCGTTTTTGGAAAGTAAATTTAAATTAAGGAGAATTTTAAAGAAAGATTTGATTTGTTTGCAAAATTTGACCATTGTTTCACATGAAACACTTGCATGTCATACAGTAATGTGTGTTCTGTTCTGGAAGGTAAACGAAAATTCGGGAAATTCAAAAGGTCGAGAGATAAAGAAAAAAAAGAGCACCGATGTTCAAACATGAACAAGTTTCATTCCTGCCACTCAATTTAGAACGTTTCTTCCGTAGTTTGTCAAAAATTTTGAATATCACGTGAAGTACAGCGTGTTGGATTAGATTTGTACGGTAACTCAATGGCCACTTTTTATAATCTCTTGGCATATGACTTTGAAGTCAACTGGAATATGAATTATCATGCACAACACGGGTTTTGGTTGCAATTTGCAATTTTCTGTGCTGTGGAAGGCATACATATTAGGTTGTCCAACAAATAATGACCCTCTTTGAAAAATTTATTTTTTCGGCAAAATTTACCGTAATAACTGCGATGTATTTAATCAAAAAAATTATCATGTGCTTTATCACGCTTGTTACAACGTGGCAAAAAGTTTTTTATGTCTGTAGCTTAGGAACCCCGGCTTCTGGAGCCGATGAAACTTTTGAAGGCCTTTTCAAGGGTGTCTTGATTGTCGAATTCTCTACCACTGATGAAACGTCCTAGATTCTTGAACTGATGGTAATGTGTATAGACCAGCTTTGACAAATAGGCTGGACAAGGGACAGTCTCCTATCTCTATTAAATCCGCTTCTGGAGGGTCATCTTTCAAAGGGGAGGTTCCGTGTAGCCGCTAACAATTTTTGGACTTCTGCGGCGCATCGTTGAAGACAGACGCTGCCAAAAAACTGTCTATCTGGATACAGTAGGGTATGGTATCTACATTTTGGCCAGCTTTCAAGAAGCTGTATTGTACTATTCCCATGCTGCACCATCAAGAAGTAGTTATCACCTTGTTTTGGGGGGAGTCGGGCTTTGACAAGTCCCGCAGTGATACCCTAGGAGGCCTCCGTTCAGCATATCCGGTCTGGTTGTCCCAGTAGGTCCTCTTTCCATCAGAGGCAACGATTCGATCCAGAAAACGGCACGCAAACGCGAGAAATGTAATGCTTCCACTCTTTGCTTTGATCCAATAAAATGGGAAAAATTTGCCGAGCATTTTTTGAATTCCATCGACATCGAATGGTTAGCCGCCGATTATTTCAACAGCCAGACGACGTCAGAGACGCGTTGAATGTTGATTCTAGGATGTTCGCCAACCGACGACCTCAGGGTAAATTGATAAAGTTCGGATTCCGTACTTTATCTTTGGGTCCCTTGCCGTCAAATCGTAATTTTTAAATCCATCGTTTCACCGTGTTCAGACTCAGAACACACTAGTCGAACACAGCGTTGATACTTTGCGTAGCTTCTGAAACTTTCGCGTCCTGTTTTTGCCCGTAAAAGATGACAGCACGAACCGACTTTTTTTTTGATAATTTTCGATTAGGGCTAAACTACTGGAATTTGGTCCCAATATGACAAACGATACATCAAACGAAAGCCTGAAATCTCAGCTACAAAATGTTGTAATATTTCAAAATTCTATCATCGCTTGCCTTTTTTAGAGGCTTTAAACTTTTCCCCTCTCACAGAGGGTCATTATTTGTTGGACAACCTAATACATTAAAGACGTATTCTGTTTTTTTTTTGTCCAAGCACATTCGATGTTTAATGGCGTTATTGAAGGTAATGCCGCATGAAATAAAATTATTTGGAGGTACGAAAATATAGTTTGGTTGCATTTCTGCAAGGTAGTGATTTTATAAAGTAGATAATATAATTAATAAATTATGTTGGCGTATTTGCAAGAAAATGCCAAAACGTTTTTAAGGCCCCTATTTTACCGTATTTGAGAGTCGATGCCATAGTCATACATGTATTTCATTTCGTCACAAATATAACAGGAGACATTCGAACATTTGGATTTTTTGTTTGGGAATGTTTAATTTGCAACGTCCAAAACTCACAAATCCCAAAACACAAGAGTACTTCCAAGTTCTCAGCTCATCTTTCACATGAATTCCCCTCATATTTCACTGTCATCAGTGTTTGCTTTTCTGTTCGTATTCCATCAAGAACCAATAATTACAACACTTATTCTTTGGCCGATCGATTCTGCGAACACTGTAAACAATTGGTCTTGAACATATCTTCTGGCCAAATAAACCAACATGAATAGCTCATGAAATGTCATAAAAAGTTTGGATTTTAATGTTTGCCTAAGGGGATGTAGCTGTTTTTGTGTTCGAAACATTTCAAGAGCAGCGTGGATGTGCCTTTATAAGGCAGGTTGAGGGAGAGATACGCAGTATTACTATCAGTCAATTAGTATTGCTGTGTGCTAACATTAATGGCGTTGTAAAAATTGTGATATCGCCGTATTAGGTCAAAATGAATTCGGAATTTGTTGCCTTCGCGATCTTCTTGATGACTTTTTCCTACTCTTCAGAGGCCGCGTGTAAAGATTCCGGCCAAAATTGCGTTAACATGCTGCATCTTTGCCACAATCATGTTTACCAAAGTATCATGAGCAGCTACTGCCCGGCTTCTTGCGGTCATTGCATTGGAAAATGCGTTGACAAAGCAAAAAAGTAAGTGATTTTTCCCCATTCGTGCCATAAGACCCAATTTTTCTATAATTAGGGTTATTTTCTTTCTGATTTGCAGCTGCTACACATGGAGTTCTATGGGATTCTGCAGCCCGTATTACTTTTCCATCTACCGGATGAACTTTTATTGCACAAAAAGTTGTGGACTGTGCAAGACAAAGCAGAGGAAATCGAAGAAACCCAAGAAACAAGCTGAAAAGAGTGCGCAGAAGCCGAAACCACCACCGAAATCCGCTCCAGAAAAATCAAAGCTTTATAGAGAGGATTCAAAGACAACTGCGGCTAAGCTGGCGGGACAACCAACAACAAAAACAACTGCAACGAAGGCTGCAACCACTAAGAGAACGACCACTGCGAATTACAAACGCCAGAACTCGGATGCTACTTCTAATTCTCCAACAATCGTCCCAGCTGCAACTTCAACGCCACCTGAAAGCACGTCCGTTGCTTTTACAAGTAAGAACGGTGTTGCCGGCACTCGGTTATTGTCAGTTGCTAGCTCCACAACTGAAGGCATTCGCACGTCATCAGGAGCTTCTGAGAAGCTTGGAGGAAGAACCATTGCTGTAGGAACGAAAACTATGAAATCAGTAACTAAAGTTTGGAAGATACCAACTTCACCGGCGGCTGCTGATGTCCCTTCTACCAGAGAAAAGTCAAGGAGTATTATAAAAACAACAACAAGAAGAAGACCGCTAATAACTACACAAAATGGTATTAGCACGTCATCAAGAGCTGCCAAGAAGTTTGGAGGAAGCACCATTAATGCTGTTAGAACGATAGTCATTAAACCAATGACAAAAGCTTGGAAGATACCAACTTCACCGCCAGCGGCTGATGCCCCTACTACCAGAGAAAAGTCAAGGAGTATTATTAAAACGACAACAAGGAGAAGACCGCAAGCAACTACACAAAACGGAGCTTCTAGCTCCACAACCGAAATTATTAGCACATCATCCGGAGGTTCTAACAATAAGGAGTTTGGAGATAGTACCGTTAACGCTGTAGGAACGACAACTGTTAAGCCAACGCCACCTGAAAGCCCATCCGTTCCTTCTACAAATGAGAACAGTTTTGACCGCACTACATTGTCAATTGTTGTCTCCACAACTGAAGGTACTAGCACGTCATCAAGAGCTGCTGAAACGTTTGGAGGTAGTACCGTTAATGCTGTAGAAACGACAGCTATTAAACCAACGCTGCCTGAAAGAACATTTGTTGCTTCTACAAGTGAAAACGTCGTTGATAGCAGTCGGTTATTGTCGATTGCTAGCTCTACAAGTGAAGTCATTAGCACGTCATCAAGAGCTGCTAAGAAGCTTGGAAGAAGCACCATTAATGCTGTAGGAAGGAAAACTATGAAATCAGTAACTAAAGCTTGGAAGATGCCAACGTCACCGGCGGCAGCTGATGTGCCTATTACAAAAGAAACGCCGAGGAGTATTGTAAAAACGACAACAGGAAGAACACCGCAAGCAACTGCACAAAACAGAGCTTCTAGTACTGCCACAGTTTCTTCTGTTACCAGTCTGTTTGAAGGAACGCCTTCTTTAGTCAACGATATAGAAGCAACGAAAGCCACAACGACGTGGTTACCTTTCGGGAGTTCATCAACTATCGGCGCAGCAATGACTCAAACAACAGACAGAGAAGGCACAAGTGTGACTCCAAGTGCAACTACAGAGAATATTCCTACAGCTACTGGACCAATTCAAAATCCTACTTCAAGAGATAGCCAGCTAGATAAAAGTACAGTTCTTGCTTCATCGGCAACTAGTGGCCCTGCGACTCCAGCAACTTCAACATCCACTCTGCTATTGACCTCGCACTTATCAACGAACGTTGCTAATACGGGTACGACCAGGTTGCCTTCAACTTCCATAGGCCTTAGCACAGTTGCAATTGACGGTTCTGAGGCAACTACAAATTCTGAAGGAACGGCAACGACCATTAGAGACGAAAAGTCATCTACAGAATCTCAAACCATTACAACAAAGGGCTTCAAAACAAGAGTAATCAACCTGGCAGAAACTACCCTTACGGATCTTCAAACCTCTCCAACAACGAAGGTTTTGACAACTGGAATGGCTTCAACGGCATCCACAAAAGATATAGGTCCAGTTTCTCAACCACTAACCGCTACTACTATTGTTAATCCAGCCCAGAGCACACCTCAAGCGTTGGTTTATGAAAGCACAACTACTAATCGTGACGTCATAACGGATTTAACGGACGCATCCTTTGCTACGGTAACGGTTTTTACAACTTCGACTTCAAGTGCGGCTTTTACAACGGCAGGTCAAACTCTGGCACAGTCAGCGTCTACCAAGGAGGAAACAGCAGAGATTACTTCAACTTCTTCTAATAAAGAAACGTCTACATCATCACCGTCATCAGGTATGTTGCCCACAACAAGTTCAACTCCAAATACGCCTCTTACAACGGCAGGCCGAAGTCTGGCCCTGTCAACGTCTACCAGGGAGGGAACAACAGAGGTTTTATTCACTTCTTCTGATAAAGAAACGTCCACTTCTAATAAAGAAACGAATACACCCTCATCAACTATATTGCCAGAAACAGCTTCAACTCCAAATACGCCGCTTACACTTACAACGTCAAGCCAAAGTCTGGCCCCGTCAGCTTTTTTCAGGGAGGGAACAACAGAGGTTACTTCAACTTCTCTTAATAAAAAAACTTCCACATTATTGCCGTTATCAGGTATGTCGCCCAAAACAAGTTCAACTCCAAATACGCTGCTCACAACTCTAAGCCAAACTCTGGCCCTGTCAACGTCTACCAAAGAGGGAACAACAGAGGCGTCATTAACTTCTTCTAATAAAACAACGTCTACATCATCACCGTCATCAAGTATATTGTCAGAAATAGCTTCAACGCCAGTGTCAGCGCTAGCCTTAACTTCACCGTCAACACTTCAGGCCGATATGCCTTCGTCATCTTCCTTGTCTACCGAGGGCCCTTTCACCATGCCTTCGACCGTGCCTACCACAACGGCTTCCACTAACCGCCCCTCTACAAGACCTTGAGACATCGTTCCTATCTACATCTTCAAAGAACAAGGCCAAGTCACGTGATCCCATCAAAACGCAATACAATATACATAACACTCCACCAAGTTCGTCCCAATGAACCTACGCAATCAAATTTTAGTACTCTTGTCCTAGTTTTTTATGCAAATAAACCAGCAACTGTCAGGAATTCAATTTTTGGACTTAGCTTCTTTTCTTGGGAGCAGAACTGAAAATGACATAAAATAATGAAAAATACTGTTAATGTTGAGCTCATAAAGAAAAATTAATTTTAATAACTGCATTGATGACGTCAAAGACCTACATTTATACATGTGTTGGCTTACTATTTGTTTCACCAATTCTGAGTAAATACGGTGAAGCAGGCGCTTCAGTTTTTATGTGTACGTATGCAAAAAAAATTCCACATGTCCTTTGTGAAGGCTATGTCATAGGGGTTCTTCCTTGTTTAATCAACTGCTTTCCTCATAGTTCCCTACGTAAAAACTTTCCCTAATAATCTGAACAAGGCTTGAACTTCTTTCGTTTGAAACTTATGTAGTTGGAAGTCATGAAGGTTGGGGAATTCATAACCCTCCTTATTTTATGCCGTTGTTTGCCACTTGTCGCCTCGGATTGTGAAGATCTCATAAGTGATTGCAAGACCGATGCAAAGAGCTGTCGGACTGCGGCGATGAAGAAGAACTGTCCTCTTTCATGTGGGATCTGTGTCGCCGGATGCAACGATCGGTTTGCAAAGTAGGTGTGATCTAATAAAGGAATATTTTATCCATCTTCCAGCTGCAAAGGCTGGGCAAAGAAGGGATTCTGTGATGTGAGTCAATACCCTATCTACAAGGCTGATATTTTCTGTCATTATTCATGTGGCTTATGCGAGAAGGAAGACACGGATAGTGAAGAAGAAGGTGAGAAGAAAGGGCCAGCTAAGAAGAAAGCGCCAGCTAAGAAAGAGAAAAAGCCAGCCAAGAAGCAGCCGGCAGCCACTGCTTCCGATAGTGGTGATGATCTAAGTTGCGATGACGCCACTGTCGAAATACCGGCCTCAGCCAAAGGAGGATTAGTGGTGGAGAAGAAGAGAGGATAAACAAAATAAATATTTAGATGTGTCATACACAATATAAACCGCTACTACCGCAATTTTAATAAACTCTTGTTACTGCCTTGCATTCTTATTTGTGCTGTGAATTCACAAGCATATTCATGCAGGTTTCCCAATGGTAGTTCAATGACATGGGATCCTAATGTTTATCCAGCTGTCCATCGAACAAGTAGAACATTGCTTAAAATCTAAGGCACACTGAAAATATAATTGCAGGTTAGGGAGTTTGCCTTAAGACTGGAGCTATGCTTTCCTTGGTTCATCCAATCAGCGGAGTTTTAAGAGAGCGTTGATCTTGGGATCAATAGAATTTCTTTCAGAGCGAGTCAAACCATGGCGATATTTATATATTTATGAATGGTTATTCAGTTGCAAACATGGTGCAAACATAAACCGTTTCCTCCGCCATTTCCGGACAATCTTTGTAATACTGCTTACCCATCAATTGCCATCATTACGTGTGTCAGCAAACGGCTGTCCACATAGCTCCTCTTCTTTTTTGTTGGGATAATTCAAACAAAAAAGTGCACAAATCACAAAACTGTATCCGTTTTTGTATTAGTGATCCAGAAAATGTAATCCAGAAAAAAATGACGTTACGAAAGGGTCATTTTGATCAATATTTTTCAAAGTTACAAAACGATTGGAAAATAGATGTGAGATATAGAGAAATAAAGTTTCCCGCATATTTTTGATTCTCCAAGTCAGTGATATAATGAGGAAAACTTATCAGCATCAAGATGTTGACCGAGTGGATGTAAGCAGATGGGTTCAGTCAACCGGTTTCTGCAGATCTATCATTCACTCGGAATTCCGGCCCAGATTCCGCCATCGACGGCCATGGTTGTTCCCGTGATATAACTGGCTTCGTCGCTGGCCAAAAATTTTACTAAATTCGCGACTTCTACCGGCTGTGCAACCCTCTACATAGGACTTGTTTTCTTCGTCCAAACCGTTCCCATTTGTTCAATGACTTCGGTTGGAACACCATGGCGGCCAATAAAATTCGTTTCCACAACTCCCGGATTGACAGCGTTCACTCGGACTCCTTCCTTGGCATGTTTCAAGGCCAAATCGCGCGTGTAGTGGTCAAGTGCAGCTTTCAACATTGCATAGGGCATGAAGGAGTCAGTACCGCGTTGAGATCCAGCTAAGGAGATGTTGACCACATTCCCCTTGGTCTTCAACAAATGGGACACGATTTTGGTGGTCAGGTTGTAGATCGCACGAAGGTTTATTTCGTATATCGCATCTAGACTTTCAGTGGAATTTGGGTCCGCTTCCGACTTCTGACATGAGAGATCCCGGCGTTGTTGACCAGAGTATTGATACGACGAAACTTTTTCAAAGTATCACTGATAATTCGTTCTTGCGTAGCATCATCTTGAATCGGCCCTTTAATGAGAAGATAGTTCTTGTCGGGGATTCCGAGATCCTTCATAGCGTTGCTGACCTCCTGAACGCGTCATTTTAGCCAACAAAAAATAATATAGTATACACGCAAGATCTTAAGCCCTGAATCTACAACTCGCCTTCAGCTTGTCGTCGTTTTGGCCGTGTACAACAATATTAAATAGCTCCTTCTTTCGCAAAACATAGCGCGATTTCACGGCCGATTCCACTGCTTGAGCCAGTTACAATAACCGTCTTGCCGGCAAAGGTTCCATTCAAGTTGAGATTAGCCCTAGGGAAACAAGACATATGTATGACCTTCAGAAAATGTTGTTCTCATTTGTAAAAGCTCGCCTTATATACTAAATTTTCAAGCACAAAATATAAGTCTCTTTCGTTCATCGGCTACAACGCACACACAACCGCTCTTTCCTTTTTTTGCTGGAGAATTTTTCTCGGCTTTATCAGAAAGCTTTGGACTGTTCCTTCGCTTTTTTGGCGTTGAGTTCGGTAGCCTATGAAGTTGAGAGCAACTGAGTTTGTGCGGACAGGTATAATTTTTCAACCACTACGAAAAATGAGAGTAAATTTTGAGGGACCGAAACATGTTCCAGAGAAATACAGGGTGCGGCAATTTTTCAGCCGGATTTGAATTGTCTATAACTTTTTTAGTTTTTGGCCCAATGTTAAAATTTTTTTTTCGCTGAATCCTCAAAAGTCCCCATTTTGTTTAATACCAAGTAAACTCTTATGGTATCACAAATGAAGGCACGGTCATTCGACGAGGCCATCAAAAAGTTGTTGCTCGACAAACTGAAAGAATTCACATCGTAACTTGTGGAGGGGTGATATCAATAAAGTTGATGATCATGGCCTACTTGGCTTTCCATAAAGTGCGTGGACTTTTCGTCACAAAGCGTTTCACACTCTCCAATTTACCTTTTGCACTGTGCAATTCGAAAATCGCCGTGACGTAAGTCACCTCGAATTTTACCCACTCAACGAAGAATTGTACAGTGCACGAAGAGGCAAAATGCACTGTGCGCTGCGAGAAAGCCCCCCACAGCCCACGCGATTTATGGAAAGCCTGATCGAAGTGTACGGTATGCAGAATGGAAGAAATAAAAATAATAATATAAAAGAATATCAAATTCGTTTTCTGATTAGAAATAGCTAGGTAGAATTTGAGATTTCCGTATGACTATTTTTTCACGGTTTTGTTGCAAAGCTTGTTCGAGGCAATTTCCCACAGATCTTACTCTTTGTGTTTTCAAATAATAATTATCCAATATCAACAACATTCGAAACGGTTGTGTGTAACCACCTGCATAGCAAGTTCCGTTAAAAAACACCTCGCAAACATTGGATTCCTGTTTGTTTAGGCGCTGTTGGGGTTAAACTGACATAAAAAGTTTGAATACTGTTCAAGTCCCAATTTTTTTGTATGATCAACTCCCCCGTTTTTGACGAAACTTGTATGCTAACGAGTACAGTATGGGTGACGTCACTTCGCAAGAACATAAAGTCAGAATCCTTGTTTCCCTTGTATGGATTTTGCCTCGGATATGCACATCTGTGTCCGACGAAAGTTGGGCCAACGCAGATACATGGCTTGTGCTTTTCCTTGTGGAACAGATGTCAAAAAATACGGTGAGTTGGAACGATCCTGTTTGTTGAAAAAGTGCAACAACATGTTGACACCCAAAAAATTTAGCCTTCGAATATATAAACATGAATTTGGGAACGGATCTCTATTCGAAAACTTTTCGCAGAACAAAGCGATGAGGGACTTCCTTTGCCTCGGTGCTATCTTTCAACTTTCAATGTTTTACATATCGTCTGTCGATTCCGTGTGTGACGACGAAGGCGTCAATTGTTCGCACATGCGCCACATGTGTGGTAATTCAGTGTACCTAGCCATCATGACCAAACATTGCCCCAGGACATGTGGATCATGTAAAGAGGTGTGCGGAGACAAATTGAGAGGGTAAGTTCTAACTTGCCTATTTTTTAATTTTTAATTATATTCGTCCTTTAGTTGCGAATTTCTGAGGGTCCGCGGATATTGTACTGGCCAATTAGCAGGAACACATCAGATGAGTACCCGCTGCCCGAAGACTTGCGGTTTATGTGGCCAGCAAGGAGCAAATGAACCATCTGAGACAGGAACAACTACCGCATCGAAGCAAAATCCAGAAAGTAAAAGAGGAAATGCCAAAAAGAAAGCGGATACAAAAGCTTCCAATAAGAAAAAAGCCAACGAGAGAAAATCAAAGAAGAACAAGGTCAGGCAGACAACCATTCAAACAAACGAAGGATCTGCGACAACACTGAAGAGCGTAACAAAGATTACAATCCCTATAGCAAACACTGGAACCTTCATGTCCTCAGCCGCCACTCCTACAGCCGCGTATATCTCTTCGGCTACCTCTGTAGAATCCGGTTCGACTGGCTTGCCCTATACAGCAATGAATATCCTGTCAGTCAGTGGTTCAACTTCGGCTACTCAAAGTTCTGGCGGTACACATGAACCATCAAATGATGAAACTTCGGCCACTCAAAAATTAAATGAATCATCAAGCGGTACGACTTTGGCAACTCAAAAACCTGGCGACACAAATGAATTACCAAGCGGTGTAACTTCAGCCACTCAGAGTCTTAACAAGTCAACTGAACCATCAAGTGGAGCAAATTCAGCCAGTCAAAGTTCTGGCAACTTAAACGAATCGTCAAGTGATGCGACTTCGGCCACCCACGGCACAGGTGTTCCAGAGTCATCGAATAATGCAACTTCGGCTACACAAGACAATGGCGTTCCAGAGTCACCAAGCGGTGCAACTTCAGCCACTCAAAGTCATAACAACTCCATTGAAGCCTCAAGTGATGCAACTTCGGCCACACAAGCCACAGGTGTAGAGTCATCAAATGTTGCAACTTCAGCCACTCAAAGTCTTAACAACTCCATTGAACCATCAAGCGGTGCAACATCGGCCACTCAAAGTCCTGGCAAATCGTCAAGTGATGAAACTTCGGCCACCCATGGCACTGGCGTTCCAGAGCGATCAAGTGGTGCAACATCGGCCACACAAGGTACTACCGCCCCAAAATCATTAAGCGATGGAACTTCGGCCCCTCAAAGTCCTGCAGATGTACAAGAAGCGTCAAAAACTTCAGTTGCGTCCTCAGACTCCACAGCGGCTTCAGACAGCTCGATTATCGCGTCTCTCACTTCTATGAGCGCATCGGCTGACAATAGCTTTGCACACTCAACCGTGTCCAACGATGCAACGTTGGTGTCATCAAATACTGAAACAAACGAAACAACAGCAACAGGAAATGACGCCTTCGCATCGGTTCTTCCAAGCGTTTCTGGCAACGCCGGCGAAATGGCTGTACAAAGCTTTGGTTCAACATCTTCAGGTGGCGAAACTGCGAGCTCATCATCTGGCAATTCCTACGTAAGTGAATATTTCTGTACAAAAAAACTGCAAAAAACCGAAACTACCAGTGAACTTACAATTGAATTAATGAATTTTAGATAACGGAGGCAACGATAAGCGGTAACGAACAACCCAATGGAAGTCATGGTTCTTCTTCATCATCCGCTTCTGTTTCCGCCGCATCCACCGGGATTTCTGTAACATCAGTGACCGCCTCTTCTGATACCCTCGGAGCTTCTGAACAAACCAGTGAGATCTCCTCAGGCACCTCAAAAGGCAGTGGAAGACCATACAGTCAGACTTCTACAGCATCGAGTGATTATATATCAAGCGTTGCACCGTCAGATAAAACTTCTAACCAGGGTGCAAACGACACTGATATTTCGTCCGAAATCTCAACAAAGCCTTCAAAGACCCCGAATGCTTCTGGCAGAACCGGGACAGGAGCGTTCACGGATCAAACCATGAAGGCTGAAAACGATACGCAGTTCTCAACCACTTCCAACAAAGGAATTACAGTCTCATCAAGCGGCCGAACTGAAGCGACAGCCAAAACAAAAGATTCAGCTTCAGCGGGAACAGCCTCAACTGTTTCGTCTGCATCTGTAGATAACGACAGAACGACTACATTAAATTCGGAATTAACGGCTTCCGAATCTACCGTTTCAACTGATATCTCTTCACAGACTGAAAGGTCTGAAACTAACGGCGAGCAAATTAATACCCAGAGCAGTGCAACTTCTTTGTCCTCAGCCGCATCAGAAGAAAGCACAAAATCTGATGCCGCTGCCTCCTACAAAACTGATGTTAATTCGGAAACCGTGTCTTCTGAAACGTCCGCCACTGATACACAAACAACCACGGGTTCATCTATGAGACCTTCAGAAGAATCAGGATCCAGCCAAACCCATCTTACCTCCTTGAGCCACACACAAAACACTCAAAGAGCAACGACGTTATCGACCAGATACGGCCACAAAGGACAAACGTCAGCTCATACAACAAAGGCTAAAACGACTGCAAAACATTCCGCAGCTCGAGCGAAAACAACTAAAGCCACCAAGTCCAAGGTTTCTTCGACAGCAAAAACGGCCACTACCAAGAAAAAAGGATGGTTCTTCAATCGTAATTTGTAATCTTGCTACCAGCATTTCCGTAATATCTCATCAAACAAATTGTTCCCGCCGACGCAACCAACAATATCTATATACAATACAGGAAGCTTCACAATTCTATTTGTTGACATAATAAATTATTCTTATACCCCCGGTACAGAAGTTTGGAAGAGGCTCGGTTTTCATTGCGGCTTGAGATGGGGGTTTGATTTCTTTTCTATAGATGTATATTAGAAGTGCACTGAGCCCAAACGGAAAGATAGACATATTAGAAAGATCGCTTGAGTAATAAAATTTTTTTACAGAAATAGGTGGGACAAAAGTTGGCAACGGCTTATGAAAGTGGCGATAAACTTTGGAGTATAATCAGAAGTATTTTTGGATAATGCGTGGAGTCGCAAAAAGCTCGAACGAGCTTTCTCATTTCCACGGCTATGCATACCCATTTCAGCTCTTACAATTAATAAAAAGTGTGTTTCTAATAGAAGCAAAGAAAATATAGTTTGTTTCAAACTATTGTCCCTGAGTTTACATAAATCAGGGACCCGTTTGAATATTGAACTTTCAATCACCTAGAGACTCTACCTACAAAGTCCAAACTAAAATCGAGGATTTTAGTTTGTATATCTTTTTCAATACGCAAGACAAGTTCGTACGTATTCGTTGTATCAAAATTCATACAGTTCTGAATAAATAATATGGTTGGGCAAAAGATGGATATCGGTTGTCCCAAACCAGTCCAACTATTGGACTTGAAAGTTCAGTTGAACACTTGTATTTGAACATCGGTTGCTACACAAAATAAAATGTCTTCCAGTACACGTTCCAACTGCCCTGCTATATAAGGAACTGGGTCGTCCCACCTTCACTCATTCGAATTGGAATTCTAAAAATTCCCAGTATGAAGCACTATTGCTTCTTTGTTGTAGTCCTATTTGGATGCATTTCAAGTGTTCAGCCAACTTGTAAGGATCACGGGAAAAATTGCAGGCAACTGAAGGCTTATTGTCACAACTACGCCTTTCATGCCACAATGAAGCAACTTTGCGCTGCCAGTTGCGGTTTCTGCGTGAGTGGATGCGACGACAGATTCGTTAGGTAAGGAGAGCGCAAGGATTTTAAATCTTTTCAGTTGTAAATCTTGGGTTGGAAAAGGATATTGTAAACATCCGATCTACAAGGCCGACATTTATTGCCGTTACTCTTGTGGATTCTGTGAAAAGACCGACTCCGACAGTGCCGAAGATACCTCAAAAATGAACAAAGCTCCAATTGCCCGTAAACCAAAAGTAACAAAGAAAGCCGTGGTTACAAAAAAGGCCGTTGTAACCAAGGAATCCCCGGTTCAAACCAACGTTCCCACCACAACAGAATCCCTTGAATCAGAGAGCACCGTTGTTGACGACAGTACACCAACTACTGAAGAACCACCAGTTACCGAACGGAATGACGAGGGAATCACAACTCCAAAAGCCGACTCAGCAGATTTCGATGACAAAGCACGCAATCCGGCCCCTGTATCAGCAAGAGCAAGTACCCTAACTACCGAGAATCCATCAGTTACTCAAAGAAACGACAAGGCTGTTATGGATAAAAATGAGAAAAACGAGGAGCAGTTCACCTCCCATTCCACACAAAACATCGATCTTCACCCAACGACCGAATCCGGTGCAAGCGAGGAATCCTCGAAGGCCTCATCGACTAGCGGAAGCCGGAAGTCACCGACCAAGCCTTCTCGTGTTCCTGTTATCACACAAACTCCAAGAAATTCTGCAGTCACTGTTACTCCTACCGCCGCTCAGGGCAGTAGCGTAACTCCAACACATCGTGGATCGGCAGCTAGTGCGACGCTGAATGGAAATACTAAACAGGAAGATTCAAGCCTGACTCCACCAATTTCTGCTGGAAGCACGTCCGGTCCTGCCGCTCAGGAAAGTAGCGTAACTCCAAAACAACGTGACTCGGCTATTACAGCAGCGCTAAATGGAACTACTAAACAGGAAGATTCAAGTCTGACTCCATCAAGTTCAACCGAAGGTGTGACCGCGACTAACTCGGGACTAAATAAAAAAACTGAGAAACCAAGAACCCCAACAACCCACAGATCAGCCTCTGGGTCGGCCACACGCGCATCGCCTGCTCCGATTTCTGCCAGAAATCAATCCTGGGCTGAAGTGGCGGCTAAAACCGGTCCTCCAGCGAAAGGTTCCACAAGAAGGACATCTACATTCTCGGCCTCAGCTAAGACTGCGTCTGTAGGTTCGGAAAAGAGGTCTTCTCCAAGGTCGGAAAACGGCGGTTCTCCTACGCCTGACTCCGCCAAGGATTTATCACATGGTCACCAAACCTTTTCCGGATCAACTCCCTCAGTCAGCCAAGCCAGCAAAGCCAGAGCTACAGGAAACCCGACGAAAACCGGGGAGCCATATGGTTCTTCACGTACTCCAGCCACCAGATCAAACACTGAAGATCCTAAAGACGCTGATGCCAATGATCGTAAAGAGGAAGATCGGTCATCTACAGAAGGTGTCAGCAGAGCCACGTCCGCCCCTACTAGACCTGCCGCAACTGGAAAAGGCGGTTCACGCAGAAGCACGGGAACTGGAACACCTCAAATGGAAAACGCTGGGACAAGAAGAGGGGCAAACGGTTCCGCAAAGCCAACTGGAGCTACTAATAGCGTCAAGATTGCCGACTCATCTGCAACTCCCGCTAGTACTCGAGCAGAAAGCACAGAAACTCCTTCTGCAAATATTGTAACCGCCTCCCAAAAAACGCGATTAACAGCAACTGAATCAACAAAAGAATTCGGATCATCAAAAGCTGTCCAAGGTACAGGACATACAACAATCGGTGCTGACGAGGATTCAGCGACACATCCTGGAAATTTAAGTCAAGAAACTAGTGAAACTCCAGAAGCCGATTCGGCAGATGTCGATGACAAAACACCCAGTCCATCCCCAGCAAGAGCAAGTAACCTAACTACCGAGAAACCATCAGTTACTCAAAAAGACGACGAGGCTGTTACAGACAAAAATGAAAAAAACGAGGAGCAGTTCACCTCCCATTTCACACAAAAGATTGATCTTCACCCAACGACCGAATCCGGTGCAAGCGAGGCATCTTCGAGGGCCTCATCGACGACTGGAAGCCGGAAGTCGCCAACCAAGCCTTCTTTAAGCCCGACCGCTCTCAAGTCCACAAAACTTGCTAATACTGGATCCTCCAATACTGCTGCTGTTAATTCAGTATCTCCTAAAGTTACGCGAGCTCCGGTCGCCAAAAACAACACAAAGGCGGCTTTTCCAGGCTCGCAAAAGTTACAGTCTCCAGCTATCTCGCATGCCACCGAAAAGCCAAGAAGTCAGGGAACCAAACACCCTCAACCGCATGGTTCTAGCAAGGCACCAGTCGCTCAAACCAAATCTAATGATTTGCTCACTCGTGCTACCTCTGCCAAAGCTATGGCAAAATCATCAACTACTATCCGTGCAAAAGCAGCGACAAGAAAACCAAACGCTTCTCACTCACCAATGTCAGGTACTGGAGAGACCAAAGCTTCCCCTATTTTGGACTCCAGTGCATCGCCTGCTACCGGAAGACGTTCAAGCCGTGGAAAATCATCAGCAAACCAACGCTTTACGGCCATCTTAGCCACCGGAACCACTCCATTGCACAGTCCGGGATCTCCGGCATCTCGAGCGCGGCTCCCATCTCGTGGGGCCGAGGCCCCAAATCGGCTTGGCAGAGATACCAAATCCCCTGCTTCAATTGGCAGTACAGGTTCTGTTTCTCGTGTTCCTGTTGTCACACAAACTCCGAGAAATTCTGCAGGCACTGTTACTCCCACCGCCGCTCAGGAAAGTAGCGTAACTCCAAAACAACGTGACTCGGCCATTACAGCTGCGCTAAATGGAACTACTAAACAGGACGATTCAAGTCTGACTCCATCAAGCTCAACCGAAGGTGTGACCGCGACTAACTCGGGACTAAATAAAAGAACTGACAGACCAAGAACCCCAGAAACTCAGAGCTCAGCCTTGGTGCCGGGCACACGCCTATCCCCTGCTCCCGTTTCCGCCAGAAGCCAATCCCGGGCTGACGTTGCGGCTAAAACCGGTCCTCCAGCGCAGGCTTCCTCAAACAGGGCGGCATCGGCCTCAGCTAAGACTCCTTCTACAAGTTCGGCAAAGCGTTCGTCTCCAGAATCAGATAACATCGCTTCTCCTACACCAAACTCCGCCAACGATTTGTCATCTGACCGTCCAATTTTTTCTGGATCAACTCCTTCAGTAAGCCAAGCCAGTAAAGCCAGAGCTACAGGAAACCCGAAGGTATCCGGAGAGCCACACGGTTTTTCACGTTCTCCAGCCGCAAGCTCAAACACTGAAGATCCTAAAGGCATTGATGCCAACGATCGTAAAGAGGGAGATCGGTCACCTACGGAAGGTGTCAGTAGAGCTACGTCCGGCCCTACTAGACCTGCCGCAACTGGAAAAGGTGGTTTACGGAGAAGCACGGGAACCTCAGGAGCTGCAACTATTCGAATGGGAAACGCTGGGACAAGAGAAGCGTCAAACGCCTCCGTCAAGTCGACTGGAGCTACTAACAGCGTCAGGATTGCCGACTCGTCTGCTACTCCTGCTAGCCCTCAAGCAGAAAGCACAGAAATCCCTTCTGCAAACACTGTAAACGGCTCCCAAAAAACGCGGTTAATAGCAGCTGAATCAACAAAAGAATTCGGATCATCAAAACCTGTCCCGAGTGCAGGACAAACAACAATAGGTGCTGACGAGGATTCAGCGACACATCCCGGAAGTTTAAGTCAAGAAACTAGTGAAACTCCAGAAGCCGATTCGGCAGATGTCAATGACAAAGCTCCCAGTCCAGCGCCAGCAAGAGCAAGTACCCTAATTACCGAGAAACCATCAGTTACTCAAAGAAACGATGATAAAAATGAGAAAAACGAGGAGCAGTTCACCTCCCATTTCACACAAAACATCGATCTTCACCCAACGTCCGAACCCGGTGCAAGCGAGGCATCTTCGAGGGCCTCATCGACGACTGGAAGCCGGAAGTCGCCAACCAAACCTTCTTTAGCCCCGACCGCTCCCAAGTCCACAAAACTTGCTAACACTGGATCCTCCAGTACTGCTGCTGTTAATTCAGCATCTCCTAAAGTTACGCGAGCTCCGGTCGCCAAAAACAACACAAAGGCGGCTTTTCCAGGCTCGCAAAAGTCACAGTCTCCAGCTATCTCGCATGCCACCGAAAAGCCAAGAAGTCAGGGAACCAAACACCCTCAACCGCATGGTTCTAGCAAGGCACCAGTCGCTCAAACCAAATCTAATGATTTGCTCACTCGTGCTACCTCTGCCAAAGCTATGGCAAAATCATCAACTACTATCCGTGCAAAAGCAGCGACAAGAAAACCAAACGCTTTTCACTCACCAATGCCAGGTACTGGAGAGACCAAAGCTTCCCCTATTTTGGACTCCAGTGCATCGCCTGCTACCGGAAGACGTTCAAGCCGTGGAAAATCATCAGCAAACCAACGCTTTACGGCCATCTTAGCCACCGGAACCACTCCATTGCACAGTCCGGGATCTCCGGCATCTCGAGCGCGGCTCCCATCTCGTGGGGCCGAGGCCCCAAATCGGCTTGGCAGAGATACCAAATCCCCTGCTTCAATTGGCAGTACAGGTTCTGTTTCTCGTGTTCCTGTTGTCACACAAACTCCGAGAAATTCTGCAGGCACTCTTACTCCCACCGCCGCTCAGGAAAGTAGCGTAACTCCAAAACAACGTGACTCGGCCATTACAGCTGCGCTAAATGGAACTACTAAACAGAAAGATTCAAGTCTGACTCCATCAAGTTCAACCGAAGGTGTGACCGCGACTAACTCGGGACTAAATAAACAAACTGGTAGACCAAGAACGCCAAAAACGCAGAGCTCAGCCTCTGTGTCGGGTACACGCGCATCGCCTGCTCCCGTAAACCAATCCTGGGCTGAAGTTGCGGCTAATACCGGTTCTCCGGCGCAGGCTTCTACAAGCAGGACGTCTACTGCATCCGCCTCAACTAAAACTGCTTTTACAGCTCACAATTTGGTAAAGAGGTCTTCTATAAGGTCAGGTAATAGCTCTTCTCCAGCACCAGTCTCGGCAAAACATTTATCATCTGGTCGCCCAATCTTTTCCGGGTCAACTCGTTCAGTCAGCCAAGCCAATAAAGCCAGAGCTACAGGAAACCCGAAGGTATCCGGAGAGCCACACGGTTTTTCGCGTACTCCAGCCACAAGATCAGACACTGAAGATCCTAAAGATTCCAACGGTCGTAAAGAGGAAGATCGGTCATCTACAGAAGGTGTCAGCAGAGCTACGTCCGGCCCTACTAGACCTGCCGCAACTGGAAAAGGCGGTTCACGCAGAAGCACGGGAACTGGGACACCTCTAATGGAAAACGCTGGGAAAAGAAGAGGGGCAAACGCTTCCGCAAAGCCAACTGGAGCTACTAACAGCGTCAAGATTGCCTCAGCTAAGACTGCTTATACAATTTCGGCAAAGGGTTCTTCTCCAGGATCGATTAACAGCGCTTCTCCAGCACCAGTCACCGCAAAGAATTTATCATCCAGTCGCCCGTTATTTTCCGGATCAACTCCTTCAGTCAGGCAAGCCAGTAAAGCCAGAGCTACAGGGAACCCCAAGGTATCCGGAGAGCCACACGGTTTTTCACGTACTCCAGCCGCAAGCTCAAACACTGAAGACCCTAAAGATGCCAACGGTCGCAAAGGGGATGACGGATCCTCAACAAAAGGTGTCAATAAAGTTACGTTCTACCACAAAAGAAAAACGTCTGCTCACACAACGAGGGCTAAAACGTCTGCAAAACATTCAACATCTCGGCCGAAACCGACTAAAACAACCAAGTCCAAGGTTTCTTCGACCGCAAAAACGGCCTCTACCAAGAAACAAGGATGGTTCTTCAGCAGTTATTTATAACCTTGCTTACAGCAATTCCGTATTAGTTTGTCAAACAAATTGTTCCCCGCCGACGCAAGCAACAAAATCTAGAATACTGGAAACTTCGAAATTCTATTTGTTGACATAATAAATCATTCCTGCGAAAGAGATTTCATTTTAATACTGAGCTTACAATTACGCCTACAAAGTGCAAAGCAAATCGAAGATTTGGTCATGTACATGTTTTTTTAGAATTCAACAGCAGAAAATTTTGTAGGGTTCGAAGCCAATTCTGCTGAATCGAGTTCATAGGCTGCAGTTCTGAATAAATATTATGTTTGGGCCAAGGATGGATATGGGTTGCCCTGAATCAGTCCAACTTGTTGAATTGAAATTTGTGTTGTACACTTGTATTTGAACACCGGCTCCCTCAACAAATTGTGTACATGTACACGTTCCAATTGCCCTGCTATATAAGGAACTGGGTCACCTGATCTTCACTCAATCGAACTGGAATTCTTAAAATCCCCAATATGAAGCACTCTTGCTTCTTTGTTGTAGTCTTATTTGGATGCATTTCATGCGTTCAGCCAACTTGTAAGGACGTTGGGATAACTTGCAGCCAACTGTCAGTTTATTGTGACGTTTACGCCTTCCAAGCCCCGTTGAAAAGACTTTGCGCTGCCACTTGCGGTTTCTGCGTTAGGGGATGTAACGACAGATTTGCGAGGTAAGCAAGACGCCGAAAATTTTAAATATTTTGCAGCTGTAAATCATGGGCTAGAAAAGGATACTGTAATCTGTCCAAATATCCGATATTCAAGGCCGACATTTATTGCCGTTACTCTTGCGGATTCTGTGAAAAGACCGACTCCGACAGTGCTGAAGACTTCCCCGAACCAACCAAAGCCCCGGTTACCCGCAAAGCAAAAACAACAAAGAAGAACGTTGTCACCAAAAAATCTCCGGTTACAACCAACGTTCCAACCACAACAGAAGCCCTTGAATCAGAGAGCACCATTGTTGATGACAGTACACTAACCACTGAGGAAGTGCCAGTAACTGAACAAAATGACAAGGCAGTTACTGATAGAAGTGAGGAACACGAGGAGCATTTCACCTACCATTTCACACAAAACATCGACCTTCACCCAACAACCGAATCCGGTGCAAGCGAGGGATCTTCGAGGGCCTCATCGACGAGTGGAAGTCGCAAGTCACCAACCAAACCTTCTTTAACCCCGACTGCTCCCAAGTCCACAAAACTTGCTAGCACTGGATCCTCCAGTATTGCTGCTGTAAGTTCAGCATCTCCTAAAGTTACGCAAGCTCCGGTCGCGACCAACAACACAAAGGCGGCTTTTCCAGGCTCGCAAAAGTCACACTCTCCAGCCATCTCGCATGCCACCGAAAAGCCAAGAAGTCAGGGAACCAAACGCCCTCAACCGCATGGCTCCAGTAAGGCACCAGCCGCTGAAACCAGAAAATATGACTTGCGAACTCGTGCCACATCTGCCAAATCATCATCTACTATCCATGAAAACGCAGCGACAAGGAAACCAAATACGGCTTCTCAGTCACCAAAATCAGATACTGCAGCGACCAAAGCTTTTTCAATTTTGGGCTCCAGTGCGTCGCCTGCTTCCGGAAGAAGTTCATCTAGCTCATTAGCAAACTTACACTCCAGGTCCATCTTAGAAACCGGAACTACTCCATTGAACAGCCCGGCATCATCCCGGAAACCGTTACCATCTCGTGGGACCGGATCACCAAGTCGGCCTGGAAGAGTTTCCGAATCCCCTGCTTCACTTGGCAGTAAAGGGTTTGATTCTTCCCGTCTTCCTGTTGTTACACGAACGCCGAGAAATTCTGCAGGCACTGTTAGTCCCACCGCCGCTCAAGAAAATAGCGTAGCTCCAACACAACGTGGATCGGCAGCTACTGCGACGTTGCAGGGAAATACTAAACAGGAAGATTCAAGCCTGACTCCATCTTCTGCTGGAAGCACGTCTGGTCCTGCCGGACATACACCGACTAACTTTGGACCCAATAAACAGACTGGTGGGCCAAGAACCCCAAAATCTCAGAGCTCAGCCTCTCTGTCTGGCACACGCGCAACGCCTGCTCCGGTTTCTGCTAGAAGCCGATCCTGGGCTGACGTTGCGGCTAAAACCGGTTCTCCAGCGCAGGCTTCCTCAAGCAGGACGTCTGCAGCATCGGCCCCGGCTAATACTTCTTCTACAGCTCAAATTTCGGCAAAGCGTTCTTCAGCTAAGACTGCCTCCATAGCTTCGGAAAAAACGTCCTCTCCAGTGCCAGATAACAGCGGTTCTCCTACGCCAGACTCTGCCAGGGATTTGCCATCTGGCCGCCCATTTTTTTCGGCATCAACTCCTTCAGTCAACCGAGCCAGTAAAGCCGACCCTACCAGACGTGCCGCAACTGAAGAAGGAGGTTCACGCAGAAGCACGGGAACATCAGGCACGGCAACTCCTCGGATGGAAAACGCTGGGACAAGAAGAGGGACGAACGCTTCCGCAAATCCAACTGGAGCTACTAACAGCGCCAGGATTGCCTCAGCTAAGACTGCTTATACCGATTCGGCAAGGCGTTCTTCTCCAGGATCGAATAAGAGCGTTTCTCCAGCACCAGTCTCCGCAAAGACTTTATCATCTGGTCGCCCGTTATTTTCCGGATCAACCCCTTCAGTAAGCCAAGCCAGCAAAGCCAGAACGACAGGAAACCCTAAAGTAACCGGAGGGTCATATGGTTTTTCACGTACTCCAGCCGCAAGCTCAAATACTGAAGATCCTAAAGACGCTGATGCCAATGATCGTCAGGAAAAATACCGGTCATCTACAGAAGGTGTCAGCAGAGCTACGTCCGGCCCTACCAGACCTGACGCAACTGGAAAAGGTGGTTTACGGAGAAACACGGAAACGTCAGGAACAGCAACTCCTCGAATGGAAAACGCCGGGACAAGAGAAGCGTCAAACGCCTCCGTAAAGTCGACTGGAGCTACTAACAGCGTCAGGATTGCCGACTCGTCTGCTACCCCTGCTAGCACTCAAGCAGAAAGCACAGACACTCCTTCTGCAAAGACTGTAACCGGCTCTCAAAAAACGCGGTTAATAGCAGCTGAATCAACAAAAGAATTCGGATCATCAAAGGCTGTCCAAGGTACAGGACAAACAACAATAGGTGCTGACGAGGATTCAACGACACATCCTGGGAATTTAAGTCAAGAAACTAGTGAAACTCCAGAAGCTGACTCGGCAGATGCCGATGACAAAGCATCCAGTCCCGCCTCTGTATCGGCAAGTTCGTCATTGCCAATCGATGTGATAGGAACCACCGAGGCGCCGGATGCAGATGCCGCTCGTTCTGACTCTGGAAGCGCTGAAACCACCGATCCAACGGGCTCGACTGATTCGACCGAAACTACTGCGAGCCCTTCTGTGTCATCTGATGAAAACAATGACATCGATGATCCGTTCTCGCACAGTTAGTCTGATTATTGATTATATTTTTATTGAATAAACAAGAGCTCTGATTCGAGATTTCCAAAAAAAGACAAAATTTTTCTGTTTTTACTTTTCTTGGAAGATAAAATCAGCTTCCGAGTCTACTCATACGAGAAGCCTGTCCTATTCACATTCTTACACCGCCTTTTCTTATTGTTTCAACCAAAATAACGAGTTCAAAATCGGAAGGGTTGAAAGATAGATTTGAAAAATTTTAGGCTAAACAAACATAATTATCCGAATTTATTTACTGTATGTTCAAACAATATAAGTGCGTAAGTACCAGGCAGCGTTCAGAAGTTACGTTTATAATCGTTGTAAGCTGCGTACAGGCTGACCTTTAAACTTCCAACGCTTTCACAAAGCATGACATTGCCATAATGTTTTTCTTGACAAAACTTTCACTTGACGAAGTTTTGAGTTTAAGGCTACATTTGTCCAAACACTTCAGACCAGCTTTTACGCATGAACACAGGATGTTTGTTTTCTGTCATCACAAACTTCAAGTCCTTCTATCAAAAATGTGAACGTGAAGATGTGGCAAAACTAAAGTCCTGTTACGTTTTCCAAAAGCATGGAAATCAAAAACTGCTTAATCTCAACCTTAACCTTAAATTAGTTCTTGTTTTTTTATATGTACATAAGTGGACGATGAAGTGTGTCCAATATATATACTGCCCGACAATTAAAAGTGAAGTCTCGATTCTGAGCCCGACGTTGCCCTGAGGCACAAGGTATTCCCACCGGCCTCTTCTGCACCGTACACCGATGCAGAGTACCAATTTCCATGCATGTGCATTTTAAACGCACTGTGCAACGAGCGTTTGAAAAAATTTTGGGCGACAATTAAAAGTGAAGTTTTTAATTTTTGGACTTACCTGACCTTTTGAGAGATCTGTTGGGATGGAAACTGTCAAGAAACATAGACAAGGTAACATTGAAGAGCCCTAGACACAATTTACGAAAATTTTCCGAGTTTTAGGGTACCATTGCCCGGCATCAAGACGCAGGGTTTATGTGCCACAAAACGGGGCCTTTAGGCACTATTTGTCATAAGACTGGTAATTTTATGATACTGAATACATTTTCTGACAATTTTCGTCCAAATGATGCTGCGAGGTTGTAAAATGTTGGTGCGCTTCAAAGCGTTCTTGTTGATATGGATAACAGCTAGGTGCCTATTTTGACTTATACCACAGCAGGGACCAGTATCCCTCTTGGTTTGATAGTAGGATCGCGATGGATAGACATCCTTGTTACCTAAAAACGTTACTTTTTATGTTATCGTCCCTTTTAGAGACAAAAACAGCGGGTATCACAACGGCATCCTAAAGTTGCTGAAATGCATTTTCCAAAACAGAAGTTTAACGCTATGGTTTGGGTTTGAATATACTAAACACCCTTCATATGACTGTTCAGGGTATAAATTAGTCAAAAACGCCATCATAAGTTTCAATTTCGCTGCATCGAGTTATGCGAAAAATGCTAATATACGAAGTCAAGCAAAGTATATTGGTAAAAGCGAGATAAGTACGCACCTCTAACTAAACAACGCTGTTTTTGGCTGCAGAGAGAGTGACAGAAAAGTGGAAGACAAAAGTTGCGCTGATTATGCATACCATCTTTCGAAATTGCATCGATATTCTCCTTGACTAGTACCGTTGTCGATAATAACGCTTTGAAGCGCACCAACATTTTACAACCTCGCAGCATCATTTGGACGAACATTGTCAGAAAATGTATTCAGTATCATAAAATTACCAGTCTTATGACAAATAGTGCCTAAAGGCCCCGTTTTGTGGCACATAAACCCTGCGTCTTGATGCCGGGCAATGGTACCCTAAAACTCGGAAAATTTTCGTAAATTGTGTCTAGGGCTCTTCAATGTTACCTTGTCTATGTTTCTTGACAGTTTCCATCCCAACAGATCTCTCAAAAGGTCAGGTAAGTCCAAAAATTAAAAACTTCACTTTTAATTGTCGCCCAAAATTTTTTCAAACGCTCGTTGCACAGTGCGTTTAAAATGCACATGCATGGAAATTGGTACTCTGCATCGGTGTACGGTGCAGAAGAGGCCGGTGGGAATACCTTGTGCCTCAGGGCAACGTCGGGCTCAGAATCGAGACTTCACTTTTAATTGTCGGGCAGTATACCACAAATTCTGTAGTAATGTTACACACAATCAAATCGTTGAGTTTGGATTTACTCTGGTAATAATTTATCGAAATTGAGGTCTCATCAAGAAAAACATAGTCAAATTGCACCTATTTTGTAAGACACAATATAAAACATCCTCATTAGTTTTTTATGTACTCCGGGACATTGTCTATGACTGAGACAACGGATCGTTCTTTCGGAAGAGTCTGCTTGTCTTCCACTTTATCCGGAAGCCGTTTAATTATCAACATGAATGGAGCAAAGGCAAGATTTGCGACTGCCATTACAGTCATCATCCTGTAAATAATCGTATTTTTACTATAGAAGAATTAGACATAAAACGTACGTTCTAAACCCAAAGTATCGCACAATAGGCCCGGCCATAAAGGGGCCTGTTGCAAACGCCAGGCATGCAGCTCCATCACCAATGGCGTAAACTGAGCCATAAACATTTGTATGGCGAAGATCAGCGATATGTCCGAGCATTGGGAACATATTAGTGTCGACCAACCCGAGACCGAGTCCCAAAACGGCATTTGGAATAATCAGATGGTAAATATTCTGGGCAAATGGAATCTAAACACGATAAAATAGAGTGACAATGACAGTATAATCAATTGTGTAACTCAGATCAAAATATTTACAATTAGTCCACAAATGCCGATCATCAAAAACCCAACCAAACTACATTGCCATCGCCCAAAATATTTCGAAACGAAGCCAAACATGTTTGTCCCAATCATGTAGGCCAATGAGCTCGGCAAAAAAGCCATTCCTTGCTCGGTCGAGGTTGATCCCCAATTCTCAATCATCCACAATGGAAGAGAGGGTTCCAGCATCGAGAAGGCCAGATTGCTGATCCAAATGGCACCAGCAGCGATCAGAATATACGGATCAGAAAGTAGATCGGCATATGCAGTAGGCTCTGGTCGGGCTTTGGACTTCTTGGGGCGAAGAAGGAGTAGTTGGATCGCTGAAACGGTCAGAAATATAAATTGGGACCATTATATCTTAAAAAGCTACAAAAATGACCAGCTAAACCACGCACATCACACATCACAATAAACCGATGATATCATTTCGTATTTAACACCTTTTATTTGCTCAGCTCACTGCACTGTCCATTATCGCCTTAAACGTTTTTCAAAACAATGGGAAATCCCGATTCCGCAGGATATCTCGCGTCATGAAATGGGCATCAACTTTACTCTATATTTTTACCTTACAAATTGCCAATGTTCTGAGTGAAGATTGTGAGGATATATCGCCGGATTGTGTCTTGTTAATTAGATACTGTACCAGTCGAATCTATGCGGCCTTTTTGGAACAAGCGTGTCCGAGGACATGCTCGTATTGCAAGGATCAATGCGAGGATCGGTTTGTAAAGTAAGTATTTTTATACATACAATCGGTTTATTATATTTAGTTGTCCCTACTGGAAGAGAAATGGCTTTTGTACGTTGAATTTTTACACAAAGTACTTCATGATGTTATATTGTTCAAAAAGTTGTGATTACTGCGATAAACGTGACATCATGATAATGGAAACAACGCAACCGCCGGTCGAAGATACCACAACCATCAGAGAAGCCCTTACTTCAACTATAAATACAGAGTCAACGGTTATAGTGGCAAGCCCGACTATGATTTCGTCAACAACTGGATTAACGAATACTCAGCAGACTACAACAACGGTTGTTCAGTTGACGAGTAGCCCAGTCGACACCACGACAGGCGTGGCGGATTCAACAACGGCAAATATCGATAGTACCACAACAAACGCAGATACCACAAAAACGGCTATTGATTCTACAACAACTTTGGCTGATACGACTATCACAAATTCAGACACGACCACCACAAACATGGCTACTACAACGATGATAATAGAGACCACAACGACTATGTTAGATACGTCAAGTACAAGCCAAGCAAGCACAACGACGACGGTCGTTGACACCTCTACAACTACCACGCAAGGCACAACAACGGTAGTTATGGATACCACTTCAACGTTAATAGACACCTCAACAACGTCTCAATCGGATACAACAACAACAAATCCGGATACCACAACAACAATGATCGATACCGCAGCTACAAGTTTGGATACTTCAACCACCAGTAAACCAGATACTACAACAGCTGCAATGGACACAACCACGACTCGTATGGATTCTACAACCACTCTAGCGGAATCAACGACCACCGCAATAGACAGCACAACAACAAATCCGGATACCACAACGAAAACCATGGATACTACGTCATCTCTTGTCGATACCTCGACAACGTCTCTGACCGATCCCACTACTACAGTTGCTGATACCACAACCACTCTCATAGATACGACGACCACGGTTATTGACACTTCTACAACGCCGGCAGATACAACAACGACTATCGTGGATTCTACTACCACTCCTGTAACGGAGACGACAACTACTGCCGTTGATACTACAACAGCTGTAGCCGATTCTACTACGACATTGATAGACACAACAACTACCATAATTGATACAACGACTACTGTCATGGGGACAACAGCAAAGGTCGATTCTACAACAACCTTGGCTGATACTACAACCACAATGATCGGCACAACTACAACTGTCATGGATACTTCCACAATATCTCAACCAGATACTACAACCATTGTAATAGATACCACAACAACAGTTATTGACACGACAACAACAGTAGCAGATACGACTACCACAGTAATGGATACTACAACAACTGCCATTGAGACCTCCACAACATCCCAACCAGATACTACAACCACCGTAAAGGACAGCACAACGACAATTATTGACACGACAACAACAGTAACAGATACGACCACCACAGTAATGGACACAACAACAACAATTGCTGGTACGACAGCAACAATAGCAGACATGACTACCACAGTAATGGACACAACAACTACTGCCATGGACACAACTTCCATTGATACCTCCACAACATCCCAACCAGATACTACAAACACCGTAATGGACAGCACAACAACCTTTGTTGATACAACAACAACAATTGCGGATACGACTACCACAGTAATGGACACAACAACTACCATGGATACCTCCACAACATCTCAACCAGACTCTACAACCATAGTGATCGACACCACAACAACAATTATTGACACGACAACAATAACAGCAGATACTACAACCACAGAAGTAGACACTACAACAACAGTTATTGATACGACAACGACAATAACAGATACGACTACCACAATAATGGACACAACAACAACTGCCATGGATACATCCACAATGTCCCAACCAGATACTACAACCACCGCAATGGACAGCACAACAACCTTTGTTGATACGACAACAACAATAGCGGATACTACAACCCCAGTGGTAGACACCACAACAACAGTCATTGACACGACAACAACAATATCAGATACGACTACCACTGTAATGGACACTACAACAACTTTTGTTGATACCACGACAACATTGGCAGATACGACTACCACAGTAATGGACACGACAACAACAATAGCAGATACTACAACCATTGTAATAGATACCACAACAACAGTTATTGACACGACAACAACAGTAGCAGATACGACTACCACAGTAATGGATACTACAACAACTGCCATTGATACCTCCACAACATCCCAACCAGATGCTACAACCACAGAAGTAGACACTACAACAACAGTCATTGACACGACAACAACAATAGCAGATACGACTACTACAATAATGGACACTACGACTACATTTGTTGGTACCACAACAACATTAGCAGATACGACAGCCACAGTAATGGACACGACAACAACAATAGCAGATACTACAACCACAGTAGTGGACACATCAACAACTGCCATTGAGACCTCCACAACATCCCAACCAGATACTACAACCACCGCAATGGACAGCACAACAGCCTTTGTAGATACGACAACAACAATAGCAGATACTACAACCACAGAAGTAGACACTACAACAACTGTTATTGACACGACAACGACAATAACAGATAAGACTACCACAGCAGTGGACACATCAACAACTACCATTGAGACCTCCACAACATCCCAACCAGACTCTACAACCACAGTAATCGACACCACAACAACAATTATTGACACGATAACAATAACAGCAGATACGACTAACACCGTTGCTGATACGACGACGACAATGATGGATACTACAACAACCATCGCCGACACGACCACATCAAATCAGGCTTCAACTACTACGGTTATGAATCCGACAACCAGTCTGGCGGACACTACAACGACAATGGTCGATACGACAACAGAGACCATGGATACCACAACAACGATAATGGACTCTTCAACTAAAACACTTGCCGAGACAACGACAACTGTTGTGGACACCACAACGACGGCTATGGACTCCATCACCACCTTGGCAGATACTACGGCGGTCTTAATGGACACAACTACAACAATTGCAGCCACGACCACCACTATGGTCGACACAACAACGACTGTTATGGACACCACTACAAGTACGTTGACTTCCGTCAAAATTAAGCATGCAGTTCCTGTCACACCTAGTACTATAGCTACTCAATTAGACTCTTCAATTTCGAATACGCAACAGAACAATTTACATAATCTCAATTACTATTTTCGCAATGTTAGCATTGGTCTGTTCCCGGTTTCCCACTTTTTTAAATTATGGAAAAGAAATTGGAAAAATTATGGAAAAAAGTTTGACAATTATTTTCGCACATTCCGTGATTATAAAGAGTAATAAATTAGTTGTAACGACAGCCTGTATTGCTTTTTTTGTGGTATTCCCCCTTACAATATCTATGCAGACCTTTAAACTTATATTTTCAGTGGACACCACAACCACAGTTATGTCTAGTACAAATACAATGGCTGAGACTACTAGCACGATGTCTATGACGTCTACAACTACAGTATAGAGAAGTAAAAAATTCTTTGAAGTTGTTTCTTTTGATTTGTACATAATCGCTTCCATTTTTTATCATTGTTACGCAAACACCATAATATAGCTCAATTTTTTCTACCTTTCCGACTGTTCTATGAGTTTTAATAAATGCTTTCTTACCAACTTCAATCAACGAAAATCCCGCTAGTAGTGCGAAAGGCAGTATAATCCCTCCAATTCCATACAAGAATCCTCCGATTGTTGGGCCGGCAGTAATTCCGATTGCTATCCCACCAAAACACAAAGCGATCGCCTTGCCTCGAGCAATGTTATCAGGGAACGTCTCAGCCAAGAGGCCAAGCCCTGATACAGAACTGAAACCAGAGCCAACACCGTTGAGACTGCGGGCTAGAAGGAGGGTCCAGTAAGAAGTGCTGAAGGCAAACATCAAGGAAGACACGATGATGATTATAAATCCAATGAAAAGCGGGATCGAGTAGCCAATTCTGAAAGAAAAAGGTATTGTATTACAGAGCTGGCTTCATACAGGTTCTGTTGCGCCATGCATATTTTTACGGCACAAGCTAAAAGTGGAGGAAATTTAAAAACTCGAGTCAAAACTCGGAGCAATTAGTGTATAAGCCCTAGGCAAAATAAACGGGCAAAACATCCCCTGGATGCCATCCTTGAGGGCTAATTGTAATACCTGTGTATAAAAATTATCTGCTGTGTGCAAAGTTTACCTGTAAGTAATTTGCGAAACCATAAGTCCAACAGGAATTTGAACTACTGCCTTTGACCCCAACAACATCGCTACAGGAATACTATTGGAGACAAAGGCTTCGTGATAACTTTCTTCATGTTCTAGCTCTGTAAAGTTGGATATTTCTTGTCGATGATACGATGCATCAAGATACGAAGTGTCGTTAGATTCTTTGATTCTGATCAAGTAGTCGGGGAGAATTGGGACTGAAAACACAAAATTAAGGATTAAAAAGTTTATTTTCCATGTTTGGCCGTTTGCTTACCGACTATGGTAAATAAGAGACAGTCCACCAGCATGGCCATGTATACCGTCAACATGACTATTTTTGGCCGATATTTGTCACTTCGCAGAGTCTCCAACATCATTTGTTTGATTGTGAGCTAATTCTTAACCAGATTTTGAAAAATTAAAAATTTCGTGAATGATTTCAGTCAGCGACTTTTTAAACTCGAATCAATGAATGTTCCGTCTAATTCATAGGCAAATCCACGAACTTTGGCTGGAATTAATGCGGGGTTTTTGCACTGGAGAGCTAAAGAACAGATGATGAAATTCCGCGAAGACTGCAGGCTTGATTTTGAATAAATATTTGTAGTGCAATGTCGCAAAGGAAAGAGTTTGACAATATAAAACTCTAACAAGAAAAATATCAGCTTTGTAAAAAACAAACAACTCATATCGACCTCGGAGATTCAAATTTTAAAAAGTAAGCAAATACGCTGAGGTCCTCAAAAAAAGTTTCAAGTGATCCGTCCTTGAACCTTGATTTTATAATAGTACTACACCTTGTAAGACCAACGTATGCAATAAAATACGACTTATATCGTATTTAAATTCTATATTTCTTCATTTCTCATACCCTTTTTCCTATCTTGAGTTCAAAAATTCGATTTCCAACTTCAAAGCAACACTTGACCCAATTTGAAAAATGAGTCAACTCTGCCACTAAAAATAAATTTTCCGAAAATTTTCTCCAAATTGTGAAATCCCGATTCTTGCATCATTAGGAGGAAGCGCTGTTGTAGAAACTGAATAATCTAATTTATTTTATATTATTTTAGATACCCAAGTCGAAATGAAGTCCAAATTCTCGACCTTAGACATCTACGCTGTGATTTTTGATCTAAAACAGTTGATTGGAATGCGAATAGTCAATGTGTACGACATTGATTCGAGAACGTATTTGATGAAGTTGCATAAGTAAGTTGTTTAAGTTTTTTTATTTGTGTTTAGGTCAAATTTCCACGAATTTCGATGTTATCCTTGCTGAAGGTGAAAGTACGGATGAACGTTTTTGTAGACGGATTGCTGTGATTTAACTAGAAGATAGCGCTGGCAAGCCGACAGCTAGTTCCAATTTTTTTTTAGCTTTTATTTTCTACTTTCCCAGCTAGTATAATATAATTTTATGTGAAATCAGCGGGAATTAATAATAAATAAGTGTTTTCGTGTTTTAGACCAAGTGACAAGGCGTTTATTTTGTTCGAATGCGGTGCCAGGATACATCGGACTTACCATGATTGGCCGAAATCTCAAGTCCCATCGGGATTCTCGATGAAATTCAGAAAACATATCAATCAGAAGCGGCTCACTGGTGTTAATCAGGTAATTGATTGACTCTTAGCCATTTTCTATGTGTTTGGAGACCTTCAAACTACGATTTTCTTTAGGTTGGAGCCGACCGAATAGTAGATATGCAATTTGGAGATGATGATCGAGCTTGTCACGTGATTGTCGAACTCTACGATAGAGGTAATATCATTCTGACCGACTCAGAATACATTATCCTCAATGTTTTGAGACCCCGAACCGATCACGATAATGATGTGAGGTTTTCGGTCAAAGAAAGGTGAGTTGATACCTAATTTTTTTTTTAATTTTTAGGTATCCTTTGGAACTGGCTCGAAAAGAAACATTCCTTCCGTCTTTGGAAAACATTGCACTCTTCTTGGAGTCCGCTAAACCTGATGAATATGTGAGAAAAGCACTAGTTCGACATGTTCCATTCAGTGGGCAGCTGCTGGAACATGGGTTTGTTAGTATTGGACTGCCTTCCAATACTCAGGTAAGGATATTTCAAGACTTATTGTGATTTCTAGACTGTTAAGGCCCTAATTTTAGAAAAAAATTTGCGAGGAATTGCATCTTCATCATGGATAATATAATTTTTTTAGGTAAGAGACCTGGGAACGGTTAGAGAAGGAACGTTGACCATCAGTCGAGCTCTAGAAGAGGCGGATAAAGTTATGAAGCAGATTTCTCAAGAGCAGAGCAAAGGTTACATTACCCTTCAACGAATCAAAAGGTCTGATGGAACTGAAGCTGAGAGTTACCAGGTAAGGTCCAAATTTAAGCGAATTAATATACCAATATGACGTTTATTTCTCCAATATAAAAATTTGTTCTTCCAGGAGTACCATCCATTCTGTTTTGCTCAATTCAAATTGCCGGATTCCAAGCTGGAAGTCCAGGAATTCCCGACCTTCAGTGAGGCCATAGACAAGTTCTATTCACTTCTTGATGAACAAAAATTGGATCAAAAAGCCATTCATGCCGAGAAGGAGGCAATCAAGAAGTTGAACAACGTCAAAAAAGATCATGAACGTCGTGTGAAAGCGTTGGATGAACATCAAGAAAGTCAACATAGAAGGGCCGAGTTGATCGAAATGAATAGAGATCTCGTCGATCAGTGCATTTTGGTTGTACGGTAGGTGTGACGGAGAAATTTTGAATGGCAAAATTTGTGGATTTTGGGAATTTAAAAATTGAAGATTATAAGCTAGAGTACGTGGACTGTTTTCAGACAATTCGTCGCTAATAAACTACCATGGGACGAAATCGACCGCCTTCTGAAAATGGCCGCAGCTCAGAGTAATCCGGTCGGCAAGGCAATCATTCGAGTGAATCTGGCACAAAATGAAATCACCCTCAGATTGACAGACCCGTATGCCCATCTTGAAGATGATTCCGACTCGGAGACTGACAAGAAACCAAAGAAAATTCAGACCTTTGATGTCGAAGTAGACCTGGATCTGAATGCTGATCAGAATTGTCGGAAATTCTTCGGTGATAAGAAGGCAGCCGTTGAGAAAAAGCATCGTACTCTCCAGGCGTCAAGTATCGCTTTGAAAAACGCACAGAAGCAGACGCAAAACAAGGTGGAACAGGTAAGAAAAATGCGCAAATTGAAACTTTTTGTTCTGTGCAATATGTAATAGTGAAGAAATAGCCAGTAAAATATAATTTTTAGGTCCGAGTAAACACTACCATCGCACGAGCCCGGAAAACCATGTGGTTTGAGAAGTTTTACTGGTGCCTGTCCTCGGATGGCTTCCTCATAATTGGCGGTCGCGACGCTCAACAGAACGAAGCTCTTGTCAAGCGTTACCTGCGCCCTGGAGATGTCTATGTCCACGCAGATCTGCACGGCGCCTCATCAGTTGTTGTTAGGAATAAGACAAAAGATCAGGAGATCCCTCCAATGACTCTGAATGAGGCCGGATCGATGGCCGTCTGTTATTCTACGGCTTGGGAAGCGAAGATCGCAGTGAACGCCTGGTGGGTATACCATCATCAGGTCAGCCGAACAGCGCAGACCGGAGAGTACCTCCCACCGGGTAGTTTCATGATAAGAGGGAAGAAGAACTTCCTTCCGTCGGTTCATCTTCAACTTGGATTTGGATTGTTCTTCAGGTGGGTGGTATAATATAAATTGTGTTGGGTTTGTGCGAAAAACATTTATTTAATTTTAAGACTGGATGAAGAATCAACTCAGAAGCATCTTGCAGAAGCTGCGGAGAAAATCTCCTCGTCTAGAGTTAGCGTTGATACGGAGGAACCCAAGGATAATATAAATGAAGAAGAAGAGGAGGGAGAAGAGCTCAAAGGAGACGATGAAGATGCGAATGATGAGGAGAATGATGAATTTCCAGATGTTGAGGTAAAATGGTTTTGGATTTGACCTTGATTCGTATTTAGTTTTGAGGAGGGAAGACTTGACCCATTCGGGTCAAGTCTCTCTGTTAGTCGAAAACGTTCCATTTTTTGATTTATGATGGGAAATACTGTTATTTTAGTTAAAATTGGATGACATACGACTCGATTCCACCGTGACAAAAGGCGAAGATGACGAAGATTTCACACTCATCCAGTTAATTCAACCAGTCCGGGAGAAAAACCAAAGAGAAAAATATTTGGAAGAGAAAGCCAAGATTGAAGCTGAAGAAGAGAAGAATAGAGAAGTGAAAGGTACGTTTTTGTGAATTTCAGAGTGTTTTGAACTCGTTTTGTTTTTAAAATACTAGATTGTTATGTGGAATATACTTTTATTAACGTATAAAAAAGTTTTGTTGCAGCCCCGGGAAAGGATGCTCCAATGACAAAACGTCAAAAGCATAAGCTGGACAAGATCAAGAAAAAGTATGCAGATCAAACGGAGGATGAAAGATCCGAGCAATTGCGAAAATTGGGGGCTCAGCCAACCAAGGGTAAGATAATATCCATCATAAAAATTATTTTTTTTAGTCCTGAACAAACTCAAAAAAGGCAAAGCGAAGAAGAAAACGGCCAAGGATGAGGATTTGCCAGAAGAGGTTGAAGTAAAACAGGAGGAAGAAGAGCCAGAAATAAAAGAAGAAGGGCAGGAAGAGCAAAAAGAAGAAGAAAATGAAGAAAAAGAGGAGAAGAAGGAAGAACAAGAAGAAGAGGAGGAGGAACCTGATCAGTTGGAGGGCTTGGACCAAGAAGAAGCTGTCCTCAAGTCCCTGTGTCCCCATCCCAGAGCAGATGACGGCATTCTTTTCGTGGTCGCAGTCTGCGCTCCGTATTCGGCGATGCAGAAATTCAAATATAAGGTAAAGGAATGAGGGATATTTGGGAATAATTTAGGCTTGCATTTTTCCTTATATACATACTTATATACAAGTATATATTTTACAAATTTCAGGTAAAAATCACTCCCGGAACTGGAAAAAGAGGTCGTGCTGTGAAGACCGCTCTGGAATTGTTCCAAGTAAGTCCTTTTTTTAAAATACGTAATATTTTTTTTTTACTCTATCAAAATGATGATTCTGGTTTTAGAAAGACAAAACAGCCACTCAAGCCGAACGAAACCTCGTGAAATCGCTGGTCTCGGATCCAAGCGTTGTCCAGAGTCTCCCAGGAAAAGTCCGAGTATCAGCGCCGGCTCTGATGAGAAGCAAAGCCAAGTAAACTCCGGGTTAATTTTGTGATTTATTGTTGAAAGAACTTATTTTGTTGTTTGACGGTGAATTCTGAGGAAATGAAGTGTATTTATTAGATCTATTTTTGGATAAATTGCTGTCTAAATGTTCCTATTAATCAAAATATGCCATCAAAAGGTTATTTTTGTCACTAGAAACGCATGATCAAGGCACACTTCGGACAATAACTAGTTCTCATGATCGCTGCAAATTTTTGGACCGAGTCCAAAATTCCCTTATATGCCGGAGAGTAATTGTTTTGACGGTAAGTGCAAGGAAACTGCAGGTCCTACATCCTTATCTCGGCGTTTACTTTGAGTTCTGGGCCCCGCCCTCCGGGCAAACAGAATTGGACTGATCTTATCAAGTGATCGGATCGTTTATCAATCGCTGTTTATAACGACCCCCTTCGACCATCTGATCGGACATTTCCGAGAAATCCCCGGGGGGTAATTTCGGAACAATTTGGAGGATAAATCGTTAGCAAGATTCGGGTCTGATACTCGGTTAAATTGGCCTTCAGGTAGCGCTCAAGTGTAATATATTATAAAAAATGATGAACACAGCGGTTATTGGTCTGATCGCTGGGATTTTACTGGTAGTTCAATCGTAAGTTGAGCCAAGATTTTTGTATAACCAATCAAAAAAGTTACAAGTCTTTTACAAAGTTTGTTTTGGCCTTTTTTGGTAAAATCTCGTTTTGTTCAAAATCGCAGAAAAAATCAAAGATTTCGGGTGCTTCATGGCTCTTTATAATATTCTTTTCATCATAGCAGGCTTATAACTTATCGTCTTCTTTCTTCTTATTCATCAGAATTACCATTTTTAGCCGACAGATTCCCCCATTCCGCAATGATGACAATGACGGGGAAATCTGGGCAGTTCTGGTCGCTGGATCCAATTCCTGGTGGAATTATCGACACCAAGCCGACATCTGCCATGCCTACCACATCTTGAGGAATCATGGAATCCCAGAAGATCATATAATCACCATGATGTACGATGATATTGCACATAACGAGGAGTAGGTTGATTTTTTGGTTGAGAATGATAGGAACTTTCGCACAGAAATTGGTCAGCCTTGATTGCTTTCCAAAGACTCTAATAATGTACCTCCTTATTGTTAGTAACTTCATTTACTTATAAGAATTTTAATTTTTCCTCCAACTCTTTCAGAAACCCCTACAAAGGCAAGATTTTCAACCATCCGAACGGGTCTGATGTCTATGCGGGTGTAAAGATTGATTACACGGGAGATGATGTGAATCCAGAGAACTTCTTGAAGGTTTTGAAGGGAGAACACAATGGAGGAAACAGAGTTTTGAACAGCACTGAGAAGGATCGAGTGTTCGTCTACTTCTCTGATCATGGAGGACCTGGAATTCTCAGCTTTCCATCGGATTCGGTAAGTAAAGTTTGGAGGTAAAATACGCTGCGTAAAGACTTTAGGTAAAGTGTTTCTCTTGTTGGTCTTAATGACGTTTTTGCGTCTTACATGGGCAAGCTGCATGATGTTTTCAGATTAGAGTCAAGTCTACCTTTTTTTGAGTCAACTGTTTCTCGCTAAGGTTAATTTCAAAAATTGGTGAAATAGACCACATAGACCACTGCGTACATTGACAAAAAATTTTATCCAGAGACACCCTCCAAAACCCCTCAAACTCCTACTTTTTTTCAGCTAACAGTCAAGGATCTCAGCGCCACGCTCCACGAAATCCACGCCAAGAACTCGTACAAGGAGCTTGTCCTCTACGTGGAGGCCTGTTATTCCGGCTCTATGTTCCAGGGATTCCTCCCCAAGAACACAAACATCTACGCGGTCACCGCGGCCAATGCCGCCGAGAGTTCGTACGCCTGTTATTGCGACAGCAAAAAGTTGCGCGGCGTCTGTTTGGGCGACTTGTTCTCGGTGAATTGGATGGAGGATTCGGATCGTGAGGACATCGAGAAGGAGACTCTGTCGACTCAGTTTGATATTGTGAAGAAAGAGACGGCCGACAGCCATGTTATGAAGTTTGGAGACCTTCATTTTGTGTCCGAGCCGGTTGGGGATTTCCAAGGGAGGGAGGAGTACATCAATAAGAGTTTGGCTGTGCCGAGGGTAAGTTGGAGATATAGGATGACTTTAGGAACAAAGGCAAAATCCGACAATTGCCTTCAACTGCAAAAATGTCCACTTTTATTTCCAAAAATCAAAGAAACATTACGTATTTTGGGGATAAACAAACCCTTTTTTTCCAAATCCAAATGGCCAAAGCGTCAGGCCAGAGTTCATTCCCCTTTCAAAATAAAAAGGGGTGCAGATATCAGATGATTCTAAACATATCATTCATCGATCACAAGCTTCATTTTTTGGGAAGGTTCCTTGAAAGAGATCTTAATCACAGGTGACATTTTATACGACAAAAAATATTTGTGGAATATTTTTTGTAAAAATTTGTGTCCCTAAAGGACACGGTAACTTTCCAGAAATTCGATTATCTAGTGCATTGTACGAATTGATAAGTAATCTTATACCGAAAACTTTTGCTAAACAAATAAACTCGTAAAACTCGAGTAATACCGGTAAACAACGACAAGACTTTGGTCATTGTAATGCAATGTGATCACCGAAAAGAAATAAAAATTGTATCTTAGGGATCGGCAAACAACTACGCGAAATGGCGCTCCACAGATGTCCCAATCAAAATGCTCGAGGCCAAGCTGCAGAGAGTGAATTCGGCCGATGAACAGCAAGACATTGAAGACCAGATTGAGGAGATTACCCAGAAAAGAAATGTGTTCAGATTCCATTTCAACGCTTTCATCAAGAAATTGGTCAACGATCCAATCAATCGAAGAAATGTCCTTAGGAATAAAGGAGAGCCCATCAAGAACTTGGAATGTCATGATGCGGTCTTCAAGGCATTCAACAGGATCTGCTACAACATCGCTAAGGTCAGGAATCATACTTTTGTCCCAAATTTTTCTCCAAATTTCTTGAGTGAAATTTTGAGTCGTTTACTATGGGGATTACTGCAACATTATAGGGGATTGGTTCTTTTTAGTAAGCGTTGAAACGAACCCAGAAAAAGTCATCTTATTTGGTCTTAAACTCTGTCTCCACTGGATAGCTATGGCAGAACTAGAACGTTCAAATTTTCATTATCTTAAAAACTATCTATTCCATTTCCAGAACCCCTACGTGATCGACCATTTACACGCTCTGAACAACATGTGCAACCGAAAGATCCCGACTCAAAGAATCATCGACGAAATGATGGACCACTGTTTGGATACTCCTGTACAATTTGTCTTGTAATCATCCCAATATTCGCACTTCTTCTTATTTTTAGAGAGTAAAATAAAATTTGTACTATTTTCTAGTCAATTTGTATACTTTGGAAAAATTAAAAATCAAACAGAAATCTTTCAAGATACGATGCTTAAAAGTGCAAGGTGGAAAATAAAAAGTGCAGAAAATAGAAGTAAATATCTATGGAAATTTCATATTTTGTTGTAATTACAATGGGAACTTTTTAATTATGTCACGTAGCCATGGTGATAACCAAGGTGGAAAAGAGCAGGAGAAACGAAATTCCAAGGAGTCCGGGAACGTTGTTGAGGTGGGTCCCTGAAAAAATGTAATTGCAATACCCTGGAGAGAACTTGAATTATTCAAAAATGTTAGAATTCAAAATGCTGTTACAGTAGGAAGCCTTAGGCAATAAGAAATTCAAAACGATGAGAAATCAGAGCGCTCTTAATCAAAATAAGCCAAAGGTTTTGAAATTAACTCACCGCATTCGCAGAACGTCTGAGTAGTGTAATTCATGTAGGCGGGAGTGATTCCGGTAGCAGAGATTACATAATTATTATAACTACATTCATCTCCCGCCTCTAGGGTCGAGAAATTTCCTTTATAAGGAGCTGTTACGTTCTCTCCAACATCCCAAATCCAGGTGGCATTACAAGATGGTCGACGAAGACCAATAAAGTAGTAGGACATCTAAAATGGGAGGACTCATAAAGAAAAATTTATTTCCGAAATATGTTATATTTCCTTCTACTGTCATACGTATTTTTTGATGTAATGTGCGCAATTTACTCAAAGTTTTTGACTTAATTTTGAACCCACCTTCATCTTCGCGGGCAATTCGTTAATCACATTGGTCGTGTCCAAGTTCGGAACCCGGCAAGTCCAATTCCCATCCGCGCTTTGTTCGAGAATATTGCACTTCTCCACGGTCGTGTTATAATCGGATTTTTCGTTTCCCACAACCACATAACACCTACTCGTAGAGTTGTCATAGTATGACATCATCATGTTCTGCAGGCCGTCTAAGACCTCGCACATTTCTAAGACAGCACTTGCAGTTGTGGTCTGGACTGTTTGGGAGGAGACTAAAAATATCATTTTTTTAAAATTTGCATATTTCAATTAAAAAATACGTTTTAAATTTTAATCAAGCGCAAAAAACTTAAATTAAAGGTTGCCGCAAGGCATGGAAAATATGAACTACCGCAGTTTACAACATGCCGCCCCTTACCAGTTGAATTTCCGCCTGCCGCGGTGGTTGCAGCGACCGTCGTGATAGTTGTTGTTGTTATGTTCTGCCCATTACAACTCCAGAAACAGGTCAAGAGAAAGCCAACGCTCAAAAGAACACCAGCACCCATCATTGTAACAGGCAATTGAAGCGGTCCGGAGGGCATTGGAAGGCTGGGAACGGTGAGTGTTCCCACCCCTGACAGGTGAAAGTGCACAGTGCGTTCGAACCGGTGCTCTAAAGCGAAAATATTCACATAATAAACAAGATGAAATACTACAGACTCGGAGGGAGATTCTCGGAAATGAGAAATGGCTGGCAGATTGTGTGAATGTCTGGAAAAACGAGTTGTAGGGACTTTGTAAAACAACTATTTCTAGATATTTCTAGTCCCTTTCAAAAATATTTAAAAGTATTACAATAAATTTCAAACCCTTATGAAAAAGTTTGAAAGTCGCTTCGAGGGTGACTTGCTTCAACTTTGCCATCAATTTTTATTCTTTAGGCATTGAAAATTTATTTACCATCTAACAAATGTTGTTTTTTTAAATTCAGGGATCAGACAGACAATGTTAGACGACTTGTTTTGCGAAGCGTTTCTGACAGTTTCCCTCCAAAACCTTTTCAATTTCCTCCTGTTTGTAATGTCGGTCACAGTAAGAGTATAACTTTCCAGTGTACTTGGCAACGTAACGGTCCTGAAAAATCAAAGTTTACTACTGTCACGGGATGACTATTTTCTCACTCTAGACAACTTGTAGCAATGTCTTGTGAACTGTTGAATAACCTTCGTACGACATGGCCATTCCGCTTTGACCTCTTTTGTTTTATCATTCTGCAGATTGTCCAGTTTTTCAAAGATATCTTTCATATGTGCATCGGCCAATTCTCTATTTCTTTTCATTGTGTCCAGTTTGTACTGTAGCATTGCCTTGACCGTTGCGTTTTTCGTGTTGTCAACTTTGTTTTTCAGCTGCATAATTGCCATGTCTCTGACGGGATATGAGCCAAACTTTTTGTTTAGGAGCTGGAAAAGGGATCTTTATATCTTCAAAAATTTTTAAAATGCTTTACAAAAAAATTGTACCTTTTTCGGAACAAATTTTGCAGGCTTTCTTGTGATTGGCTTTTCGTCCGAATAAATGAATCCTTTGATCTTTTTAACCGCACCTTTCCGACCTAGCGTCGGCCTCATCTTCTTTGACGATTTCCTTACCGGAATCACCTCGGTTTCTCTTTCTCCCACTTCCAGAAAGGTCTTAACTTTATCATCTTTGAAACCCTCTGCCTCCTTCGCCATAATATTTCCTTGATAATAGCCAATGGGCTCTTGGACAAAACTGGTGTCCCCGAATTGTTGAACTTGGCTTCTTAGAGTGTTCTTTCTGGAGAACTGATATTGATCCAGCAACGTGTTGACCGTCGGTTCGGCTTCTTCAGCAAAAGCCATCCAATTCGAGGAGAACTCGTCTCCCAAACAAAGCTCGCTGTATTCTGAACTGATTCCTCTATCTGGTAGTTTTATGCAATTCGCACTGAAAGAAGTCGTTTCCGCACTGGCTGCCGTAACAGCGTAGATATTCTTGTCCTTGGCGTAGTCTTCGGAGAAGAGTGAGCCTGAATGACAGGCTTCGACATAAAACACTAATCGCTTGTACATCTTCTTTTGGTACATGAACTCAAACAGGGCTTTGATGTGGTTAGCGTTCAGCTAAAACAATTAATTTGGCATCATTATTTGAAATAATACAGCAGTAATTTTCCTTTTGGGTACTTTTTTCGGACACCTCACTTACCTGATCTAAAGGGTTATCCACCTGAAACGACAATGTCTGATTTTCACCGTGACCCGCGTAGTAGATGAATACTCTATCGTTCTCAGTGCTATTCAAGACTGGCCCGGTAGCATTCCCCCAAATAATCTCCATGAACGTCTGTGGCGATACATCCTTTCCTTGGTAATCCATCTTCGCATCTTCCAGCAAGTTTGGCCCGTTTGGTTCGTTGAAAACCATTCCTTCGTAGGGATTGCTAAAGCGAGGATTTTAAAAAAGGAATGATTCTAGAGTATAAACACTAATGAAACACGCCTACTTTGTGTCGTTGGCAATGTCATTGCAAACCATGGTGATAATGTTTTGGCTGGGAACTCCTCTCTCCCGCAAGATGTGATAGGCATGGAGAACGTCGGCTTGGTGGCGGTAGTTCTCGAATCCACATGAGCCGGCTACCAGAACTGCCCATACAGCACTTTTATTCGTTCGGTCTTGTGTAATGTCTAGAGGTTCACTAAAACAAGTATCGTTAAAAAGAACCAAACCAGTTTAATTTAAGTATGGATGATGATTTAACTGCCATAAATGTAGTATTTTTTCGAAAACAACTTGAAACATTTTAAAATGTTGTCTACAAGGCAATCCACATCTACATGATCCAGAACGTGAGCATTCTTCAAACTTATGGTATTAAGAACGCCAACCTTTTCGCAAAAACGAGAAAGTAGTTATCAATTTCGCGTTTAGCTCCTTCCATTCTCTCTTTTAGAGCTCTGCTACGCGTTCTTCAGCCAATAAACTTACAACGAAAAGACGGCGGAGACAAAACGGAAGAGTAATAAAGCTACTGTAAGAAGATCCATACTCAAAATTCAAAAACTCCTTTCTTATTCGTCATTATATAGCTCAATTATTTTAGCCATTGAAAGGAACAAAGGCCGATTAATATTGCAATTTTCTGACGAAATGCAAAGACAAAGTAAATGATTTTGCAAATGTGGCCGAAAAATTTGACCTCCTACCATAAAGCTCAGTTTAGCACAGTTGAAATGATTACCGAATTGATACATTGCATAAACAGTAAGACTAAAAAATTTCAACCCTCTTCAGCTACGTAAACTTGCACAGCTTTCATTAATAATTTTTTATAACTTCCATAAAATAGAATTAGCATAGCTATTGTGAGGAAGCTAATGCAATCCATAAATATTGCAAAGGAATGCAAAAAGTTTTTTTATGGCCTGATTATACCGATAAGTTGACTGCACATGAACTTATTTTTTTACAGAATGCGGCGTTTTGTAACCCAATTTTAACTGGCTATAGCTTTTGTCGAAATGTTCCTTTTTCCTGAATCCTCAGGGTCTGCTTTTACTTGTAGATGCTCAAATTCAAGCATCACTTGGGGTGTGCTGTGGAACCCGTTTCGCGCGTACCAAAATTTTGTAAAAATACCGCCGTGAGTTTTTTTTTATTGCAACAAATACCCAGTTGATTAAAGTTATTAGACCTAAGTAGTACATAAACTAATTGTGCAGATCAACTATAATAATAAATGAAATTTCAAATGCGAGCTATTTACAAAGAGGAATCAGCTCTTGAACGGGAGCTTCTTTGCAAGTTTCTGACATGACATTGATTATACTGGAAGTGGAAACTCCAACGGTGCAAAGGTTTAGCAAAGGCTGGATGTGCTGGACTAGGAATGGCATCTGAAAAGAAAACGAAACATTTATGCGATTATGAAGTTGAGCTCAAAACTTGCAATTAGAAGAAAGGCGTTTTAAACCAAGCATCAGTATCTAACTATATTTTAGCAAAATTTTACTTACTTTTGTCACGTCATAACAGCTTTTGCTGAACGCAATGATGATTTCTGATTCGCACTTTATCCGTTTCTTCATCCCCAAGTATCCAGCCATCTTACGGTTATCTCTTTTTTGATCAACCACGAACGCATTGTGAATTGCAGTGATATCTTCAATGGCAAAGGATGTAATCAATGAGATGTAATCCAGTTGCCAGTTCAGCTCACAAATCAGAGCAGTTTTGTTTTGCTTCTGAGCAATTTGAATCTGCTTCTTTTTGATCCATGTATTCACATCAAATGTTGACATTTCTTCAAAGTATTCCTGAAAATAGTTATTTCTGATTCAGCTCTTTGAATGACGTTGCTTTGAAGAGTTTTTCGTTGTTCTTCAAAATTTAAAATTGTTATTCATCTGCGACCTTTGAAAGCGATGAAAAAAGTTATTCTTGTCGGCTGAATACAGAGTATTTGCAATTTTGATAATAAAACTAAATATTTGAAAAACAAAAGACTCCGTTGTTGATTTACGTTCCCATAAATTTGGTTGCACTTACCATTCGTGTTGTCTGGTTTTTGTTTGCACTTCCTTTAATCCAGTTGACAGTAAATTTGTCTCCCAAACAAGTCGGCAGCCCATCGTAAACTCGGCAATCCGTTGCGTACGATGTTGAAGTTGCTTGTGAAGCAGTAATCAACATAAAATTCCCTGTATTAGGGAGAATTCCATCGAAAATGGAGGTGGCATACGGTGCTTCTACATAAAAGACCAGCTTCTTGAAGACTCGTTGCCGATATAGCGTTGAAATAGTCTTGTTCATAACGTCTTTGGTTAAAATTTCTTGCGGAAGCAACATTAAACTGGGCCCAGCATAACCAGAAAAGTAGAAGATGAAACGATTTTTGGATCCATGTATTGACTTGGTGAAGTTCATGGCTTCAATTAGATTGGAGAGCGATGCATTTTTTGACTTGGGGATATCACATGGAATACCGTTACTTCCACTGCCAAATCGTCTGAAATAGAGCTTGGTAGGAGTAGTTGATGTATAAACTGAGATTGTATACACAGTTTCTAAACATTTATCATAACAAGAAATGTTTCATTGAGTTAAAAATTACAATAAGAAAAATAATAAGCTATGAATTCTGATACCGTATGTCAGGATTTGCAGTACAATCATAGACTTACCGTACATCTTCCACTCCATTCATTAACACCTGAATATTCTCTTCTTTTACTCCGTATTTCCTCAGCTGCCCGTAAACCCGACAAACGTCCAGCTGATGTCGGATATTCTCAATTCCGGTCGATCCAGCAACCAGAACAGCAAAAGTTTTGCCATCTTTATGATTTGAATTGCGAATAAAGTCCGGAAATGACAAGCTGAGATCCCAATGTTATCTTTAATTCCACCTTAACATACCTTTTTACTGTGTTTATTAGCACCAGTAACAAAAATAAACCCGTCTTTTCAAACATTTTGACCAATAAACAGATAATAATATGAAAAACGGAAACGATTTTAAATATTAAAATTGAGCTGGTTGATGTACCATCCCCACCCAAATAATAATCTTCTAACCTTTGAGCGGGCGAGACATTTCCAGAACAAATGTTTGTTAATCATCATCTCAATGGCATATCTTTTTGCGAAGGTTGTTTGAGGAGCTGCAAATTGTTGGCTCTTTAATTAAACTACATTATATTTACGTGAATCGTACATCCTTAACATTACAAATAGCTGCCCAGTGCGTGTTTTATGCGAAAACCTTTTTTTGGCTCTCAAAATGGAGCTTGATCCACCTACACATGACGTTCGCTCAAAGGGCAAACAAACATCACTAGTGGGAATTGCTTTGGAAGTTACAAGTTATGTACAAGACAAATGTGTATAAGTTTGCAATAAATGATGACATTAGGAAATGGTAACGATGATGTACGTAGTAATCGGATAATGACGATTGAAAAGCCTCGAAGGTGTTTATCCTGGAAGTTTTTGTGGTGAGTTTTGCCCATATCGTTGCATTTGATTGTCGGCATTATTAACCCAAAAACTTCAAGAATTTTTTCAATCAATTCAAGTTGAAAGCCATGTTTAAAAATTATCCAATTTTAAGATTTTCAACGATTTTCAAATTATTAATCCATCAAAGAGATACGAGCAACTAACCAAAAACAAGTGAGTAATTCCCAACCGTAACGATCAACTTGTTTTTGAGACATTACAGAGTTCTTTTTCCTCACTCATTCAAGTGGTTGCAGCATGACGCGCGACCGGAAAGTGCCGTCCTTGGCGCGCGCAATTGTTTGCGCACATTGCCGGGGGCGGTGTGAATACCTAATACAACCTGAAGTGGCCTTTCCTTCCGCCTCTATCGCCTCGATTCGGATCGAGTTATTGTATTGGTTGGTTATTGCGTCGAGCAGCGTCTTACATTACTCAATTATCGAAGGCGGATTGATTGAAACCACGGCTTTTACTTTCCCTCCCGGCTGTTTTCTTTTGTTTTTTGTTGAGGTTAAAGTTAAGGGGAGTCAATGATAAGGCTATTACTGATCAGTTTTGTGGCGGGTCAGGGATTTGTTTACTCGGTAAGTTACTATCGTCTTGTCTTTATATTTCTTGATTAAAACAATATTGTCTTTTTTCCTTTGAAGGATGAAACTCCATGTGCAGATCAAGCCCAGCAGTGTGCTCTGATAGTGGAGGAACAAGAGCGACAGATACAGGATGTCAAGAATCTAGCGTTCAAAAGTTGCTTTGGGAGGAATTCGTATGTTATTTCTTTGCTAAATTTTTATATCAGAAAACAAAAATATCATAGTATTCGACAAGCAGTCTTAGTTAGGTATTATACACCTTGAAGACTTTATTTTGCTTATTCTTGAAATTTTTTACATGAAAAATTTACAAGTTTACTTGCAGATGTGTCCAAGAACGAGTAGTATTTGATGACTGCTTCACCAAAAGCCTTCGGACAGTCCGAGCTCCATTTTTGGGGACTGAGCAAAGTAAGGAACATATAATTTCCATAAATTTGACAACACGCTCATTTCTTGCAAAATATTTTTAAATCAGTTGACAATCGATTTCTTTTCTAGACGAACGATCGAATGAATTCACGGAAGCCTCAAAGAGTTATAAGTCTCATCTTGAGAAATGTTTTTTGAGCAACGAACAGCCTGGCAAGCCGGACTTCACATCATTATTGGTTGACGGTAAGCCCGACAGAATTGCAAACAAAAATGTTTTGATTTGATGTTATGTAGTATGAACGTTTCGTTTTCTAATCTTATTTATGTTTTTTGATCTAGTCGGTATAGTTTGACCCGCCATGTTTCTGAATGTAGTCTTAAGCGGATTTGTAGAAGGCAAATTATAAGTTGATAAGTATCACCTCCAGTTCTGGATTTTTATTTGCAAGCTACAGAATTTTGATGCTTTCAGAAGACGCCATTTACGCTCGCGCAATCTACGGCTACGAATTCGCGGATCGTCTGTGGGATTTGCCCGAGATGGGCATTGAAAAACCCGGTCTAGATCCGCAAGATTCTTGCTTGGTAAAGGGCCCTAACCGCCGAGTTTTTGGAAATGGAATTCCAAGGATTCAGTTGGATTCAAAGTAAGTCATTTTTAGATCTATTATCGTTAGAAAACCAGCTGAACAAATACAGCGAAAGTAGGAAGTTTTGCTAGGAGTTATTCCAAGAACGTTCGCTAAAAAGAACAACAGATCAAAGGAAATTAGAATATTCTATGCGTCATACAAATTTCAGCCCATCAATTAACAAGACTTGCCGTCTCGAGCCTCAGGAAGTGTCCTGCTACCGTAATTTCCTCGACCATGACAACCAATTCCGTGGGATGCTGAAAGCCCGCGATCGGGTTCTCCGAGAATGTATTCAAGGAGTTCGATCACAGCGCCGCTGCAGAATGGGGCAGAGTTCGCGGATTCGATCTTGTCTCTGCAGTGCAAGGGAAGAGCTGGAAGTTAAAGCCGAAAAAGCACTTCTGGAATGCGCAAAAAATTCCCCGTTGGCTCAACTGTACTCGTCGATTGTTGATCTGGACAAGAATGATTCGGAGGATCGATATCGGACGTATGCTGCATCACCGCAAAGGAAGAATAAGGATAACAGCTCGCCGTTGAAGGAGCTTCAAGACGATGAGCCAAGCTCAAGTAGTTCTAGTGCCATGAGCATCACTCCAGGTAAGGTTGTTGACGTCTAACAATAAGCTACAGAAGAGGAATTTCTAAGGCGGAAAAAAGCCATACGATAGAGTAAAGGGTACCTTCAGCGGTCTTACAGGGGACTTCATGGTCTAAAAGAATTTATTTTTCCTTTTTTTGACCACAAAGAATCACCTCCTTTTTTACAGGCGTCGTCCTCAACGGCCAATGTCTCTGCGCTTGCCCCGGTTCATCTCCCCCTCAACTTTTTGCCGGCAAGCCAACTCCTCAAGCTCAATTCTCCACAGACTCAGCGATGGTTTTCCCCTCGATTCCCCAAGCTTCAGCCGCTCCAAGCGCCCACGTAGATTCGATGATGGCCGCTCAACTTCAGCACCAAAGATTGGTTCAACAGTACCAGGCGTTGGCTGAGCAGCATCGTCAATTATATGGGACTTCGGGATATCAACAGCCAGTGGCCTCAGGGTCCAATCAAATGGGTACGATGAGATCGATCGAGAGTGGAATTGGCGATGGATTTGAGAGATTCTTCAACGGAATGCCACCAATTCGACGAAGGGATGTCAGTAGGAGAATTCCCAAACTCTAATGGTCTTCACAATGGTTTTTGAGTCCTTTATAACTTGTTCAATGTGAATAAAATTTTTAATAAACACAAAGCTTTTATTTCAAGTAAAGTATTTTTTATCAAACCACTTGGTCTCTAAGCAATAATGCAATAAATTCTTTGTAGATGCATCTACATTCCATGGAAATTGCCGATCTCCAGGATATAATCCATCACTACGGTTGGGAGAATTCTGAAAATCAAGCAAATCTTCAAGCATTGCAACAAGACTTTCAAATCATTTTTAATGACCTACCCTCTCAGCACAACCAAAATGAAAAGTCCTTTAGGCAGGAAAAGCTCAGCACGGCCGCATTCAATGGCATTTACAACTTTCTCTGCAACTGGGCCGGGGTACAATTTGGGGAGGAACCAGTTTCTGAAAAAAAATTGGATGATTAGTCTACTCCCTCGTATGCACATTGAAAATTTTCAAAAAAATAACTATGTTTCACAGTGCACAGAAAAATAAAAATTCGACTGTACAGTGCAAAAAATTTTTAATTATATTGCGCAATCTCTGAAATCAACGCTCGCCGCTTACTCATATTTGATATCGCCCATCAATGGAGTTTGAACGAAATGCGGGTTCACCGTCAAGCACTTCACATTTTTTCTCTCGGCTTTGAAAACATTTCTGATGGAGCTCATAAATCCAACTATGGCATGTTTACTGGCAATGTACGGTTGGACCGCGGGCCAAAAAAAGAATCCGGATGAAGATCCAAGAGTAACAAAATGGCCGCTATTCCTCTCCATAAAGGGCTCAATAAAGTGACGGACAATCTAAAAAAAGATACGAAAATGCTGGTTTCATGGGGCAAGATATATCGGAAATGAGTTTAAATTTATGCAATTATTTTTTTTCGACCAAAAAGAGGTACCTACCAAAATGCCAGCTCTCGTGTTCAACTTATAAACCTTATCGATCACTTCCATCGGATAAATCTTGTCCTCATACAACCCCAAGATCCCAGCATTGTTAAAAACAATATCCGGCAATCCAATATTGTTTCTGACATCCTTAACAGCATTAATAACCATCTCGTCATTGGTCACATCAATCGTTTTGGTGTAAACTTTGACATTGTACTTGTTGATCAAGCTGTCCTTAAAAATCTCCAACTGTTCCTCATTAATATCCCACAAAATCAAGTTGGCTCCTCGTTTTGCAAACTCCTCGGCCATGGCACGACCAATTCCACCAACGGCGCCAGTCAGAAGGACCAGCTTTCCAGTTACAGGCTCTTTGAATGGCCAAAGGAAATATGGAGTAATCGCGTAAAGAAGCTCTTGGAGAAGCATGAGGAGGATGTTGAGAAAATGAACGAAGCTCATGGCAATTCTGTGCAAGATTTCTTCGGCTCCAGCCATGGTGAGATGAGCGAAGGAGGATTCAGAAGCAAAAATTTTGCAAGAGTTTTCAAAGCCTAAAAAATATTATATTTACTAAACTTTCGGGAAAAAAGGAAACAGTAGTAAGTTCTAGACTCATAAAAAGGGTACAACTTCCGGCAAAAAATGATTATTAGAATAAGTGCGTAATGATAAATAAAGCATTAACAACGAAATTTATGAACTAACTGAACCCGTACAGACCGTTCATCAATGTGTACTGTGTAAAATGGACCCAATCTTTTTACTTTTAGAACGCCTGATGAAAAGATTACAAAAAACTTTAATTACTTTACCTCTTCGTTTTACCTCCAATACCACACAAAGCGAAAATAGGCAAACTAAGTACTTCGACAGAACTTCCTGATCAGAAATGACTGCTTTTTCGGTGTTGAACGTAAATTAAAAAACTGTAGGAATGTAGTTTGAATCATAGAGGTTGATTTTTAATAGCTAAACATTAATTAACCAAATTTGCGATTCGCAAGTGTTTTTTTTTTATTTTGTGTGCACAATCCGTAGGTCGTACTATTTCCACAAATTTCAGCTTACAACAGAGTGGGCACTAAATTGGAAAAATCAGCGCCGACTAAATTTTACGTTTCTTTGTGTGCGCCAGTTTCATTGTACACTCGCAAAGTCGACACTGATTTTTCGAATTGTCGACTTTTTCATGCATTGAAGATCATGACTCAAGAAAAAAATTGAACATACATACTACGCAAATCCAACGACCTTTGCAGCCCTGTTAACGAGGAAAATGCCACGAGCCGGACAAACAAATATTATATTTTGGTACAACAGTCTCAAATTTTGGAAATGAAAATAATTATCCTTCGTTTAGCAGGACACTTTCTGAGGCTCGAGACGGCAGGTTTTGTTAATTGATGGGCTTTTAAAGCCTATCATACCGTCATGGTCGAGATGTCCAGGTGCGTTGACTCGTGCCCTCAACGCCAAACACTCTACTTCTTACAATTAAGCGTGCTGCCTCAACGAGTGTTTCATGATTATATTTTTTATAAACATCCCTTATTAACTTACCGATAAGCTTTGTTTTTTCATCGCTTTACTCTTTCTTGATAATTAATTTTCAGATAGCAAAGCACATGTCCTGTGCTGAGTAATTATTCGGACAACCTGTTCAGACTGCTCTTTGGGATTATTGCCGGAAGACATTGACCTTACTAATTGAAACTACTGAGTAACCAGTAGACAGGAAAAGTAAAAAATGGCTGAGTGCAAGGTCAAAAAGCAAAAATATGAAATTTTTTATCTTTTGAACTTAAAACATTGAAATAATAATAAGAAACCAAAAATATTTTCATTTTGGGCCGAAACCGCCGAGCAGTTGTTTTCGAAGAGGCACGGTAAAGCAAATAAAGGTAAGTCATCGGAAATATTGGTGATTTGATTGCAATTTGAATGGGTTTGTAATATATTGACTCCCTTCTGATGGGGGTAATACGTTTTTTATTGGCTTTAAATTGGAAAATTTCCAAAAAATTTGATTATTTTGGGAACACTGTTTCACTCTATCAGTACAAACTTGACTGAAAGTTTACTTGAAAATCATCGAGCAATAAGCGACTAAAACGTTGGCGTTTTGGATATTGAGAATGAATCTGATTTTCCCAGATTTTTCGCAGCTCATGATAAATGTGATTTCTCAGGGCCGTTAGATTCTCAAGCTAATCAAATCTAGAGAATGTGAGGATAAAATTTATTTTTTTCATCCATAGAATTTGCACATGATCTTCGCTTTTATTATATTTCAAAATTTAAAATGCCATCTTTTCTCATCGCCCAGACTTCCCCAATATTTATAAAAGGCTCCTTCTTGGACAAACAGTCATTTACAACTTGAAAAAAATCACGCGTTGTTGCAGTTTCTTGCATACAATTTCCAAAAGTGCTTCAACTGACAACTGACCCATTTTTAGCTACCGTTTTCTTTTGTTCTTTTACAGAAAACACAATGAATCGTTCAGAAAACATTTTTTTCTTCAAAATGAGATTCCCCTATCCTTTTGAATTTTCAAAATGTCAATAGAGAATTTATTATTTTTTTATGACAAACCAACGATTGGACTATTATAATCCATACCACACAGGTCTTTATAACCCTTCGAAAAAGCGTTTTGTTTGCGTTAAAAACGGACTTGACGCATTTTCAACGTTCTTTACTGCGTTAAGAAATTACAGTAAAAATGGGAGTAATTTTAGGATATAGACAATAGAGGAGAATTAACAAGCTGTGTATATCGCTAATATAGTGCACCGTAAGACACCAAAAAATTCGCGCGATTAGCGTGGTTGAAAAATTATTCTCTACGGAATTTCAGATTAAACTTTGCGGGAGAAGCTGAGATCTTTTACGATTTTTACAGACAACACAACAAAGTGGGAGCAGAGAAACCGCGGAAACCGGTCAGAGAAAAAAGTTTTCCGAGTTTTCGAATTTTTTGTGGAAAAAATCAAATTTTTTACAAAAATTTTAACCCTTACCCAATTTCGTAATCGAATTTCGAATAATTAGTCTTTGAAGGTCAAGCTATGCAAATTTTACACAAAAAGTATGCAACCTTGGGAGTTTTAATTTTTTATAGGTATGAAAATTCGACTTTCCCATGGAAATTCAAAAATTGTGACCTTAGTTTATTCAACCAAAACTTCGATTACGAAATTGGGCCAAGTCAAAAATCTTGCTTATCCATTTCCGAAAATCGACAGTCAAATTGCGATCTTACTTTATTTTGCGTCAAAGTCATCAAAATCTCTCATATTCCTGGGGTTTTTTCACATATATTTTTACTTTCAGTGATCATGGCGCAAGAGTTGGATGTGAACTATGTTCTGGAGGCCACCCTCCACTGCATCCCCTTCATTCTCCGTATGCTCTACCTCTGGGTCCTCGAGCTCTTCTATTGCATCATCCCGTACTCCCTATGGCCAGACAAAATCAATTTCAAAGACAAGTTGGTCCTGATTACCGGTGCTGTCGGAGGTCTTGGCCGTTGTTATGCCGTGGAATTCGCGAAACGAGGAGCCAAGTTGATCCTCTGGGACATGGGGCAAAGTCAATTGGTGGAGTTGAAGAAACATTTAGAGGAAAAGTACAGTATCCAGGTGTTCATCAAAGCCTTGGACATCACTGATGACAAGGCTGTGGCCAGTGCCGCGGCCGAAACCAAGAGTCAGATCGGAGTTCCGGATGTTTTGTTCAACAACGCCGGGATTTTGGGATATTACAAAGAATTTATCTTCCCTATCGAGACCTACGACAAGGTTCTGGCTGTGAATGCGAGAGCTCCGGTTGTTGTAAGGATTAAAAGTGTAATATAGATAGAAAAACATATTTTAGATCATCAAGAACTTTATCGACGAAATGCTCGCCAGAAACAGCGGATATTTGGTGACCACTAGCTCGTTCTCTGGCCACATTGGAGTCGGCGTTTGCAACCCTTATGTCACCAGCAAACATTGTATCACCGGTTTTATGAACAGCTTCCGCCATTTTCTGAAGACTCGCAAAAGAAATATCAAATGCTTGACCATCTGCCCGAATTATATCAAGACTCCGTTGGTGGCTGGCGTGAAATATGAGTAAGACAGTTTTTTTATTTCTAGGGGATAAAAATTAACATAATTTATTCATTTTGTATAGTATAATATAGTAACCCATCATTTTAAAAATATTTTTTGAATTCTAAAGGTCATCTATCTACTTTAGAAATCCCTTGAATCCCATGCTCGAACCGGAATATGCGGCTGAAAGAGCGATCCAGGCTTTGGAATGCGGCCAAGAAGAACTCTTCCTGCCTAAGGCAACCTGGGTTTTTGTTCTCATGAAAGGGTAAGAAATTACAAAAGACAACACCTCAAAATGCTTTCAGAATCATGCCAACCAAGGTGTTTGACGTCTATGTCGAGATGTTCTCCTTGCACGGATCTATCAACTAATCCCATCTTATCCATCAGGAATCTCACGAATTTATCGCGTATTTTTATATCTAGAAATAAAGATATAGTAGACAACTTCAATACCACACCTTTGAAATTGTTTTGACAAGGGATCGGAAAATAGTTGCAACCTTTAATCTTAACGAAACATATATCATTTGAAAGAGCATTAAAAATAGTGCACAAGGCAAAAAAAATTAGCTGCCTAATTTATGTTTGGACAAAGTTATGGCCAAAATACAGATTTTAGCCTAATTTCGCGCGTCACTTTATAAGCGCTTGGAATTGCAACAGAGTTGTGTCCAGTTAGCCGAGTGGCAGCGAGCCCACTTCCGGCGCAACAAGTCCTGGTTTCGAATCCGGGCTTCGCGAATTTTTTGCATTTCGTATCTTATATGCCACAAAACCATGGTATGTTGATATTTTTAAACAATTTGTTTTCCTTCGCAGACGAAATTCATTTTTTACGGGATTTTTCTGAATTTTTGGCTTTTTTGAAACAATCACAAATTTGATGGTGATGAGAGTGGGGATACCACTATCATATAATTATTTACAAGGTGTCATCCCAGTAACCTGACATATTATAATTACTGGACGAGAATTAAATGTACTAGGACCTGAAAATATACATTTTTTTCGAAAAAATACGAAGAGAAAATTGTAAAATCGGGCAAAAGAATATTGCTGACACAGTGGACCAACCGTTGGTAAGGCTAGGACATAAGAAATTTTTAATTTTGAGATTTTAGTTTGTGAACGACCACAACGATCATATAAATGTATTTCCAAAGCCTTTTACTCCAATTTTCTCATTAACCTAGTTTTATTTACAATTTTTTGGAACAAGCAGTAATGTCTAATAACTCATAACCGATGACTGGTAGAGCCATAAAACGACCGTGGTAGACGTTTTTGGATTGTAGAAAATCAAAGGACGATTTTCAAGCCGCCAGGATTACTGTAATATAAGAAATCGGCGTTTTGGCCGCATATAACCACTTTCATAAAACGGCCATAACTTTGCCCAAACATAAATTAGGCAGCTAATTTTTCTTGCGTTGTGCACTATTTTTAATGCTCTTTCAAATGATATATGTTTCGTTAAGATTAAAGGTTGCAACTATTTGCCGATCCCTTGTGAATATGTATTTGTAATAATGGAGCCGTTTTTTAAGGCGTTGGTTTTGCAGCGAAAGATTTCAGCTTGCAACGAAATGCCAACAAGAAAATATTATTTTATGCAAAATCTTGTCCGAAAAGGAGCCCAGAATTGGAAGGCCGCGGATATTTATATTTTCTGAAAGCCAGCTTTTTACTCTACTGCCATACCAAATTTCAGCCTTCTAGCGCCAACGGCTAGCGAGATATGGAGATAAAAAGCAAGCGCACTTCGAAAAAAATTGAAAAAGTCGCGGAGACCGGTTGTGTCCCAAAAGTACAGAATGCCGTGGGCCGGCCATGATTGGAGAAGGATAAGATTTATACAAATGATAGCAGCTTCCAAGTTGTTGTTTGGATTTATTTTATTCTCCATTTTGTTCCAGAAACAACACGTTAGTGTTTTTTTTTGTAATATTTACATCGAATTGATGCTAAATTTATGCACGATTAAGTCTCGGATGGTTTTTGAATCGGCTTCTGTGTGGTATTAGTTTATTTTCCAGCGACCGAGGGAGAATTGAGATTTTTATCTTATTCATGAGACGGCTGAACTAACAAAATTCCAAAAAAATGGCCAGAATATAGGTATTTTTGTTTTTGTCAGGTTCGCTATGGCATGACCTACGTATTTGCTGCTTTACAAGACGTTCGATATTTTTTTCTTTATTTTCACGTTTTTCCAAACTTATAATCGTTTCTAGAGATGTGTTATAAATATTTGTTTAATTTCATGAGATTTTAGGTAATATGTCCAGTAAATTGGCTTTTTTGTCCTTACTTTTGCTTTTACTGTTTCCATACATTACTTCTACGCTGTCAAAGTCCAATCCTAAAGGCACTCACAACAGCGAAGATTACGACGATGAAGAAGGTGAAGAACGGCAAGAACGGAAGCAGAAAAAGTCCAAGCTGATGGAATATTCCCATCATGTTCAGGTGGGTCCAATAATACACCCTTTTTTTCTTTATTGTTTAGGAGATCTGTAGAAAATCCAATAGTTTTCCAAAAACTGTCACAGACGTCAAGAATAATAAATATTTTTTAAGGATGAGGAATCTCTGCAAGATATTCTTGGAAATCACAACCACCTCGACACCGACGACTCTAAAACGTCGTTTATTAAGCTTGCTTATGTCACTCCAGTGAGTTATTTAATCTTGTTTTATTCTTGTTTTAGTGGAATAACCATGGATATGACGTCGCTAAGTGGGCGGCAAAGAAGTTCACGCACATTGCTCCAGTTTGGTTCCAATTTACGCCGAAGTTGTTTGGTAATGATCTGGCATGTGAAATCACTGGTCAACACGACATTGATCAAAGTAAAGTTGATTTTTCTCACTTTGATTGTGATTTTAGATTGGATTGATGATATACGGTTGAACAACACAGCCATGAAGATTGTTCCTCGCTTTTTATTCGAAGTCAAAGATTCAAAATTGGCTCAGAAATTCTTGAAGGATCAGAAGGCGCAGATCAGGTGTGTCGACGCTATGGATTCGTTGTTAAAGGTGAGATTTGGTAATTTTGGTACTTTACATATACCATGAAGGTTTTTAAAAGCAATTTGCAGAAAATGAGGGCTGATGGATTAGTTCTGGAGGCGTATTTGCAAATTCTTTCTAGTACAAAGTCCCAAGAAGGTATTCAACTGGGCATAGACTTTATTGGGAGAGCTGGAAGGCGTTTTAAGAAGCACAATAAAATCAGTATTGTCCCGTTGACTCCTCCGGTTTCTGATAAGTAAGTTTTTTGCAATTGGTGGAGGCGAATCGCGGTCTACACTTCTACACGCAGAAGTTTCTAATGCTCGTAATCTACAGAGTTGAGTAAAAGAAGTTGATATGTTGCTTGTTTCAGTGGCCCCATTTTCAACGCGGAGATCATTGCTCCCCTCTGCAAAGACGTCGATTACATCAATTTGATGACCTATGATTATATTGGCCAACAATATCCTGGCCTGGCTCCAGCTCCGTGGATCCTCGTCAACCTCGAATTCTTAAAGGAAATTGATGAAAGTTTCTTGGCGAAGACACTACTTGGCGTCAATTATTATGGAGCTTGCAAAGATGGAGGGATTCAACATGTTTTCGGCCAAAGCGCGGTAGATTTGGTTGAAGAATCTGAGATTTTGGCGTGGGATGAGGAAACGAAACAACATATCATCGAACTGGAAGACAGAGTTTGCTCGATCCCGACCAAGAGAAATCTGGAGGCTCGGTTGGAAATTGTGGAAGAATATAATTTGCCAGGGATCGCCATTTGGGATCTGGGGCAAGGGTTTGATCATTTCACGGAGGTACTGTAGAAATATTCTCTTTTTTTTTGATTTGAGAGTCGTAATTTGTTAATTTATAGTGGGTAGGAGTTAAATTACGGTAGACTTTCGGGTAAATAAGAACTTTTTCCTTGTGATATTTATTAGCTAATATAATATTATTTTAAATAAATATTAATTTATTGTTGAGGTATAGGATAATAAAAGAAGTGGTTAATATTGGAGGATTTTTTGATTTCGCAAAATACATTATTCAAATTGTTATACCTGTCATGGAGATAAACGTGAGAATTCTGGAGGTGGAAGTTGGTTACGTCACGTTGCTTATCAAGACCATCCTTGGTGAATAAATAACTAGATACTTGAGTTCTGTCCATTCAGGTTCAAGATGCGCATTTTTTGTACGATGGTTAAAATTTATGTTTATTTACAAGCATAAAAGTTACGAATTTGTGGCCCTGAAGAGGGCCGTTTGGGATCAGAATTGCTCGGAAGCAGAAGCCACGGTCACGTCGACCATCTTAGGCCTGGCTGTCTCCAGTCTTCTTGGGCAGAAGGACGGCGTTGATGTTGGGGAGAACACCTCCTTGGGCGATGGTGACGCCGGCCAAGAGTTTGTTCAACTCCTCATCGTTTCTCACCGCCAACTGCAAGTGGCGTGGGTTGATTCTGGACTTCTTGTTGTCGCGGGCGGCGTTTCCGGCCAACTCCAACACTTCGGCGGCCAGATATTCGAGCACGGCGGCCAAGTAGACGGGGGCTCCGGCTCCAACGCGTTGAGCGTAGTTGCCTTTGCGCAGGATACGATGAAGACGACCCACGGGGAACTGAAGTCCCGCTCGGGATGAGCGAGATTTGGCTTTTCCGCCGGTCTTGGCTTTGCCTCCCTTTCCACGTCCAGACATTGTTGTCGAGGTTGAGCGTTTGCTGATCGAACCAAAAAATTGGTATGAAGGAGATCGGAGAGTGAGGCGGCTTATATAGGGCGTGATGGGGTGGGCGGAGTTTGGTGAAGGGAGGTCAGCGTTACCGCCAAAAATAGCGCGCGCTTTTTGGTGACGCGTTTCGGCCGGAGTGACCTTCGTATTTCTAAAATTGTCTCGCTTCTCTCTACTCACCAAATTTTATGCGATCTATATATGCAAACGACAAGACAGACTGTGAGATGGACACAAGTTATTCAGCAAGCCAGTAAATTTGTTTGTAATCGAAAAAAGAACCGAAATAAAAGGCATTGTGTTCAAAACAACCAAAGGATTTTTCCAAAATTTGTAATTAAGTTAGGTCTTTCTTGCAGCTGATTTTTGAGAAATTTTTTCTACATGGTGTAATACGTATATTGTCAAATGTTGGCACCAACAATTACATCTTTGTAAAGCAAACCAGAACACAACATAAAAAAAATAGCATTAGTGGTCGGGCCCTCTAATAAGAACATTAATGAGGAGTGATCGTCATTCTCTGCCATTCTGTTGATATTGTTTCTTGCAGCTAAATAACTTCTGATTCAGGACTATGGATTGCCTTTAGACTTTCATCATGAACTATTCGTTATACAGCGACAAATGATTTCGTTGATGTCACTAGCTTTTTTTACTTCTCCAGCATTTCCCCATCAATGTTGGCTATGACTTTTGGTGAGCCTTGTAAATCTTTTTTTATACTGACCAACGGTCTTATCCAATAAATTTCTAAAAATTATCGTACTCAAATGCAACTTTATTTACAAACAATCAAATAAATTAGCAAGTTCTTGTGGCCCTAAAGAGGGCCGTTTGGGATCAATGAAGTGTCATGTGAAGGGCATGGGCTCTGTTAACAACCGAAGACCATTTATCCACCGAAACCGTAGAGGGTGCGGCCTTGTCTCTTGAGGGCATAGACCACGTCCATGGCAGTGACGGTCTTTCTCTTGGCGTGCTCACAGTAGGTGACGGCATCTCTGATGACATTCTCCAAGAACACCTTCAGAACACCACGGGTCTCTTCGTAGATGAGGCCGGAGATTCTCTTCACTCCACCACGACGAGCCAGACGACGGATGGCGGGCTTGGTGATGCCCTGGATGTTATCGCGGAGGACTTTGCGATGACGCTTGGCGCCTCCTTTTCCGAGTCCCTTTCCTCCCTTTCCACGTCCGGACATTGTTCACTTGATTCCGAGATGGTACGACGATGCGTATGGTTTGAATCGACCAAGGACTCGCTTTATATACCGGCAGATAGAAGAAGAGGCGGGGCCAAAATTGTGCGCGTTACTCACAAGTCAGGGAGGTTAGCGTCCGAAAGATGGCTTGGGGTCAGCGATACGGCGCGCCCATCGAAAAATGGGGCCGATTTGAGCGGGAAAAGGAGTATAAGACCTTGAAGTGGATGGCGAAAAGATTTAGGAAAAAAGTAAAAAGCAATGCACGAACCCAAAGATACGTTATACATACATAGCACACATACAAATGATCACACGAAATTGATATTTAATGACAGTATTTTCATGAAAAGCTAGCTAGTGGTTTTATTTTATGTAAAATATTGTACGATGTTTTAAATATCCAACATTTTTTTCAAAAATCTAACCTACAAAAAAGGTCTATAACTTTTGATTTTAACCGTTTAGGTCAAAATTTTGTTCAAACACTACTGTATTTTGGCAAGAACACATCAGTACGGCGAAGGACACAAAAAATGGCAAAAAAAATCTTAAATTATTCTGTTTGCTGTTGTGAAATTGAATTTTTGATGACAACTTGGAAGAAACAGCAAAATAGTTTATAGCAATCCTCTTTGTCATAGTATTGCTTCGTTGCATTGTTTCTCAGGGCCAAAACCGACTTGTAAACTTGGAGTATCCAACAACTTTAGATCGCCAAGCCTATGCATACAATAATATGTGAATAACAGCCCACATCAAACTGAGATAAGCTAAAACAGTCCGGTGAATCGATTGGCAATTTGTCAAAAAAAGACGCAAAAAAACCTTTTGTCGGGGGAGAAATGGGGAATTTTTGGGGCGAGAGAGTACGTTTTTGCGTGTCTTTTTTTCTCTCTTTCTCTGCGAAATCAAGACGAAGTGTAAAAAACCGATAGCGAAGAGTCTATTCCGGTCACCGGACTCCTCAGTTTGACGTGCAGCCCTTTTGATTTGCCTGGATGTTTTTGTTTTGATGGTTTTAGTACTTTTTTACTTTTAAGTTGACGACTGCCATAACTACCATTGGCCAATGGCCATTGGCAAAAACGATGAGATAGTTGCTTCGTTTTCCTATTCTTTTATCATCCTAACTGTGCTTGCTACGACCACTGCATTAATGTTTATGCATACATACGACGAAGACTTCAACTTATAATTTGCAAAGAAAAATCCAATCATTATTTATTGCAAGTTTATATATACAGGCAAGTTCTTGTGGCCCTAAAGAGGGCCGTTTGGGATCAAAAAGGGTAGACGCGTTGAAGTCCAATGGTCTCACATCTTACTTGGAAGAGGTGTACTTGGTGACGGCCTTGGTTCCTTCGGAGACGGCGTGCTTTGCCAACTCACCGGGCAAGATCAGACGGACAGAGGTCTGGATTTCGCGAGACGAGATGGTGGATCGCTTGTTGTATTGGGCCAATCGGGAGGCCTCGGCGGCGATACGTTCGAAGACGTCGTTGACGAAAGAGTTCATGATGCTCATGGCCTTGGAGGAGATTCCAGTGTCGGGGTGGACCTGCTTCAACACACGGTAGATGTAGACGGAGTAGGTCTCCTTTCTCGACTTTCTTCTCTTCTTTCCGTCGGTCTTGGCCACCTTGGTCGACTTGACGGCCTTCTTCGCGCCTTTGCCAGTTGGTTTTGGAACCATGATTGATCTCAATGGAGTTGTGCGGACACAATGAGGAGAACTGAAGAAGAGCGGGCCTTTATATAGGCGCCGCTGAGCGGCGTGGTTGGAAGGGCGGGGCTATGGCGAGCGGAGTAAACGCTTCCAGGTTTTGGCGCGGAAAAATAGGAAGACAGAGCAAGTGACCCCTTGGAAAAACGCGCGCTAGGATTGCAGACACTGGACGGCAAAAATTGTGGACGAGGAGAGAGATCATTGCCAAAGAAACATAGAAACTGTGCAATGACATTTTATACAAGCAAGTCTTTTGGAGCTCAGAATTACCGTTTCAAATACAGCAAAAGCTGTAATGAAAAAAGCGTACGTTAGAAAATAGGTTTCATAAAACTGCATTTTGACCAAAATTGTCCCATAAAACCAATAAAATTTTTGTTATCGACACGCTTTGTTGTGCAGAGGTTTTCCTTTATTTTGACTGCAAGCCTGTGATAGAAATCAGTTAAAAAAGCGTGCCTTATTTTCAAAAAAGTTGAATATAAATATTGATTCCAACCCAATTATTCATGGTATATCTTTTTGTCACAAATATGTCTTCTAACCGTTTTGTGAGCTGAGGGAACTTCACACTACGAAAGCCATCTATTTGTAAGAAAGCATATCATTGAATGTATGAAGTTGAAGCCTCTGCCGCGGTAACTTGTATAAATATTTCGTGTTATTTTTCAATTTGCTTTTGTATTTTCAATAATATTATAATTACGGAGTAGTTGTCAAAATTGACAATTCGGTGTCTTCAGAAAAATGTTTTGTAAATTTTTTGATTCATTAGGAATATTCAATAAGTTCCTTGGGTTGTACTAAATATATGTTATTATTACCACACATTGCTTTACAGGAATCAGATTTGTGATAATCAAAACAAAAAACTGACAGTTCGCTGACAACTTCCTTTTGTCATCAAGAATTTCCTTTCTCTGAACGTTACAAAGAGTTTAATTTATTTATTTACAACGATAAATATGGCAAGTTCTTGTGGCCCTAAAGAGGGCCGTTTGGGATCAGTTGGTCTTCAGCACAAGTCCATTGGGTTTAAGGCGTTGCAGTGATCGTGGATCAACTTAAGCGCGTTCACCACGGATACGGCGGGCCAATTGGATGTCCTTGGGCATGATGGTGACTCTCTTGGCGTGGATGGCGCACAAGTTGGTGTCTTCGAAGAGACCAACCAAGTAAGCCTCGCTAGCCTCTTGAAGAGCCAGAACGGCGCTGGACTGGAAGCGGAGATCGGTCTTGAAGTCCTGGGCGATCTCACGGACCAATCGCTGGAAAGGCAGTTTCCGGATGAGGAGTTCGGTCGATTTCTGGTAACGACGGATCTCACGGAGAGCGACGGTTCCAGGTCGGTAACGGTGGGGCTTCTTGACTCCACCGGTGGCTGGGGCCGACTTGCGGGCAGCCTTGGTGGCCAATTGCTTGCGGGGCGCCTTGCCTCCAGTGGACTTGCGGGCAGTTTGCTTGGTACGAGCCATACTATCGAAAGCTGAAGTCTGAACGACTGATGCCGAGAGAGCGATCGGCAGGGTATTTATAGGGCAAACCCGAAGAAGAGGCGGAGACTGTAAGACGCGGGAGGGATAGCGAGGTCAGAAAACGCGCCAAAATCATATCGAAGGCGCAAGCAAAGGCTAGGGAAAGGAGCGTTTTAAGGAAAGGAAGTAGGGACCGTATAAATCAAAATATGAAAGAAGGGGCAAATGGATAAAGTATCTAATAACTGCGAAGATAAAAAAGAAGTTTTAATTAAATAGCTAGGAAATGCACACTAGTAAAAATGATGACGAAAGTAATGTCAAAAAAAAACTTCTTTCAAGATAAAGGACTGCTAAAAAGGCATTTCCAACAGCGGTTTGTTATTTCAAATTAACAATAAAAACCATTACTTTGCTTTTCAACCAAACAAATTTTTTGTTTCCTTTTCTCGGCCGTTGTCGGATAAATTCATAAGATTAACGACGAACAAATTTTTTACTGTATAAAATGACTAGCCAAAAACGGTGTTAGGACATAATTATCATGAATGGCAAGCCAAGAAAGATCAAGTTAAAATCATCCAAATTACGCAGTTTCAGCCGAGATGGTGTACTTTATTTCTCTAGCAACTTCTGCAACCATAAGATGAAGCATGGCGCCGAGCCGGGCTTTCAAAAAAATCTCGGTCCCGGTCTTGCATTGACCCAGCTCCGCCCGCTTTTTTCAGAATCCCGATTTTTTCCGGAAAACAGACAAATCGTAGACTTTTTCTTTAGAAAACTATACCATGCTTACACAACACTGAGAATCTGTAAAAGAGACTAGAATAAATTCGCTGGCGTTTTCAATTTTATACGAAAAAATGTTTTATGCATCAATATTAAAAAATTGCAAAAAATTATTGAAACAAAAAATCATCAAAAGTTCATTCAACGAAGAAGTTTGAATAGTCTATGAAAAGCGCTGAATTCCACCAATTGGGACCCAGAATTGGGTAAGGCGATCCCGTGGTGCTAAAACTTGGGGAAATGTAACACCCATAAATTTTTTAAAAAGGGGCCAAATTGAATTGCAATCGAAGGATTCGCAAAGCTGTAGTTCAAAATTTTGAATATTCCTTATTTGTTAGAAGAGGTCTGTTTTGATTTACAAAAAGTGACCTTTTATCTATCTTTGCACGTTTTCTGACATCACAAACAACAAAACCATCCAAGTACAATATATTTATTGATTGCGTTTGTCAACAGTAATATAAATACTCAATAATTACAGTCAATACTTTATTACAAGCGAAGGCTTAGAGAGACTCACATAAATAGAAGTATGAATTCAAATGCTAGTGGAGACTAACAAAATTGCGTCACAATTTACCCATTTTTGATTGAAAAAATACTGTGCGCGACGGAATCTCGGTATATACAAGAAAAAAGAATACTTAAAAATCAAAAACAAGAGGAAAACATAATTTTTCTGCAATGAAAAATGCAAATTTCTCGATGAAATAGATGGTTTCTTGAGCTAGAAAGGCCTAAAACAATATGCGTAGTACGTCCTAGAGTACAACCCATGAAATATGATCTCAATCCCATGGTAGAAAAGCCAAAAATGTGTTCAGACAGCGGTGACTTGGCAGTTATTCTGGAGAATTCGTTTGACCTCTTGAACCGGGTCAATGTTGTTGTTCAATTCCTCATCACTGTTGTACCCCAACGGCATTTTGGCCTCACTGAAGCCGCTCTCATCGCTCAGCAGACCGTCCGAATCTATACTCGTCTGTTCCGGGCGTTTGTTGACTCTGCACAATTGGCTGAGTTCGTTCGAAAGCTCCGTCAAATCAGGTGTAAGTGTGATTTGAGAACCGGTTTTGGACTTTTCCGTATAATTCGGCGAGTTCTGCGGTGCTTGAGGGTAATCTTGCTTGAATGCAAAGTCCGAGTTGTGGCTAGCCGAAGAGCCGAATCCATCGTCAAGGCTGGCACAGCTCGAGGCAGAGGACTGCCCTTCTTCATTTGGGAGTTCATCCTCTTCCAAAACAACCCCCTCTTCAAACTCTTCCCTCTCGCAGACGTTCACCGTGTTCGCGCCTTGGAATCGGCTCTCAGCGAAGCGTTTTCGATTAGCCGAACACAGGGAAAGCTGCCTTCGGAAGGGGGGATTTGTGGGCCCTGAGGCAGTTGATGATTCTTGGGTGGAAGTTGAGGTCGTGGATTCTTGGCTGAACGAATGATTCGACGCCCTGAGGCTAGGTGGACCTCCCAGAAGAGGGGTCTCTCGATATCCGAACGATTCGGCGTCAGATGACTGAAAATATCGGCATTAACATTAATTTTCAACAATTACATTATACTAGTGATTTCATCAGTTTTTTTCTTCCTTACACTTGGCTTTCCCTCAAATTCTAGATATTTTTAGTCCCCTAGTTGATCAAACATTGTCGTCCTTGCGTCTGAACCAAATCCCCTGCGGCTACGTTCGCTTTAATTCTATTATTTCCCCCTCAGAGTACTGGAAACCCACTACTTTCCCTTGATCCTCCCCGTCACACCCTTCCCCTTTCCTTAACGTGTAATTCAAATCCAATTTGTTTCGGTTTGTCGCTTATCAATTCCCAGGATATCAGCCTGAGGGCTTCATTAACCCCCACATTACTTTATTCATTAAAACAAGGGAAATGCCCTCGGGGGCTTTAATTTCGACGTTGGGTGAAAGTTTTTTCGGCGTGCGGATCCGGAATCGATTCGAAAACAGAGCGCGACGAAGCAGCGGCTAATTGGGAAACCGATGACCCAGCAATTATTACATTATTATATTAACCAGGCAAATTATTCGAGGGAAATGGAATTAAAACACTCGAAACGCTGTAGGAACCAAACAAAGAAGTCAAAACAATCCCACTCCACTGACGGTAATTGCACAAATTGGCCGTCAGAAACAACAAAAAACTTGCGGTTTCATAACCAAAAACTTGATACTTTAGGTAATTAACCGCGACTTTCGCATCAAAAACAGGTGGCATATTATCGGAGAGGACGCCGCGTCGTAAACACGACTTAATTTCATAATTCGCAAGTATTTTTGGCCACACTTTGCAGAAAAAACATTATTTTGGTAATAAAGTCAAGTGTAATGTGGGAAATGGAATAAAAATGGACTAAAATTAGACCCAAATGTCAACAGAAATGCGTTAAAATAGGATGCAAGTCTCACCTCATCGAATTCGTAGTCGCTGACACTCTGATCGTGCAGATTTAGCTCGTCTTCATCCAATTCATCCTCCTCGTTGATGGAACCCAACCGAGGCGCACTTTTGGAGCGATTTACGGGCGGGCGGAAGTTGAGGGTACCACTTTGGAGCATCATCTTCCTCCTGGGCAACAACTCTCCATTCTGGGGACCAGTTACCACCGATTTCCTCGCCTTTTCCATGGCCAATTTTTCTCGTTTGTATTCCTGAAAAAATCAATAATAGTGATGTGTTTTCTCCCAATTTTGTAGGTAAAATCGGTTCTTCGAATTGTTTGCACTACAAGGAAGGAATGCTGATTAATTTCCTTCTTTGGTTAACAATTTTCTGGCAGTTGTGATCGGTTTTGTGTAAAATTTTGCAGAAAAAAAGAGAAACGCGTGGGCACCGTAAAAGGACCGATTTCACAACATTTTGACGAAGACGAGAGGGTCGCGTTTCTCACGCAGACTTACCAGCAACGCCGCGTGCAGGTAGTTGGTCAGGGTCTCGGCGATTTTCGCCGGCTCAGTGCGTTTCCGGCAAAGGACGGCGTGACAGCGGAGTTCGGGCTTCATCCGCTTTCCCTCGTGCTTGTAGACCCAGCAGAAGACTCGAGGGTACTCGGGAGGCGCAAAACAGTAGGTAATTCGATGGGCCCAATACTCGGTGACACTAAAATCGAGCGAGATTAGATTAAATTACATTGATTTAGATGATTTTGATGATAATTTAGCTTTTTTTTTTATCTTTTCCGTATGTTTCTTTAATTTATTCTTTGAAAAGCTAAGCCAAAGTAAAATCGAAGGTTGTCTGCTCAAATTCCCATTGATTTTGATTGTTTTCCCTTCGATTTGACCATAAATTTTAATGGTTCCCAAGCGAAAGAACGATGCAAGGAAGTGTAACGTTATAGTGTAATATCGAAGGCCTTCCCTTCAAAATCAATAACTTTTCTTTACCAAACAGCACAAAAACAATACAAAAAAGTAAAAATTTGGCGATTTTGCAGCTCCAAAGCAGTTAACTGCACTACTTACCCGAGTTCCTTGGTCTCGACCTTCAATCCCTGCCGCGTTACACTCAATTTCATGGCTACGTCTCGTTTCCTGGTCGAGTAAGACGCCCATATCGCGTGCAATGGTCGCTCAATACTTTGATCGCCCTTTGCCATAATAGTGAGGACATTCCCGAGGTAGACGACATTATGGACTTGATCCGGGGGATTGATCTCGTAGCACTGTCGACTTTTCCGGAAGGGAAGTCGCATTTGTGGAGCCAAGGATGGCATTCTTCGTCGGATGACGATCCAAAAAGACTCGGTTTATCTCCGTATTTTAGCGATGCAAAATCTGAAAATGTCAAGGATAAGGGTAAAGATCAAGGAAACAAAAAAAAATTTTTTGGGAATCGCGATCAAATTCGATAAAAACGAATTGGCCAGACAAAAAAATAAAATATCGGACATTCATAGAATATGCTAGGAACAGACAATTACTTCTTAAAGAAGCCTCAAAGTTCAATTTCAAACTTTTAAACTCTACAAAATACGCATTTACATATTAATTTAGATGACTTAACACATTTTGAATTGTAATCTAGAGAATTTTAAGCCGAAATCCCGCTTGAAGTGATAGGCGGCATGTCATGACAACAAGTAAACAGGCGAAACCCCGAGAAATGGAATTAGACACGTCGCGGAAAGGTCATCCGCCCAGATCCCAATCAGCCGCACCGTGCACTCATCAAACGCGCCAGATTCGACACGCACTGTGCGATCTTTTCAGGAAGAGCTGCGGGAATGCACAGTGCAAACGAATTTATGCACAGTGCAAGGGAAACCAAACGAAGAACGATTTGCACAGCGGAAAAAAATCGGGTTTGTGGAAAAAGTTGGAATGCACAGTGCAAGAGGGAGACGAAAAAGTGGCGCGGCAAAACAACAAAGTGCATCACTCTTGCGAACTTGCACGGTGCGGTTGGACCGCACCTTTCTCCTTTCCGAAACGCACAGTGCATTCGAAAGAACCTCTGGCCTTGACGAGAAAGCACTGGAATTTGCGACAATGTCCACTCGAAAACATGTCGCAATGAAGAATGAGCGGGTTCTTGTGACAACGTCGACGACAACAGGTGACATCCGATTCGAAAACAGGAAAAACGAGGGGACCAGCGACGAAATCAGTGCGCGAATTGGGATGTTTTGGTGGGAGTCGCCAAATCGCGTCGACAAGAGGCGATTATCGCGCGACCTCTCGTCACAACGAAAACACCCTCGCGACAATCTTGTTTTGCACTGTGCAATCCAAAAAAGAAAACACTGCACTGTGCAAAAGATCACGAGGCCAAAAATGGAGCGCACCGTGCGAGGGATCAGCGGAAAGAAAAGCCGCTGCGACGTTCCGTCGAAACAAAGGAAACCAAGAAATTTCAAGGGAAAAGCGACGTCCGCACGGTGCGTCGAGTGAGTGCACTCGAAAAGCCAACCCGAGTGCGCGCGACAAAAGACGGGCGAGGAGGGAGGCAAGGTGGAATGAGCGCAGAAATCCCCCCGGTTGCCTTTTTGACCATCGGAGCGATGCGGTTTTGCCGCTGCCAATGCACTCTCGAGAGGGGGAATGCGTCGGGAGATCGCAAAAAATGGAAATGAAATGGGGAAATGAGATTGTCGCTGTTTGGTCAGGATTGTTGACACACCTGCAACAATGATGCAACGGCCAGGAGTCAAATGGGTGTCGCCAAGAATGGCCAACGGTCTGTCGCAGGTATTTGGCACAGTGCAAAGGAACTTTTTTGGAACTTTGACTGTCGCAAGAGAAGGTCGGACCTTTTGGACCGGCCCTTCTCTCGGCGCACAGTGCAAAGATGACCTAACAAGATCCGACTTGCACTGTGCAGTCTCTTTCGCGCATTTGCATCCCTTTCCGGCCCCAATCCCAAACGGATCTGCCCTTTGTCTGGCCAAACAATTGCTTGGCCATTTGCACCCTCGGGGCCCATTTCTGGAAACGAGCCCCTTTGCCGCAAAACGCGCGATGAAACGCCGCATTTCGCACTGTGCAATAAATAAATAATAATTATGCACGGTGCATTCGGAAATAAAATTTTTTTATTGCACAGTGCAAGCAAAACAATGCGAATTCAAAGTTACTGCACAGTGCAATGGGCAAAATTCGATTCTCAAAGTTTTCAAAAAGAATGGAAAGCTTTGTCGCCGACAACACAAAATCCGCACCGTGCAACCGCAACTCGCATTTGCGATCTTCCTCACAAATGGACCGCACGGTGCAGTGGCCTTTCGCCTTCACGGAACGTTTGACCAAAAAAAAACAAACGAATCACTTCCGCGCCTGACTCCGCCCCTTTCTTGGTCCCTCCCAAAACCCGCACAGTGCAGTGGGAAAAGTGAGAAAGAAGGTATGGGAAATGCGGAGAGGCAGAAAAAATAGTGATTCAGAAGGGATCAGTGGTGTTCTCCTTATCAGTAGCTGTAAGTACAAACGGAAGTAAGCTGAAAGTATAAAAATATGCAACTTTGGACATCAAATCTGGGTTTAGAATGTAAAAACTGGCTTAAAAAAAGAAAAAAGGATTGTTTTTTTAGATGATAAAATAGGATTGTTTTTTAGACGGCTTGGATTACACCTACAACTACTTATGCTAATCATATTATTCATAAAAATACCAAATCCACCCAGATTTAAGCCGATTTTCCGGGACTTTCGCAATTTTTAGATTAATTTTGGAAGTTTACTGTCGGATACTGTGAAGACAATGTTGGGGAAAGGGAAACACATCGATTTGATTATACATTTATATATATAAATCATAATTCAAGAGGTTATTAAGTGAAAAAATTTCAAAAAAATAAAATTTGAGACTCTCGCTGTAATACTGTAATTACGGTATCACTATTATTCAAAATCCAAAAAATACCAGAGCTGGATATGAAGGGATGAAGAATATTCCCGCTGACGCCAAAACATGCCCTGCAGCGATGTTATCGGAGCCAGGAAAGCGACGAAAAGAAGAAGAAGAAAACTCATCAAAAACGACAAAAAACTTGACTTCTTTGGACCGAAATTAATTTTATTATATTTCCGTGAGAACGACAGTCAGTTTTCGTGGGTACTCGCTCTGGAGCGCGCGGGTAGCGTGTAAGGGTCAAGTTCAGGCCCTGCGGCTATTTAAAGGTCGATTGCGGGGAAAAGTTGCGCAAATCTAATACGGAACTGACTCAAATCCGCAATAGATGCGTTCTTTTGTTGTAACAAACATCTAGGCAGTTTCTAGTATGAGGACAATGCTATAATAAAAAGGCAGGATATACAATTTACACCTACTTTAGCCAATAAAGGGAGAAAATAGGGAAATTGGCCGGATCGGACGGAAATTTGACCAAAAAACGCACGTAGATGAACTCGCAATTGATTGCCGACGGTGTAAATTAACACAACGCAGGTGTAAATGGTTGATTTTTTTCATTAATGACGTCTGTTTTTCGTCTAATACAAAAGAAAATTGAAAACAGTCAGCGAAAACAAAAAATTATAAAATTTGCGACGCAATATTGCCGCGAGGTATATGACATCAAAAAAATTGGTATTTGAACAGGGTTTATCCTATGAATCGAGTTTCGTGAAAATACCTGCTAATTCAAATGAAAAAAACACTAAAAAATGAAAAGAAAGAATGCCCATTTTTGATGAAAAATTGATATTTTCAAACAAGAAGCTGAACAGTAACCGCGTAATTTTTACAATGTAAGCTTTAGAACACTTTATCAGCGAATTGATAAAATTTTGACCAACTATAACATGATTGATGAAAAAATCGTGACATTTCCGTAGATCTTTCCCCTTTTTTGTGATGGATTACGTAATTGGCATGTTGCCTAGGACAACACGGTATGGTGACTGACCTCTACCGAGAATATTTCGCGAGATTCCGGGTAGAAAATGGCGCTAAACGTCAATTAAAGCAAGCTCGCGAGAAACGAAAGAAAACCATAATTTATGGGTTCGTCAATGTCAATTCCTACGACAAGAGGAAGTGGGATACTTGAGGAGCCGGTCTAATCAGATGTTTGGACTGCGCGACGTAATCATGACATATTACACGGGGCCCAAGACGAGACATTATTTGAGTGGAAATGTTGCGGCAAAAGCTTTTAAAGTAATTTCAAGGACCAAAGTCTCGTTTAAAAATATTCTATGTGGTAGAATAAAAAAAATGTGGACTTTATTTTGTTTGGTTAAATTTCATTTTCAAATTTTTGCAGCTTATTCGGGTTTTAATTACTTTTATTCAAGTCTTTCTAATCAAATGACGAAACAAGTAAATAAAAGAGGCAAAAGAGTAAAGATTGGAATGACATAGTAAGTAAAATTTACTCTGCTTTAAATGCCAAGGATGCTTGTGGCCAGATCAATAAGAATCTGATGACAAATCGCTGCTTATATTATACCAAGAAAATGTAATAAATACAATTAACCGCCCACGAAACCTCAAATTGAAGTTTTAAAGTTTTTAGACGGCCCATAAAACCTTGAAATTAACTTCAGATGTCTTGTTGAACTTTGAACTATCGTCCAAGATACAAACCAAGCTAAAGGGTAACTGTCTGAAGCCCGTTTTCAATGATTTTAGGCCAAGATTTCTCTAAGATCACAAAATTGATTTATGGCTACAGTAAAGTGAAACCTGAAGTAGATTGATGACCTTTAAAGATCGCTAAAAATACTCGTGATCAGGGCTAGAGAAACCGGACCGAAAACACAGCCCGAGGTCAAGAAGAAACCACAAAAACTGATATATTTTCTGATATTTTTTCGAATAAAAAGGGGTGACGTTTCCCAGAAGCGCAAAAAGATCTCCGGCGTAATATTTTTTTTGTCGATGGAAGATGCTGTGATCGACGCGTCTGATCAAAAGGTCATAACAGAAGTTAGGGGGACAAAAGGATGATGCGTTTGGGCTACTGTAAAGGGGGAAAGAAGCAGGTTAGGCGATCGAAAGGTGGAGGAATTTGGAGGCAGAACATGTGAAGAACATGCTGAATATTTTGAATAAAAAATTGCCTGATTGCTGTATTTTTTGGAGACACTTTTTCCCATTTTTAATGGCTGATATAGCCATTTTTTTTAATTTAAGTTAAATAAAGTTGACATCAATCAATCTCGTCTTTTGATTAAAGGAATTTTAAACAAATTTGACCCCCAATAGTCGTAAAAAAAAACTAGAGAAACCTTGAAAGCTTAGTCATCGTTCCAAACGTTCATTGCCTTCTTA